ACCATTGTCAAGCGACGACGTCTCGGTCCGTCCTGGACCATTGTCAAGCGACGACGTCTCGGTCCGTCCTGGACCATTGTCAAGCGACGACGTCTCGGTCCGTCCTGGACCACTGTCAAGTGACGACGTCTCGGTCCGTCCTGGACCATTGTCAAGTGATGACGTCTCGGTCCGTCCTGGACCATTGTCAAGTGACGACGTCTCGGTCCGTCCTGGCCCATTGTCAAGTGACGACGTCTCGGTCCGTCCTGGACCATTGTCAAGTGACGACGTCTCGGTCCGTCCTGGACCATTGTCAAGCGACGACGTCTCGGTCCGTCCTGGACCATTGTCAAGTGACGACGTCTCGGTCCGTCCTGGACCATTGTCAAGTGACGACGTCTCGGTCCGTCCTGGACCATTGTCAAGTGACGACGTCTTGGTCCGTCCTGGACCATTGTCAAGTGATGACGTCTTGGTCCGTCCTGGACCATTGTCAAGTGACGACGTCTTGGTCCGTCCTGGACCATTGTCAAGTGACGACGTCTTGGTCCGTCCTGGACCATTGTCAAGTGACGACGTCTTGCTCCGTCCTGGACCATTGTCAAGTGACGACGTCATGGTCCGTCCTGGACCATTGTCAAGTGACGACGTCTTGGTCCGTCCTGGACCATTGTCAAGTGACGACGTCTTGGTCCGTCCTGGACCATTGTCAAGTGACGACGTCTTGGTCCGTCCTGGACCATTGTCAAGTGACGACGTCTTGGTCCGTCCTGGACCATTGTCAAGTGACGACGTCTTGCTCCGTCCTGGACCATTGTCAAGTGATGACGTCTTGGTCCGTCCTGGACCATTGTCAAGTGACGACGTCTTGGTCCGTCCTGGACCATTGTCAAGTGACGACGTCTTGCTCCGTCCTGGACCACTGTCAAGTGACGACGTCTCGGTCCGTCCTAAACCATTGTCAAGTGATGACGTCTCGGTCCGTCCTGGACCATTGTCAAGTTATCCCCTATATTTTCAGATATGTGGGTGACGTGTCTAATATAGGTTCTTCCAGACCCTATTTACTCCCGCGCATTATAAAATAATTGTGATGAAGCAATTCTGCTAGTTAGATGACGGAGGTGATCATGTCAAGGCAAACTTCACCGGAATTTCTACCCTAAAATTTTTTTGAAAAGCCTCCATGAGGTTCCATAGCCATAACGTTGGCATCCTCCAGTCCCACCAGCTTCCATCACCTGCAGTTACTCACTCCCCGAGACAACCAGACATTAAGCAACTAACTTAACGCAACAAGATGGTGAGCAATAAGATTCATTAACGCGAGGAGACATAAATTAACTATAAACACGACGAGACACTAAGCATCCAAACGCGAGACTCTGAACTGCATTTAAAACAACCTTCCCACGATAGATCGCCACAATAACTAAGGCTTCTTTTCTTCCCTTTTGTCCTCCTGCGCATCGAATAACTCCACTTTTCCGCCATCACTCCTCCATATCCCCCCCCTCTTCCCCTCTCCCCTTCAATTGCCACACTATTTTGGCAGGACTTCCTTGCTCAGTGTTTCCGCGTTTTCTCGGTAGCAATTAGGAGCCACGAGTAATAAACCCTTACTTAACTACCTGGATACTTATCATTGACTAGTCCCATTGGACTCTATTATTTGGATATTGATACATGAGGAGATGAGCTAATTACATACTGGCTAAACAAGTGTGTGCACTGATTGTACAACATGGAAAATATTTTCCCATTAACAACACGCGATGTACCAACATCCGCATTAAATACAATCATTGGGTATAAAAAATATATAGGGATACCACCTCTTGTGCAAGTGTAGGGACCCATAGCCTCGGAGAAGAAAACAAAGAGTACTCAGAGAAGACCGTGTGGATCCTCAATAAACACTTTGATATTTTCTTCTACCACCCCTATTCTTTGTATGTATATATATATATATATATATATATATATATATATATATATATATATATATATATATATATATAAAACTCACTTTATTTTAAAATTTCGTTACACAAAAAGGGTTACAACATTGGTTACATGCAGGGTACAAGGTTGCAGAGTTCCTCCAGTTCCTCAGATGGCGGGCAGGAACCATGGCTGCAGTGAGCGTTTCCTCTCTGGATCGCCACACTATGGCGCTGAAAGAGGAAACTGGCGGCTCTAGGGTCTCTTGTTGTTTCAATTAGCTCCATCAAAACACCCAGCTCCATCAAAACAATAGCAGCACTCTTACCCCAGGCACCAGGTGTCTCTGAGGTAATGGGGACTCATTGGGTATTGTATTTTGTATTTAAGCTGGATGATTCAATAGTCCTTAACGCTGCGTGTATTAGTGGCTGTAGGTATTGTATATACTAGCTCTATCTATAAATCCAAAATTATGTTTGTAACTCGTCTTCTATGTATATACTTTTACCTGAATAAATATTTGAATTTGAGTCGGAAGATTTTGTTCAGTTAATGCTGAAAAAAGCACTGCGCTTTCTTTGAGATATTCAGCTCTGCTAAGGTGTGCTGAACCTCCGCTCAGCGCGCTATGCACAAACACTGAAATCAGGAAACTTCAGGCGAAAAACCAGAAAGACGAGCCAAGCCTGAGGACCGAGCCGTGGCAACCAGTGACACACACACACACACAAACATCAACATGGGTTCTGGAAAGGGAAATCGTGCCTAACAAATCTTTTGGAATTCTATGATAAAATAACGAGGATAAGACAGGATTGGGAAGGTTCGGCAGACTGCATATTTCTGGACTGCCAAAAAGCCTTTGATACAGTACTGCACATGAGACTGCTGTTCAAACTCGAGAAACAGGCGGGTGTTGGAGGAAAGGTCCTAGCATGGATAAGGAACTACCTAACAGGAAGGAGCCAAAGAGTTACAGTAAGGGGCGAGAAGTCGGACTGGCGAACAGTAACGAGTGGAGTACCTCAAGGATCGGTGCTGGGACCAATTCTATTTCTAATATATGTAACGACATGTTTACAGGAGTAGAGTCCTACATGTCGATGTTCACGGATGATGCAAAGTTGATGAGAAGAGTTGTGACAGATGAGGATTGTAGGATCCTCCAAGAGGACTTGAACAGGTTGCAGAGATGGTCAGAGAAATGGCTACTGGAGTTCAACACGAGCAAATGTAAAGTTATGGAAATGGGACTAGGTGATAGGAGACCAAAGGGACAGTACACAATGAAGGGGAACTGCCTACCTGTGACGACGCGAGAAAGAGACCTGGGCGTGGACGTAACACCTAATCTATCTCCTGAGGCACATATAAATAGGATAACGACAGCAGCATACTCTACACTGGCAAAAGTTAGAACATCATTCAGAAACCTAAGTAAGGAGGCATTTAGGGTGCTTTACACTGCCTACGTGAGGCCAGTCTTAGAGTATGCCGCCTCATCATGGAGGCCCCATCTGAAGAAGCATATAAAGAAACTGGAAAAGGTTCAGAGGTTTGCAACGAGACACGTCCCAGAGTTACGAGGGATGGGGTATGAGGAGCGCCTGAGGGAACTGTACCTTACGACACTAAAAAGAAGAAGGGAGAGGGGGGGGGGGACATGATAGGAACGTATAAAATACTCAGGGGGATTGACAGAGTAGACATAGACGAAATGTTCACACGGAATAGTAGCAGAACGAGGGAACATGAGTGGAAGCTGGAAACTCAGATGAGTCACAGAGATGTTAGGAAGTTTTCTTTTAACGTGAGAGTAGTGGAAAAATGGAATGCACTTCAGGAACAGGTTGTGGAAGCAAATTCTATTCATAATTTTAAAACTAGGTATGATAGGGAAATAGGACCGAGGTGTGTGTACTCACCTAATTGTACTCACCTAATTGTGCTTGCGGGGGTTGAGCTCTGGCTCTTTGGTACCGCCTCTCAATCGTCAATCAACTGATGTACAGATTCCTGAGCCTACTGGGCTCTGTCATATCTACATTTGAAATTGTGTATGGAGTCAGCCTCCACCACATCACTTCCTAATGCATTCCATTTGTCAACCACTCTGACACTAAAAAAGTTCTTTCAAATATCTCTGTGGCTCATTTGGGCCCTCAGTTTCCACCTGTGTCCCCTTGTGCGTGTGCCCCTTGTGTTAAATAGCCTGTCTTTATCTACCCTATCAATTCCCTTCAGAATCTTGAATGTGGTGATCATGTTCCCCCTAACTCTTCTGTTTTCCAGCGAAGTGAGGTTTAATTCCCGTAGTCTCTCCTCGTAGCTCATACCTCTCAGCTCGGGTACTAGTCTGGTGGCAAACCTTTGAACCTTTTCCAGTTTAGTCTTATCCTTGACTAGATATGGACTCCATGCTGGGGCTGCATTCTCCAGGATTGGCCTGACATATGTGGTATACAAAGTTCTGAATGCCGTTCGTATATTGGCCAGCCTGGAATATGCCGCTGATGTTATCCTCTTGATATGTGCTGCAGGAGACAGGTCTGGCGGGATATCAATCCCCAAGTCTTTTTCTTTCTCTGACTCCTGAAGAATTTCCTCTCCCAGATGATATCGTGTATCTGGCCTCCTGCTCCCTACACCTATCTTCATTACATTACATTTGGTTGGGTTAAACTCTAACAACCATTTGTTCGACCATTCCTTCAGCTTGTCTAGGTCTTCTTGAAGCTTCAAACAGTCTGTTTGTTGACCAAATTGTATATTTACTATTTTCTTGACATGTTCCCCCCTTTTCTTATTTTTTTATTTTCTCAACTCAAATTTATACTTTAATCTCAATTAGTATTAAGTTTTAGCCTTTAATGTTTTTCCTGCCCGAAACGCTTTGCGTAATAGTGGCTTTAGGCATTGTGTGTACTAGCTCTATCTACAAATCCATCAATGTTTTGTATCTCACCTTGTATGTACGTACTTTACCTGAATAAATATATGATTTGATTTGATTTTGATTTAAGTACTTGCGTGACCGTTTTGTGTATTGAACCGACGAGAGCGTTGTATACGATACGACCCGTCCCAGGTGTGTACAGGAGCGGAGTGTAACCGAGCAGCGGTGTGCCGGCCCAGTGTGTGTGTGTGTGACCACCATGGCTGCCACGGGCTCTTGCTCCCTCTTCAACACTCTCCACACCTCATGGCACTCATGGCACTCACACCTCAAGGTCAGTCACACGACATGACTCCTGGCACCACCCCAGCCTCAGTCTCCCACAACTTGCCTTAACCATCATTGGCCTTCCTTGACCTGTTATGGTGTATTGATCTGCTTGGGGGATACAACGGGTATTATAAGTCTCGGTGTGAACTTGCAGCACTGTGTATGACTATTAGTATAGTGGGTAACTACAATTTAACTAGCATGACTGAAATGATTAGAAATCCTCATCAATGCCACTAGTGTGTTAGTGGCTTCGACGAGGACAGGAAACCGGCGTTGTCATAGGTATCCCCCCCCATTTGTCCTGATGATTTTTCCCAGCTGGACTTTACAATTTTAATTGTTTTGGCGTTTACGGCTTCGGCGGGTAGGCGGTTCCATGGGTTTATAACACTGGGTGAAGAAACATCTGTTCTCAGTCCTACATTTTAAAAGATTCGATGACAGCCACCCTGTCATGCATGGTTTGTAGTGTTGTTAGGCCTGTGGCCCTCGACCATTCCTGGTACATGAGTTGACTCGGCTTGGATGGTTTTTGTTGCTCGGTGTTGCATTTTCTCCAGAGCAACTACTTATTTACTTCTAGGTGAACAGGTGCATTAGGTGAAAGGAAACTTGCCCAAATATTTTTGTCCTGCTGCAAGAATTGAACAAACACTGAAGCTGTGAGCCATTTATAATGACCACTTTGCTGGATTAGGTTAGATTTGGTTGGGTTAGACAGGGTTGATAAGTTAGGTGGAGTTTTAAAATCTGTTGGTAAACCAACTTTGATACAAAGTGACCTGTATCCAGTGGACTGGATACAGTTGGATATGTCAAATCTTTTGAATCTTAAACATGAACATATTTGGCATTTAAAAATGTAATATACGGGTTTCGTGTGGTTGATACTTAGGCTCCGAACTGAAGTGGCTGGGTCGCCGGCGTGGGAGGTACGGGGAACTCCGAGGGAGTTCTGCATCTCTGTTCGGTTTTCGGTTGCAATTTTCTTACCCTGTGGGATCTGTTTTGTTATGATTACTTTTCTGGGTGCTGGGTACTTTTTCCCAGTTGATGGTAGATATGGAAAACCCCCAACCACAGAGTTTTTTTTTCCAGGGCCATTGCTCCCTGTGCCTCTCTGCGGAGGACCAGGTTCTGGCTCATGGTCCCCGGTAGACTGAACTCCATAGACTAATGCCTGGTCTAATGATTCGCATATTAGCCCGATAGCTCCAGGGAGCCTCCAGGGCTCGCCCAAAAAATGTCGTTTCATTACATTCATCACTGATTTTTTTACTTCCCTTGTAAGAATTCTACTTATCTGGATGTCGGGCTTATCCTTATCCATACCATATTGTCCGGATAATCGAGCTCATACAGAATATTGTTATATCTTACTCAGATGGAATTTCCTGCTTTATATAATTTATTAATTAATATTTGCTTCTTTCCAGTTACTTGCTCGGTTTTCCACATCGGTGGGCACGGTGCCTTTAGAAAAAATTAGAAATATTGGAATATCTGCACACATTGATTCTGGAAAGACAACCTTAACTGAACGGATTTTGTACTACACTGGCCGAATTTATGAAATGCATGAGGTTGGTACTTCCTTTTTACAGTATTTTTTTGTTATTGCATGTACATATAGTGCAATCTCAATTCAGCAAACTATATGTGATCAACTCCAATGGAGTGAAGGTGGTGTTGTGACTGGAGATGCCTTCAAGAGGCATTTGTGAAATGCAATTTTTTTAAGACAAAAATACATTGCTTCAGCTGTTTCTTTTAATGTTTCTTCTAATAATCTGGAAGTTAATTTGCAGTGTTTTATAAAACCGGTAACAACAAATACCTGAGATAAAATAACTGGAATGTGGAAACTTCTCAACTCAAGGGGAAGCCGCAGCTGTCATGAACGAGGTCACAAGAACAGTGAGCCTTCAGCGTGGGTGAGCGCCCACACTGCGGGGTCAGGATGCCACGTGGGGTATACGAAGAATAGGCAGAAGTTGCCGCGCATCTTAAGACAATGCCATAGTATTAGGACAATGGAATTTCTACAAATGTTTAAATTAATGATGCCGTTTGCACTTTCCGAATTTTGGGTCCGTGACGGAATATGTATGATCGGGCAAAGAAGGTGTTAAAACTCTTAAGGTACTGTTCATACTCAAATATTTCCCCATGCTCTATGAGCTAATTTCACCTAGGGAAATTTTAATTTCAACCTGTCACATGAAGGATAACTGCCAAGACAACCTCTCTGTAAGGAGATTTCACTACATTTAGCATGTTTCCTATGCCCCCAGCCTTGAAACCTCATTTTTGGATGAAGAATTACCCATATCTAAGGGAAAAAACTGCAGAAAATTAATAGGAAAATTTTTGTACATGGATTCAACATTAGAAGAGTAAGTTGGGACTTTGAAAGCCTTAGAGCACATTTGAATCCAATCATAGAAATTGGATTCAAATGTGCTTTAAGGCTTTCCAAGTCCCAACATACTCTTCTAATGTTGAATCCATATACAAAAATCCTTAAAAACATTATTAGAGCCATATTAAGAGTTACCATTCATACCCTAATATCTCCAATGCTTTTTGGGCTTATTTCACCAAGCAAAATTTTTATTTCAATCTATCATACCATAGACAACTTTCCCAATTCTGACTCTGCTTCCTAAGCAGATCCTCATGGCCTTCACTTTGCTGAATCTCCAAACACTTGTTTGTGTTGGAAGTGAGTAAATTCATCCTGTGAAGTGTGCAATGCCCCCTCCCCAGGATTTTTTTAATTGAGGTTGTACTCTACCAGTACATATAAATACTAGCACTCATGATGGAGTTTTTTTTATATTCAGTTGCAGTAAGATGTGCATGTTGTGACAGCATATACATATTAATGTGTAATATAATTTTTCATTATTATTAAGGTGACTTTCCCCAGCTTGTATACTTAAAAATGTTTCTAAATACAGTACAGTATACAATTCAGGAGGGAGCCTTCTGGTGGGTCTCTGAAGCTATCTTGCTGAGACTGCTCCATACTGAACGGTCACATCAGTTGTGAAAATTCTGTTTGGTCTACCGGGGAACCAGAGCCAGAACCTGACTTCCCTCCTCTCAAGAGCAGGGATTAGGTGACAATTTGCCACCCCCGGAGAAAGCCTCCTGAAAGTCAGTGCAGCTTTACAGACAACTGAATAATTCACAGAAAATGAAACCTCAAAACCTCCAAACAACTCCAGATACTATTCACACTGAACAAGGAATTCACTCAAACAGCTAGAAACTCATTAATACTGTACTGATTTCCACCACCAGATGACCCGGCCCCCAACATCCAGCTTACTATCTCAGTTCTGTTGCTGATGCTACAGCTTGTTGTGTTGTAGTCAATCAGACTATGGGGAAACTTCCTTTGCTGCAAGCTAAGTGCTGGCCAATCTTGGACTCTGTTGTCCTATGGGGGTCATTTGCTTTATATAGTGCTTCTGTGCTTTTGTATTGGCTTCACATGCATCTTTTTCGTCTGACTTATCATGTGGGCTTGGGCTCTTGTTGCATTTTGGGCTTCATTGGCTTAGGGTTTATTTCCCTGGGGTGCCTGCTAATGCTGTCCTTGCACAGTCAAGTTTACTGTATATTCTTTGGTGTGTTCGGGAATTCGCTCCTAAGAGACTTGGCCATCATGTTGGAGAGCCTCACCATGGGCTATTCACAAATATGTGATTCCTTTGTTTGGGCTGTGACTGGGGCATTCTTTTGGTTGTGTTGGGATGCACTGTGGTTAATATGCTTGTTTATGTGGTATGCTGCAGTCACCATTCTTAGTGTGGTTGTTTTGTATGCATTTGGTGACTGTTCTTCTGGAGAGCAGCCCCCTGTGCCTGGATTATCTACTTGGTAAGTTATCTTCAGGCCCTGGTGATTTCCCCACTGGTCTACTATGTTGCCATTCCATCTCAGCTCATCGCGCCTACACTCGCTACATGGAGTATGGAGGGTGCTCATTGATTCTACTACAGGCTGGCGGTCATTCTCTGCCTGCCTGGTTGCCCATTGGGTCTATGACACAACCCAGAGTCCAGCACCTTACGCACACTATCGATCTCCATTCCTTTTCTGGGGTGAGCCCTGTCGGCTCCTTGGAGCTATCCAGGCTGATATATATCTATTAGCTTTCTGGCATCAAAGTGCATGGAGTTCTTGCCTACCGGGGCGCACGAGCCAGAACCTGGCCCCCTCAGAGAGGCACGAGGAGCAATGGCCTATATAGAAACCCCCGTGTGGTTGGGAGCGTTCTATGTCTGCCATTGACCATGTCTGGCACCCAGAAAGATAGGCACCCCGAAACAAACCCCTATTCAGGTGAAAATATTGCTATCGAAAGCCAAACGTGTGGACAGTACAATCCAACAAAAATTGGCAAATGAGCATCATGTCATTACGTTGCCGCGCTGCTGTCTGTGCAACTCCCCCCTCCCCAGGAGGGGGAAAGGGGAAGCCCCAGACCCATACGCCAGTGATCCAACCAGCAGTTCTTGGCTGATGTGATACCGACTGGTCAGGTGCCTCTGGCTCCAGTTTTGCTCTCAGTTACAGTGCTTTGTGGCTTGGTCTGTCTCTACAGGGGGTGTGTGAGCCAGGAGTAATATTCTATGGTACTCTGGCTGCATGCGCCTAGGGTTTCCTTCCCTAGGTGCCCTATAAGTACAGTACTGCCCTTGGGGCTTGGGGCCTCCTTCCACATGTCACCATGGGACCTACCTCTGCTGTGACTTTTACTGCTCGGTATTTGGCCGCCCTTGGAGTCAGCTGGGGATTTTTGTTGCCCTTGTTTGCCTCTGGGGAGGAGGTAGTTTTTGTCACTGGTAGGGGCACGGGGTATTGTACAGCTAGTTATCACCTATTGTAGCGGCCGGCTCTGTTCCGCCTGGGTTACCGTAAGGTTACTTTGAGTTGTTTCCAGGGCTTAGCGTCCCCACGATCTGGTTGTCGGCCAGGCCTCCTGGTTTTCCTGAGTACATTGTCTTCTTGCGGGGTTTTTCTTTTGTTTTTGTTTTCCTGCCTAGTGAGGGGGGTATGCCTTTAGTTGGTTGCCCCCTTCCTACAATTGGGGGTCTTTCTCTAGGCATCTCTGTGTTCTTGGTGGTACCACCTGCTTGGCTCCCGTGAGTGGACACATCCCGGGGGTTCAGCTTTTAGAAGTTTGTTTGGTAGTTTTGGGTGTTGGTTTGCAGTACCCTGCCTGGGCTTTCCTTAGCGTGATACCAAGGCTAATGGACCTGGGGAAACCCCACGGGGGCTCCGTGGTCCGATGGATGCGACCCTCGAGTCCCCTCTCGCTTCGTGCGAGGTTGATGGTTGCTCTGTCCCCTTGTCTCAGGGTGACAATCACTGGGTGTGCCTCCACCATGCTGCCTGTTGGGTCGGTGGTTCTTTTGATTCAGAGTCGTGTGACGTTTGTTCTTTGTATGTGCTCCAGTTCACCCAAGCTACTGAACTTGATATGAGGGTGCAGGCAGCAGAGGCATTGCTTGCTCGGTTTTGGTTGCTGCAACGTGATAGCTTTGTTGCTTCCTCGGATGCCCCGAGACTGCCCCGTTTTGGTTATAGGGACCCAGACTTTGGGGTGGGAGTCGCTTCGACTTTGGTTCCGTCCACCCCTCTTTGTCCTTATCCCTTCGGTGGTTCATTCAGTCCCTTCCCTCCCCCTGCCCTTGCTGTTGGCTCTGAAATGTCTGAGGTTTTTGGAGTCGGGGGGGTGGGGGGGGGGGTTTAGTTGGTTTTGAGACTGGCGGTCTCTGGGGAGTCCCCTACCGGGGTGGCAGCGGAGGCCTTCAAAGCTAGTCCTCCAGCTGGAGCTTCTGGGTCTGACCAGTGGGCCCCCCCTTCGTTCCTGCTTTTTCAGCTGCTCCTGCCTTTTCATTAGAGGTAATTACCTAAGTGTAGTTACAGGATGAGAGCTACGCTCGTGGTGTCCCGTCTTCCCAACACTCTTTGTCATATAACGCTTTGAAACTACTGACGGTCTTGGCCTCCACCACCTTCTCACCTAACTTGTTCCAACCGTCTACCACTCTGTTTGCGAAAGTGAATTTTCTTATGTTTCTTCGGCATCTGTGTTTAGCTAGTTTATATCTATGACCTCTTGTTCTTAAAGTTCCAGGTCTCAGGAAATCTTTCCTATCGATTTTATCAATTCCTGTTATTATTTTGTATGTAGTGATCATATCACCTCTTTTTCTTCTGTCTTCCAGTTTTGGCATATTTAATGCCTCTAACCTCTCTTCGTAGCTCTTGCCCTTCAGTTCTGGGATCCACTTAGTAGCATGTCTTTGATACCAAAACGAACGACGTAGCACGAGAATTAAGGTGAGAAAATTGAAACAAGTATACACATTTTATTGATTTTGTGCGCTCACGGGTAACTTTTCCAGCTTTAGGCTTTGCTGTGGGGAGTCATGCCAGGCTATTGGACATTATATGCATATTCATCTGCAGGGAATTTAATTGCGAACACAATGACACCAAAACGAACGACGTAGCACAAGAATTAAGGTGAGAAAACTTAAACGAGTATACACATTTAGGCGTCGCCGCATGCTCGCCCGCACCGTCCGCCCCATGACGTCAAAGTCTGCAGCACTCACGTGCCACGTGCGATAGTGTTAAGCACTTGGTGTTTCAGGAAATTTTCTCCCTCATATTTGCAAACGTTGCTGTATCAATCCCACAAAAGGATCCTCCTATACTAGCCCTGTCAATAAATTTGTAGAACACAGAAATTTCTGATTTCCCTGCACTACCAGGTAGAGATCAGACAAGACCTGTGTATCTGGCAATATTTCCTCAAGATCTTGTGCTGTTGCTCTAGGTATTTTCCCCTTGATGATAGCTGTTGTGAGCAGTTGGCATTCCTGCCCAGCTCAGCTGCACACTTCAGCGGTCCAAGTTTAAAGTAATCTTGGACATGGGTCTGAGAAGTAAATAAACTGAATATTTATACACATGTCATTTACTTGTGCATGAAATAATTTTTCAAGCATCTATTGGAGCTCCCCCTTGGTAAAGAACTCCACAGCTGGTGCAGCCTGGTAAATGGGAATCATCTCGGTGTATAGCTTTAGGAAAGCACTGGGAGCTTGTCCAGAAATTGGCGTTTCATTACACTGACAGTGGTTACTAATGCAGGATTATTATTCTTTGTTATCAGGTGCGTGGAAAAGATGGTGTTGGAGCAGTGATGGATAGTATGGAACTAGAGAGACAACGAGGTATTACAATTCAGAGTGCTGCTACCTATACCATGTGGAAGAACCACAACATCAACATTATTGATACACCAGGTGTGTGAGCATTGAGATTCTATCTCCAGGAAATCACCCTGATTAACAATTTAGTTCCCAATTCTATTTTTGTGTAAACTAATACAGTATTAAGAGCTTTTAGATGTAGATGAAATTATCATGCACTACAGTGGAACCTCGAGTGACGAGGGACTCCAGTTACGAGCGAGCCACTTGCAGAAAATTTGTCTCGATTGACGAGATTTTGCTCGATTAACGAGCAAACCACATGTTGCTCGTTAGTTATTGTTTCGCAATATTGTTTCAAAAATATTAGAAGGACCAAATCTGCACACAGAGGTAACACCACACGAGACCTGAAGGCATTACAGGATGTGCAAAATAACCCCACTGAAGAACAGAGGTGCAATAGGCACGCTGAGAGAGAACTCGATCAACATCAAGGACTCAAGACCTTTTAACACTTTCTCCTACACATACGGGACATAACTGACTGACTTTTCGCAGTGATCAACAGAGAACTTAACAAGTTATTCTTAGTGATAACTGATCAACTGGGTGGTGACACTTATATCAAGCTGTGAGCAGCTGCATCAAACAGCTTGGTGGATCAGACCAGCAACAAGGAGGCCTGATTAGAGAGTGGGCCATGAGGACATTGATGCCCAGAATCTTCAACAGGTACTTCCTAGGTCCTCTATCCAAAGGCTCATATTTTCTAGGTCATCAGCAGTGGAATCACGTCTAGCCAGCCTGTGGTCTCTTTTCATGCCCATGACATTCAGAAGTGTGATGCTTTTTAGGCTGTGCTTGCAAACATGTTTTGGGGAGATATTCATGCCTTTTTTTTTAAAGATCAAATTAGATTCTGAAGGCCCAGTTTTTGGTGAATGTTCCCTAGCCTCAGCTGTCTTGAATGGCCTTGGGTCGTGTGTCGTGGCGGGTCTCTCGTCCTCGTCACGAGCCCTCCGGACCTCCCTCCCTGGGAGGTTCCCATGTTTTCTTCCTTCTCTATGAGTATTTAGCTTCATGGAACCACAAGCAGCTTCCTCCAGAAAACAAACATTTAATGTAATGAAATGTCAATTTCGGGTGAGCCCCAGTAGCTCCATGATCCACTCCCACTCTCCCTTATATGACATCAGGTAGATTCCTACATCTGCTCTAAAACTGACCTTGGGGATGCCAGCTGATGGTGGGCTACACCTTCCCCCCCCCCCCACCCCAGAAAATGAGTCTGGGGAGATGGGGTGAACGAGCTTGCACTACAGTAGTTTTGAGAAAATTCTATTGTTGCTTACATAGTTGAGGGAGTTCTTTCGGCTTGTTTTGAGGTTTTAATCTTTTTTTTTTTAATTCAGCAGTGTAGTTTGTTTTGACTTTCTGGTTGCCTTTCCAGGTGAGGACGCAAAATTACGTCACTGCTCCTTGTGCCTCCTGAGTAGGGGCCGGGTTCAGGTTCAGATTCCCAGGAAGCCTCTAAAACTCTCCCTCTCATCATAGTGTGTCAGGGGTGCCACTGGGGATCATCCAAAAATTGGAGTTTCACTACATTCATCTCTTCCAGAAGTGTTGACCTCTTCTGAAGTGTCATTGTGAGTTGTCTTGGGTAGCTACTGAGGGGGGCTCTTCCAGAAATTGTGTTGAATGTAATGAAATGCGTTTTTTGGTGGGCCATTCAGTAGTTACCCATCCCTTCCCTGATTCGTTCTTCTTCTTCGGAGTTTGGGGAATTGATTTTCTGCTTGGATTGCTTGGTGAATGAAGTAACCCCAATTTGACTTGTGCTGCCATCTTGTGTTGGTCTGATGGCTGGGTTGCTTAACCCACAGCAACAATTGTCTTCTTTTGCTCAGAATTACTAATTTTCTTCAGTCAGCTTTGATGTCTTTATACTTTCTGGTGGATATTTTCATGGTTTTGGGTTGATCTTTGATCCCCAAGCTGTCCATCGCATTGTGGAGAGCGCTGGAATCTGCATTTAGGTCTTTGTATGTTGTAGAACCACACAAAGATCTTATGTGGTTGTCTAAGACTTGCCAGTGCTATTGCTTGGGGAGTTGCTGAGTGACCCGCCAGAAAAAGAAACGTCATTACAGTTATCTTGAGATGATTTCGGGGCTTTAGTGTCCCCGTGGCCCGGTCCTCGACCAGGCCTCCACCCCCAGGAAGCAGCCCGTGACAGCTGACTAACAGCCAGGTACCTATTTTACTGCTAGGTAACAGGGGCAGGGAAGTGGAGGGCCTCAGTCTGTAAGTCAGGGAGGTGGAGGGCCCCAGTCTGTAAGTCAGGGAGGTGGAGGGCCACAGTCTGTAAGTCAGGGAGGTGGAGGGCCCCAGTCTGTAAGTCAGGGAGGTGGAGGGCCGGGCATAGGGTGAAAGAAACTCTGCCCATTGCTTCTCGCCGACGCCCAGTATCGAACCCGGGACCACAGGATCACAAGTCCAGCGTGCTGTCCGCTCGGCCGACTGGCTCTCCGGTACATTAAATGACTGATTTTTTCAGCAAATGAGAATATCAAATGGAAATTTTGTGTTGCTAAAATATATATAGTTATGTACAAATATTTTTATAATTATGTACAAATATAATTATAATTGGTACAAAATTCATAATGTTATCTTTTTACAGGTCATGTTGACTTCACAGTGGAGGTAGAACGAGCATTACGGGTATTAGATGGAGCAATATTAGTGCTTTGTTCAGTGGGTGGTGTTCAGTCACAAACATTAACTGTTAACAGGCAGATGAAAAGGTATAATGTTCCTTGCCTGGCATTCATTAATAAATTGGATCGAATGGGAGCTAATCCTTATCGTGTATTGCATCAGATGAGGTGAGGAATTGGTTAATGTACTTTTCTTTATGTTAAGATTAATTTATATTAATTTAATAAGTAAATTTTGCTGTTGTGTGTAGTAGCACTTCTGAACGTAGGCAGGTACCCCACTCGTCACGGGGCATTGCAATTGCCTGCTTTGCCCAGTGTGATTTTCCATCTCCCAATGCAGCGGTTATCTTTTCCAAGTATTCTGCCATGACATAACATGAGTTAGGTAGATACTGGAGAATTCTCAATCCTGTCCTAAATGGCCTTGATTTGACCACTAAGTATTGCTTTGTTACTCCTAACAACCGATAAACTGTAGTTGTTGTCCTGCCTGGCCACTGCGGCCACCCATCACCTGGTAAGCAGTCAGTCGTCTAATGCACCTTGTTTTCGTCCAGGCTTCCCTACGTGTGAACACCATATCAACCAACCTGTAACTTCTTAAAGTTGATTCATCTTGATAGTTTGGACTCTTACAGTTGACTTATAATTTATAGAATGCTACATATTCTCGTGTATTCCCACTTGTTGCATGTCTTGAGCTTATCAAACTAGTGTGGGGAGGGGTTTCTTTGTCAGGTCAATACTGACTATGTATTGACTATGACTATCAGGTCACAGTATTGACCTGATCAGTACATCCATCCATCCTGCCCACCCAGCCACTCCACCCACCCCACCCACCCCACCCACCCATTTCTACCTGTTTAGTTTAATAATTTTTTTCCAATATTTTGACTATTACACTTGTCAATGATACAGGTCTGTAATTGAGTTTCTTTTCCTGCTGTCACTTCTGTAAATTAGAACTATGTTAGTCTGTTTCCACACATCTGCTAGGACTCCTGTACACCGGGATGCCTGAAAAATCAGTAATTACCGAAATGTAGTTACAGGGTAAGAGCTACGCTCGTGGTGTCCCGTCTACCCAGCACTCTTTGTCATATAACGCTTTGAAACTACTGACGATTTTGGCCTCCACCACTTTCTCACTTAACACTTTCGCGCTCTCGGCGCTCAAAAAAAAAAATACCCCAGATGCTTTCGGCACTTCGCGCGCCTACGCGGTAAGACTGAAAAAGTGTACACTCTTTTGACTGTCCTGACAATAATTGAAGGCGCACGTATTTAAATTTGGTATCACTGTGTTCGCAATGAAATTGTCTATAAGAGCATACCTATAAAATGCCGCCCAAGCATAAGGAGTATCAACACCAAATAATAAACTATGCAGATCACTCGCCGAGAGCGCCAAACAGCAACAAAATGTTTCCACTTTCTTAATGGTTGCGAAGCCTACAGTTGTCCTACATTGCTAATTTTGGTATCATTGGAATCGCAATAAAATTCTCTACACGGACATATGCATATGAATGTTTTATATAGGTAATTGCCCACCCGCAAGAGTGTGTGAAGTGGAGAGTAGTTAGCCGCGAGCGCACTGGCGAAAACACAGGGGGGGGGAAATCATGCTTGGAAAGTTTATACGTTTCCTGACCCTACTTTTCTATGTACGTATTTCTTTTTTATACCAATGTGTTCGCAATAAAATTTTCTATAAGATGAACTGTATAACATTTGTACAAAGCATGTGTAAGAGAAGCGCCAAATATAGAACCACGTCGCTCAGTATGCGTTCGCGGCAGAAACGAACGCATTGTTTTTGTTCGTTTGATGTTTGTCATGTTTATACTTGTTGAAACATTTTATAATTTGTATGACAGTGATCGCAGTAAAATTCCCTACACAGACATATACATAACACATACAAATATTTCCCACGTGTTGGATATATCAACGGCTAAAGGGAACCCACTGCCACACGCTCGCCACACCCCCAAACATACTTTGTATATTTTTTTTTTTACTCATAGAAGTTTATGTGATATAATATTCATTCTGGTACCAAAAAATTCGCAAATAAATTCTCTACGAAACAAAAGTATCCCCATCCATTTCGGTTAACACTTTCGCTCGGGGATGACGCAGCATTGCGTCATCCGTTTACTGGCGGTAATGCCGGGGATGACGCAGCATTGCGTCATCCACTTTAAAAATTCGCCAAAAATCAGGTTTTTATCCGATTTTTTTGGGACTAGTTTTAAAATGTGCGCCGATGTCTTCCCATTTTCTTTGTTGAGCCTCGTGGCCCTCAGGCGGCTTGGCACATGCCGTGGGCCCATTGTCTTTGCTCCACTGTTGTGACCAATGTCGCCTCCCCTCGCATCTCAAACGTGTGAACATTTCGGCTATTTCCCGTGGCTATATTTCTTACTGCGGCTTTAGAAACTATCTACGCTTACTCCACGATGGATAGTAATCATGAACAAGGCCCTTCCAGGAAGAAAATTGCGAAAGAAAGGCTTGAAAAGGGTGGGAATTGGGAGTGTAGCAGGAAGGCCTCTGAGCACTCACTCACGGCTAACGCGTGGCCCGTCTTCAACTCGTCGGCGGTTGGAGCGTGACCAGGTTTTTTTTTTTATATGCTAATGTTCCTCTAGAGAATTTTATTACAAACCCATTGAGACCAAATTGAAAGACCTAGGACAAAATTGAGGTGACCAGAGTGAAAATAGTGAAAACATTTTATCACGTTTGCGCGCTCCCGGGTAACTCGTTCGCACTTTCTCTGTTTGCTGCGGGTAATTAGCTGGGCTTTTGGAGTTTATATGCATTTAGTGTTGTAGAGAATTTTATTGCGAACACAATGATACCAAATTTAATCTCGTAGAAGGAGAATTGAGGTAACAAAGTTGAAGAGAGTATACACTTTTCGAAATTAACGCGCGCTTCCGTGACACGCTGGGGCCCATATCGCCCTGTCGAGGGGTGGCGCGCGGGGTGAGCGAAAGTGTTAAAAAATGGAATTTATAGAAATATTTTTTCGATTGACGAGAAAAGTAGGCAGTTATGCGGAATCGTAAGAAAACCCAGTGACGAGTTATCTCTAATATAAAGCGCGAAAGTGTTAACTTGTTCCAATCGTCTACCACTCTGTTTGCGAAAGTGAATTTTCTTATTTTTCTTCGGCATCTTTGTTTAATTAGTTTAAATCTATGACCTTTTGTTCTTGAAGATCCAGGTCTCAGAAAATCTTCCCTGTTGATTTTATCAATTCCTGTTACTATTTTGTATGTAGTGATCATATCACCTCTTTTTCTTATGTCTTCTAGTTTTGGCATATTTAATGCCTTTAACCTCTCCTCGTAACTCTTGCCCTTCAGTTCTGGGAGCCACTTAGTAGCATGTCTTTGCACCTTTTCCAGTTTGTTGATGTGCTTCCCAAGATATGGGCACCACACAACCGCTGCATATTCTAGCTTTGGCCTAACAAAAGTTGTGAATAATTTCTTTAGTATTTCGCCATCCATGTATTTAAAAGCAATTCTGAAGTTAGAAAGTGTGGCATAGGCTCCTCGCACAACGTTCTTTATGTGGTCCTCAGGAGATAGTTTTCTATCTAGAACAACCCCTAGATCTCTTTATCAGAATTCTTTAAGGATTTCTCACATAATTTATAGGTTGTGTGGGGTCTATGTTCACCTATTCCACATTCCATAATATGGCATTTATTCACATTAAATTTCATTTGCCAAGTGGTGCTCCATATACTTATTTTCTCCAGGTCTTTTTGAAGGGCATGACAATCATCTAAGTTTCTTATCCTTCCTATAATCTTAGCATCATCAGCAAACATGTTCATATAATTCTGTATTCCAACTGGTAGATCATTTATGTAGACAATGAACATCACCGGTGCAAAAACTGAACCCTGTGGTACTCCACTTGTGACATTTCTCCAATCCGGTACATTGCCTCTGATTACTGCCCTCATTTTGCTATCAGTCAGAAAATTTTTCATCCATGTTAGAAGCTTACCTGTCACCTGTCCAATATTTTCCAGTTTCCAGAACAACCTCTTATGTGGAACTCTGTAGAAAGCCATTTTTTAGGTCCAGATAGATGCAGTCAACCCAACCATTTCTTTCCTGTAAAATCTCTGTGGCTCTATCATAGAAACTGAGTAAATTCGATACACAAGATCTTCCAGATTGAAAACCATACTGTCTGTCTGATATTATATTATTTCCCTCCAGGTGTTCTACCCATTTAGTTTTAATTATTTTTTCCAATATTTTGACTATTACACTTGTCAGTGATACAGGTCTATAATTGAGGGGGTCTTCCCTGCTGCACTTTTTGTAGATTGGAACTATGTTAGTCTGTTTCCACACATCTGCTATGACTCCTGTACACAGGGATGTCTGAAAAGTCAGCCAAAGTGGTGTGCTGAGCTCAACTGCACATTCTCTCAGCACCCATGGTGAAACTCCATCTGGGCCAACTGCTTTGTTCTTTCTTAGCTCCAAGAGTATTTGTTTCACTTCGTCTCCAGACACCTCTATGTGCTCTATGTTGTTCTCTGGAATTCTTATTGTGTCTGATTCCCTGAAAATCTCACTTTGTACAAACACACCTTGGAACTTTTTGTTTAATGTTTCACATATTTCCTTTTCATTTTCCATGTATCTGTCCCCCATTTTCAACCTCTGAATATTATCCTTTACCTGCAGCTTGCTTATAATGAATTTATAGAAGAGGTCTGGATCTGATTTAATATTTGTCTACTGTACCATTCTCAAAGTTCCTCTCTGCCTCTTTCCTTACTAACGTGTAGTTGTTTCTCGCATCTTTGTATTGCTGGTATGTTTGGGGGTTTGGCCTCTTCCTATAATGATTCCATACTTGTGTCTTTTGATCTCTGGCCCTCTTGCAATTTCTGTTGAACCAATCCTGTTTCCAAGGTCTGCATCTCTGTTTTGGTATGAATGTTTGTGTGCCTTCATCGCATATTTTGCAAAATATGGCATACATTTCATTTACATCCTTACCTAGCAACAAGTCTGTCCAATTATACCCATGAAAAAATTTCTAAGTTCCCCATAGCGTCCTCTCTTGAAATTGAGGTTAACAACTGTTTCAATGTCCCCATTCTCTACTAGATTATATCGCAAAGCGTATTTAATGTCCAAGAGGATGTGATCACTCTTTCCCAAGGGAGGAAGATACTGGATGTCAAATACCTCTTCTTCTTTCCTGGTGAATATTAAATCCAGTATTGATGGAACATCCCCTTCCCTCATTCTTGTGGCCTGCTTGACGTGTTGATACATGAATGTCTCCAAGATGAGGTTTACAAATCTGCCTGTCCAAATGTCCTCTGTTCTTGCCTCGTAGGTTGTGGGTGAGGTAGGTTGAGGTAGGTTGTACCTTGTAGGTAGGTTGTAGGTTCTTGTAGTAGATTGTTGTAGCCTCAGTGTCATCCTGGTTGTGCTTATGCTCTTGTCTCTGTCCTGATCCCTCTTACATGGCTAAAGATGGGAGGTCTTCTTCCCAGCATGGCCCTATTCTTGAGCTGGCATGATTTTTCTGGCCTTGCTTCCAGTTTCATGGTCTGTGGAAGTTTGCCACCCTCAAGGCCTTCTCCAACATGACATACATGGATTTCCAAACCCAGGATACCTGCTTGATGGGGTTCTGGGAGTTCTTCTACTCCCCCAAGCCCAGCCAGAGACCAGGCTTGACTTGTGAGAGCTTGGTCCAACAAGGCTGTTGCTTGGAATGGCCAAGGAGTTTGGAAGGACAAACCATACATTCACCAAGTTATTCTTTTCCAGTGATCCATGTCTTCATTATTGGTATATGACATGGAGACTTCTCTACTCCTACTAGTCTTCTCATTGGCAGTGGAGTCAGGAACTGGATCTTCACTTTTTCGAGGCTGGAGTTCTCCTTATTGTCTCTGGTGCCCGCCTTTTCCTCCTCTTATTGTGCCGGTTTTTCTTGGGCCAAGTGGGATGGTGGTGTGTGATAGTGGGCTGACTCTTGCATCACTGCTGGGACCATGTGGTGGTGGGCATGGTTGCTAGGAGTAGCAGAGCAAAGTTTGGTTTTGTTGTCTGTTTGATTTCAAGTACTGCTTGCAGGATGTTTGTAAACATTGAGGAATTTAGCATCTCATGATCACTTAGTTTTGGACTGAGAATTTCTAGTGTATGCCTTTCTCTTGTTATGGTGTGGCAGGGAATTTAGAGAAAATCCCTGCTGCGTCAGGAGAGTGAAAGACACAAATGCCCCATTTTGACAACTATATAATGTAATTAACAAAATTTAAAGTTCCTGATTGACATTTGGACTCATCATATAATATGTAAGTACAGTATCCACATAGGAAAAAAATAACAAATTCTAAGCACTCATGTTTCAACACATTCTTCAAGGAATACAGAAGCTTCTGTATCCTTTGAACAATATGTTAAAACATGCAGGGGCTTGGATTTTTTTTTCCTATGTGGATATTTGTGTAAAAGTAAATCACATGTTTTTGTGATTATTCATATATCATGTACAATAATTAATAACTAAATATATATATGAAACTAAATTTAATGTGGTATGTGATTTGTGTAGTTATGCACACAATTCATGCATTTTAAAATAAATGGTCACTAAGTATTTTTTGTATTTTGCCATAGGTCTAAACTGCATCACAATGCAGCATTTGTGCAGATACCAATTGGTTTGGAGAGCAATACAAAAGGAATCATAGACCTGGTGGGTCAAAAGGCACTGTACTTTGAAGGAAACTTTGGGTAAGTAAATTATTTATTCAGTTTTTTATGGGGTCTGGTTCTCCAAACAAGAGTGGCCATCACACACCAGCCAGCTAACGCTAGCTCCGTCCCTCCCCCCCTCCTCACACCATACTAGTCACATCACTAATTCTCACCACACTACGCACATCACTAATTCTCACCACACTACGCACATCACTAATTCTCACCACACTACGCACATCACTAATTCTCACCACAATATGTAATCCTGTAAGTGGATAATTTTCTAAAAGTTTATTTTGTAAAGGAACATGAAAAGTAATTTCAAGATTCTTAGATGGACCAAACAATGGCAGTGTGCTGTGGGTAGTGCTGTGTCATTTTGAACAGCATTGTGTTCATTGATATCCAAACATTGTACACGGTCTTTATCACAGTCAAGCTCTTCTGTAATTCTATTATGGCTAAATAATACCAGTTACAGTGTGTCTTCACTTGAACGAACTATATGGGGCGAGGCCGATTCATTGCAGTGCGGAATTCGTTCCATTCGTCCGGCCCCCCAAAAAACCTCCGACTCCCCTCCCCCATATTTTTTTAAGCTTAATTTATGTAATCTTTCTAAATCTAAAATCTAGTTTCTAAATCTAGCAATAAATTGTTGTGTTTTACTGTACTTACCTTACCAGTTGAGTTGTGCAGTGTAGACTTTTAGCCTCAATACCCTGAGAGTGCCAGATATGATATGAATATAAATTCATTAAAGAACAATAATTTTTCTAACAAATGTACATCATACACTACAGTCTGTACATAAAGTACAGACCACTAGAATCACACTACTGAAGTAAACGTATACAGTACTGTATCACTTAAACTACACTTTTTACACTTTGTACATTTATGTCATTAGAACTGTGTTATACAGCTCAATTGGCACTCCCAGGTAAGTTACGGCTAATGCTGGCTGTTGGTCCAGTGACTGGGGGCAGCTCCAGTGGCTTCCTGAAGCTATATTGCTTCACATTAGTCACATTAGTCATAGTCATCTTGTTGGCATGCCAGGGACCAGAGCTAGAATCTGGCCACCCTGACAGAGAGGCACAGGGAGCAGGGAATTTTTATGATCACCCTCACCGGGAAGGTAAGAAAGTAGGTGAGACAAGACAGACAACTGAATGGTTCATGAAAACAAAGCACTAAAATAGTCACCAGACACCACAGAACACTCAAAATAAAAGGGTTAGTTCCAAACTGGGTACATAAAACCCCTCTTTAGTATGCATATGCAGAGCTGCCAGCTGGTGGTGTCCAGAGTAGAAGCCACACATCTGCTCAGTCCTGTTGCTGATGTGGCTTTGGCCACTCTTTTTACTTTCACCTTTGATAGCTAGTCCTACTTTTTTTTTAAGATAAATGACAGCTATCCTTTGGACATTGTTCTGTGGGTCCATTTGCTGGTATATCATTCTTAACCTTCTGTTTTTACTCGACACTTTACTCGAAAGCACTGATAGCAGCCTGCGGGCCGCTCCAAGCAACAGCTTGGTGGACAAAACTCTCACAAGTCGAGCCTGGCCTCGGGCCGGGCTTGGGGAGTAGAAGAACTCCCAGAACCCCATCAACCAGGTATCAACCAGGTACGACAAGCTTGTTTTTGCGAGTCTTGCTTATTGTACGGACGTAGTTTAATATGTAGTATGCGCTGCATTTGTTTAGGGTGACCCTTCATGAAGCATTCATTTAACATTGCCCCTGCACTATTAGAGTTGCTTCTCTGCTGTGTTTGGGATTTTGCCCCTGGGAGGTGAAGCTACCAGGGTGGAAAGCCTTGCCCTAGGTAGTGTATGCATTGAGATTCCTCTGTAAGACCCTGTGGTTGGGGGCATTCTCTTTGTTTACATGTGAGATATAATAGGATTTCTGTGCTTGTTTATATGGGTCACTGCTGGAGCCTTTCACAGCTGTGTTTATAGTATAGGTTGCATTCAGTGTCTGTTCTGGAGAGCATCTCTAATGCCTGGGTGTCCTGTTCGATTAGTCATCTCCAGGCCCTGGCAACCTCCTTGCTAGTCTGTGGTGTGATTTGTGATTGGTCGACCTGTTGAGCCTGCACTAGCCGTGTTTAAATTTCAGGGATGTTGGTTGGCATTGCTACACGTAGTCGGTCATTTATTCTCGACTGTTAGTTAAATGTTACCCTCTGCCCAGAGACATGTAACTAGTTTGGTGCCAAAATTGAGAGGCCTTGGGTATGAGGACAGATTAAGAGAACTCGCCTTCACAACCTTAAAGAAGAGAAGAAACAGGATATGATGATAACATTTGAGATCTTGATTGAAATAAAGGAAGCATGTTAAAATAAAAGGAGGTAGGACAAGGGGACCTCAATGGAAACTGGACATGCAGTCTAGTCAAAGGGATGTATGGAATTTCTCTCTTTTTCTGCATGGATGATTGGCAAGTGGAATTCACTGAAGCAAGTCACTGAATCCAATTTCACCCACAACTTAAAAAAGAAAAGTATGATAAAAATGTTAATGTTGAGAGAGGTAATTAGTGCTCCAGGTCAGCCCATCCTACTTTTTTGGTAGTACTGTACAGCATTGTACTTATAGTAGCCATGATAACCGTAGTATATATATCGACGTACAATGCAATTAGAAAGTAGAAATTGGCACTATTGAGTTAGACAAACCAGAAAACTATTTTCTACTTATGTTGGAAAGACAAACTAAACTACCCTAACCTAACCTTATTAGACCTAATACACTCTATCAGAGGCCTAATATTGTACATGTGTGTGCTATACTAGGCCTAAGGATATTTAAGTTTGTTTTTTATTTTCATTTTTTCAACTCTTATAAAGTGAATAGTACAAAGTTCTACTGTCTAATTGCTTAGAATGTCAATTTTTGTACTATAGCACACATAGTTACAAAAACTACTATCTAAACAGGAGAATGGGTTGGCCAGGTAGGAACAGCTAGGAGGTGGGGGTATGAAAAGGTAGATCTCACTCCATATCCATTGACAAGAAAGCACTGATAGGTAAGCATCGATTCACTATACTGTATTGCTAATTTAGCTTCAGGCCTTGTCTTTTTCTGGGGGAAGCCCCTTCGGCTCCCCGGAGCTTACTAGATTGATATGCTAATGTCAGACTTTGGCATCAGTCATGTGTATGGAGTTCTGTGGGCCTACCGGGGACCACGAGCCAGAACCTGGCCCCCTCAGAAGAGGCAAGGGAGAGCAATGGCCTGTAGAAACCCCTGTGTGGTTGGAAGCATTCTGTGTCTGCCATCGACTGGGTCAGGCGCCCAGAATGGTAAGCATCCCAAAACAAATCTCTATTCTGGTGAAATTATTGCTACCAAAAGCAGAACAAGTGGATAGAACTTCCCTAAAAGAAACGAGCAAACAATGATGAAGTCACACGTTGCCGCCCCGCTGTCTGTGCAGTTCCCCCCTTCCCGGGAGGGGGAAGGGGGAGCCCCAGACTCCTCACGCCAGCCATCCACCCTTCAGTTCTAAGGCTGATGCTAAAGGCTGAGGTCGTGTGCTTTGGCTCTGGTGGTTGTTTCAGCACTGTACCTAGTATGTGGTGACTGTCTTCTAGGTGGTGCATGAGCCGCGAATGATTCTCCAGTACTCGGGCTGCATACTCCTAAGGTTTCTTTCCCTAGGTGCCCTGTAAGTACTGCCCTTGGGGCTTGGGGCCACCTTCCACAAGTTCCTTGGGTTCTGCCCCTGCTAGGCCGTTTACTGCTTGGTTTTCGGCGGCCCATTGTGTGCTCTAGGTCGTTTGCTCCCCGGGAGCCCTGGGGCCGCCCCGTTTTGGTTCATTCTGGACTTGAACAGTCTGAACCCCATGGGGGTCTTGCCCCTCCTTCAGGATGACTACTCTATCCCAGGTTCATCTTTTATTGCAGCTGGGCACTTGGATGGTGTCCCTGGACCTCAAGGACTCGTATTGGCACGTCCCGGTTCATCCAAGGTTCAAGGACTGGCTTGGTTTTGTTGTGGGGTGTCGAGGTTACCGCTTTCATTGTCTTCCCTTCAGGTTGAATCTGGCGCTTCGCTTTTTCACACACCTTACTTGGGTCGTGGTGTCTCGCCTGCGTCTGTTAGGTGTTCGGGTTCTGGCCTACCTCGACGACTGGTTGATTTGGGATCCCAGACAGTCCGTGTGTCTGCTTGCCAGGGATTTGGTTTTTTCGCAGCTCGCCGGGTTCGGGTTCTTGGTGAACTGTAGGAAGTTCCATCTGATTCCCTCTCAGGTTCGGTCTTGGCTGGGTTTGGTTTGGGATGCTCGCTCCGCTTCTTTGTCTCTGGGGGCTCTGCTTCACCTGCAGCCCCGCCTTCGCCTGTTTCTGAGGGGTTCCCGGGTCACGCGGCGGTTGCTCGAGAGTTTGTGCGGGAGCCTGAACTTTGCCATGATGGTCTACCCGCTGGATTGGGTGTGGCTTCGTCGGCTGTTCTGGTTCCTTCGGGTACGGCCCTTCCGCTTCTCGCGATCGTTGGGTTCGGCCTCTGGGGGCTTTGGGTTGGTTGCTGTGTCGCCGGCTTCCTCTAAGGGTTTTCCGGGGTTCAGTGCCTTGGCGCCTCCCCGAGCCCTCGCTCGATGTGTACACAGACGCGTCTTCTCTTGGCTAGGGTTTTGTGACCAGTGCTCACTAGGCCGGCTAGGGACGATGGGGTCCGTCCTTCCGTCGGGCTCGCAGCATGGTTCGGGAGTTCGCGGCGGTGTGGATGTCGCTCCGGATGGTTCGAGTCGCTCACAGATCGACGATCCAGCTCCATTCGGACTGCTCCCGGTGGTTCATTGCCTGAACCGAGGGGGTTCGATGCGATCCTTGGCTCTTTGGGGCTGATCGCTTCGGGTGACTCGTCTGCTGAGTTCTCGGGGTTTGGCTCTCCTGGCGGTTCACGTCCAGGGGGTGTCCACCGTCCTAGCCTGTGACAGCCTGTCTCGTGTCCTTCCCCTTTCTACGGAATAGACGGTCGACGCCGACTCCTTCAGTTGGCTGTGTCGGACGTTCGGGACTCCGGACGTGGATCTCTTCGCGTCGGCGTGGTCGAGACGCCTCGAGGTATACGTGGCGCTCTTCCCCGACTGTAAGGCCGTCAGGGTCGACGCCTTCAGGCAGGACTGGGCGAGGTGGGGTTACCTGCACCTCTTTTCCCCAGCTCCGCTGTTGCTCTAAGTCCTGGCTCGTTTGGAGACTTACCAGGGAAGAGTTGTCCTTCTGGCTCCTTGGTGGCCGGCCCAGTCTTGGTTTCAGGCACTGCTTGCTTGGTGTCTGAACCCGAAGGTCTTCCTGCAGCTCCGCCTCTTTCAGCGGATCGGTCCTGCCCGGTACAAGGCTGGTTCGGTCTTCTTGAGTCTTCGCTTCTGAAGTTTTTGACTTGGGTTTATCATCATTTGTATGGTGCACAGGTGGCTTCGTTGTTGATCTCCCACCTGCGTGCTTCGTCTCGGCGACAGTATGAAATTTCCTGGCGGTCCTTCCGGTTCTTCCTATCACTGCGTAGGTATTCTTCGGTCTCTGATAAGGTTGTTCTGTCCTTTCTCTCTTGGTTGCTCCAGGAACATCATCTTATGCCCAATAAGGTCGCCTCCTGTTGTGCGGCACTGGCGGAGCCGCTTCAGCTTGCTTTCGGTGTTGATGTTGATGTTGTGTTACTTCTGCTCCGTTCCGCAAGTTGTCTCGGGCGTTGTTTCACCTCCGGCCTGCTCATGCGCCTCCTGAGCCGTCCTGGTCTTTGGACCGGGTGCTCTCGTTTCTCTCTTCTCGTCTGTTTGTTGTGGCCCATTCCGTTCAGGATTGTTTTTCTAAGGCTCTTTTTTCCTGTTGGCATTGGCCTCTGGGGGTCGGATCGGGGAGCTTCCTGATCTTCTCCGGTACAGGGGTTTCTGCGGTTTCTGCTCCTTTGATACTGGTGGTTGTTTTGTTCGGTTGCAGCCGTCTCCTTCTTTTCTGGCGAAGAATGAGACTGCTGCTTTCTGGAGGGGGCCTTGGGTTGTTGATGCTTGGTTGGTTAAGCCAGAGGTGCATCATGTGTTGTGTCCGGTTGCGGCTCTCCACCGTTATTTGCGCGCCACGGCTTCAGTGGCCGGGGATACGCTTTGGGTTGACCTGGTTTCCCTTCTAACCAGTTCCCAGGCTCGGGTCTCTCAGGTTGTCCGCAGGGTTATTAAGTCTAGCCAGCTTGCGGTTTATCCCCGTACCCATGGCGTGCATAAGTTGACTGCTTAGGCTGGCGTCTTTGGCAACATGTCTTGGGTTGACATTCGGGGGCGTGGTTTTTGGAGGTCAAACAGGGTCCTGGCTGCTCACTACCTAGTGAATGTTCCTGTGCCAGGTAGGGCCTGCATTGCCTTGGGTCAGAGGTTGTAGCCAGTTGTCTTGACTTCGCGTTGAGGAGTGAGGATGAACCGCTTTCTGGGCAAGTCCCTGTTTTTTCCTTATCTTTGGGTACTTAGCTCCGATGGGGCTGCCACCAGAAAACCAGCGTTAAATGTAATGAAACGTCATTTTCTAAGTGAGTCCCGGAGGCTCCCCGGCATCCCTCCCTCCCTCTGGTCTGTGGTGTTTTTCGCGTTTTTTGACATCCAGCCTAAGAACTGTAGATTGGGTTACCGGCAGATGAGTCTGGGGCTCCCCCCTTTCCCCTCCCAGGGAGGGGGGGGGTTGCGTCAGCTGCGCGGCGACATGATGACGTCATGCTAGTTTGCTAATTTTCGTTTGGGGAGTTTTGTCCACCTGTTCGGCTTTCGGTCACACTAATTTTACCAAACAAATAATTAAACAAATGGGGTTTGTTTTCGGGCGCCTACCTTTCTGGGTGCCTGTCCCGGTCGATGGCAAACATAGAATGCTCCCAACCACAGGGGGGGTCTCTATAGGCCATTGCTCCTCGTGCCTCTCTAGAGGGCACGAGAAACACCTGATGTTTCTGTGGGTCTGATGCAACATTCTGATGTAGATGATTAAGCTGATGCAGCATTCTGTTGTAGATGATGCAGCATTTAGGTGTAGCTGCTACAGTTTATATATAGTAGCAGCCCCACACACAAAAGTTTAACCACCATGCTGCGCGGAGTTTATTGTGAAATTCCCACAGTGCGCATGAAATAAAATGTTCCCAAAAAATTCTTTTTTCTTCGTAAAATGATAAATTCCCTTCCCTGAACATGTCTATGTAAAAATATATACCAAATTCCACTTACTTTGGCTGTGGGCACGTGGACAAGGTGTGCTGTGACGTCATCAGGGCCTGGTCTCCCGTGGGTTAATCGCCCAGACACGGTCGCGCGGGCCATTCAAGCACCGGGTGTTGCCACAAATATATTTTCAATTATTTGTTTTATGTATTTCCAATGTGGTTTTATTTGTTTTTTATCGTATATGATGCATATTTATGTCCTTTACAATATGTATACAGTAGAACGTAAATAATGTTCCCTGGAACTGTGATACATGTGTCAGTAATGTGTCCACAATAAATGTTTATTGTTGCAATATTACCTGTTAAAAATTCACTAAAATTACAATATGTACAGTTTCACACACTATTTACACAGTAACACATTGTATTACACACTCAGTACTTCGGAAGTGAGTAATAATCAACGAAGTAGCCCATGGTACACAGTGCGACTTCGCTCTCAGTGCACCAGGTACAGATAAATTTTCGCTTCCTGTTTCTTCATTCTGTGTGTTTACAAATAATGCACTCACATACACCCTTGGCTTTAGTACTTGTAGGTTGTATGTAGCCAAGCTTGTAAAGCATAAGGTAGTCTTGAAAAGATCACTTTTGGTCCCACACAGGAAGAGATTCAGCATACTTCAAGTGTGTCCGTCAGTCAGAAAGAGATTCAGGTAGCCTCAAAGAGTGTCCGTCAGTTAGGAAGAGATTCGGGTATTCTTGAAAATATCTATGGAAAACACTACCATGGAAGCCGCTAACACTGTTTATCTATGCTATTTGTATCGGATGCATCATCACTGAACGCAGAAAATGATTCATCTATGTATCATCTAAATAAATAGCATAGGATTGCAAGGGTGATGCTCAGAGCTACAACTGGATAAGCTCGTTGTATCGTCCTCATAGGTGCTATATCACTTGCATCCGACTTTTGTGTTAGGTCCTTATTGCGCCTAGCTTCGCCAATATTATGACCCTTATGTTCTTCAAACAATAAGGTTTGAATTTCACCGACAGAGCATTATCTTTCAACACCACGTCGGACTGGTGTTTGGGAGCCAGAGGCGCGTGCGCCACCTATGGTTGCTCATTCAGTACTAACAGCAGCCCTAGGACATTCTGGGATTTTTTCCAAGATGGCTGCCTCTCACTGGAGGATCTAAGAGTCCATTTCGTACACAACCAACCTCGTACACATTTAGAATTGGTCACCAAAAATCAAAGAGAGTTTTCTAGGTTGGCGCAGTTTCCCGCCGACCGAGAATACTCGGTTGGCGCAGTTAAGTGGTTAAAACACAGTTTTGTGATGTTTTACTTAAGAGTTTGCTTTGGTGGTACAGTAGATTGCTCTGTGATCCCTCTCAGGCCTTAGAAAGTAACCAGAGGTCTAATTGTTACCATCTCCCATAGTGAATCGGTGCCTTTAGCTCAGGGGGGTACCAGCTGAAGGTTCTCTATATAAGTGGCATTTTACTATGTCCACTGCTCTATTTTAAATGCTACAGGTTAATATTTTTATATTTTGTTGGCAGAAATACTGTACGTGAAGATGAAATACCAGCTGATATGAGAGTTGAGGCTGAGGAGCGTCATATAGAGCTTATAGAGCATCTTTCCAATGCGGATGAAGTTATTGGGGAATTGTTCTTGGGTAAGGATATATTGCTAGTTTTATTTTTTTCATATAAAGATTGTCCATGTTCACTATAACCATTACCGATAGTTTTACCCTGAGCCACACCCATCAAAGTTGTTCAGCTGGCTCAAGCCCTGGTACCCTATAAAACCAAATTTCTTCTGTTTTGGCCTGATTGATGTTAATTCATGAATGTTACGTGTTCTCAGTACAGTGTTGGGTAGTCTTGTGTCAGTTTGCATTTTTTATTGTAAAAATTACATAATGTCATTGTGTTTAAATAGCTACAACATATGAGTTAGGCATTATTTTTATTAAGGTATTTATTTGATCTACAGAGGAGAAGACACCAACAGAAGAACAGCTGCACGCAGGCATCCACCGTGCGTGTCTGCAGCAAACCTTCACCCCGGTGTTTGTTGGTACAGCACTGAAAAATAAAGGAGTTCAGCCTCTCCTTGATGGTGTTCTTAGATACTTGCCAAACCCTGGGCAAGTAAAAAATTTTGCCCTGCACCAAATTAGTGAAGGGTAAGTTTCTTACAATTAAAATTTTCACTTGTCCTGTGTATTAGAGTATTGTACAAGAAAAAGGTTATTTTTATCTCAGCTTTCATGTCATAATTTGCTGTGTATATTCACGTTTAAGGAGAGTTTCAAATACAGAAATGGAAAGTACAGAAAAAGAGTGAGTGTATTGAGGAAAAAGAAATGGAATAAGTTAGAATTTAATAATTATAGTGAATAAAGTTTTCATACGTTAGCTTTTTCTTTATGCTCATTTGAGTGTAAGAAATCTTGTCAGAAACTCCCTTATGAAGAAATCAGTACTGCACATCAAATTTCCTTGTGTGCTGCTCGTCCAACTGTAGAAAAACAGGTTTAAATTTCTAACACGTTATCTTTCCATATCACATGCAGGGTTTCATTACATATCTTGGGGGTCAATGATGCATTCCACTGTCCAACAACCATCTGTCTCCAAACTAAAATTACTTATTACACTAATGTGCTGGTAATCTGGGATCCATGTGACTTCAATGCCTTGTTTTAACAATGTAAATTTGTTTAAATAATTTCCTGTTTCTTCACTTCAGAAAAAATGAATATAGTGATTTTAGTTTTGACAGATTTTTTTCTGTGAGAACCCCCCACCTCCTCCTCCAGTAGCTCCCAAGACTGGAAGCATCCAAGTCTTGGGAACACACAAGGACTCTTAAAATCCATGGAATTAATGGAATGGAGTTCATGGAATTCAATATTTATAAAGAAATGCAATGTGCCAGTAGCACAGGCACTCAGTATAGTGTGGAGGAAGAGCTTGGACACGGGGGAGATACCAGATGTGCTTAAAGCAGCAGACATAGCCCCTCTACACAAGGGAGGGAGCAAAGCATTAGCAAAGAATTATAGACCAGTTGCACTAACATCTCACATAATAAAAGTATTCGAGAGAGTGATTAGAAGTCAGGTCACCAGTTTCATGGGGACCAATGACCTTCACAACCCAGGTCAATATGGATTTAGAGTGGGAAGATCGTACTTCTCACAGCTATTTGATCACTACGGCAAGTCACTGAGGCATTAGAAGAAAAGCAGAATGCAGATGTGGTATACACAGACTTTGCAAAGGCATTCGATAAATGTGACCATGGAGTCATAGCACACAAAATGAGGTCGATAGGAATAACCCGATAAAGTAGGACCCTGGATACTCAGTTTTTTGTCAAACAGAACACAGAGTAACATAAATTGAGTCCAAGCGTAGTTACAAGCTCTGTACCTCAGGGTACAGGGTTCCTTGCACTACTGCTTTTCCTTATTCTCATATCAGATATAGATAAAAATACAAGTCACCACTTAGTATCATCCTTTGCAGATGACACAAAAATCAGCATGAAAATTACCTCTGCTGAAGACATTGAAAAACTTCAAGCAGATATTAATAGTTTTTGACTGGGCAACAGAAAATAACTTGATGTTTAACAGTGATAAATTCCTGATACTCAGGTACGGCAAAATTGAGGACCTTGAATATAATACAGGGTACAAAACACAATCAAATCTGCTCATAGTAGGAAAGCAACATGTCAAGGATTTGGGAATAATGATGTCTGATGACCTAATGTTTAGGGAGTAAGCAAATAAATAAGTAACCAAGCAAATATTGCGTCAGCCAGAAAAATGATAGGAATGGATTATGAGAATTTTCAAATCCAGGGATCCCATCACAATGGTTATACTATACAAATCGCTTGCACTGTCCCATCTTGAGTATTGCTCAGTACTCACTTCCCCCTTTAAAGCAGGAGAGATTGCTGAAATGGAGGGAATACAGAGAACATATATGGCACACACAGACGTGATAAAGTCTCCGTGGTGTAGTGGTAAGACACTCGCCTGGCGTTCCGCGAGCGCTATGTCATGGGTTCGTATCCTGGCCGGGGAGGATTTACTGGGCGCAATTCCTTAACTGTAGCCTCTGTTTAACGCAACAGTAAAATGTGTACTTGGATGAAAAAACGATTCTTCGCGGCAGGGGATCGTATTCCAGGGACCTGCCCGAAACACTACGCGTACTAGTGGCTGTACATGAATGTAACAACTCTTGTATATATCTCAAAAAAAAAAAAATAAAAAAAATAAAGCACCTAAATTTTTGGGATCGTCTCAAAGCTCTGCAAATGTACTCACTAGAAAGGAGACGAGAGAGATATCAAATAATATACACGTGGAAAATACTGGAGGTCCATTTCCCAAATCTACACAGTAAAATAACAACATACTGGAGTGAACGACATGGTAGAAAATGCAGAATAGAACCAGTGAAGAGTAGGGGTGCCATAGGCACAATCAGAGAACACTGTATAAACATCAGAGGTCCACGGTTGTTCACCATCCTCCCAGCAAGTATAAGAAATATTGCCGGAACAACCGTGAACATCTTTAAGAGAACACTAGATCGTTTTCTCCAAGGAGTACCAGACCAACTGGGCTGTGGTGGATATGTGTGGGATTGTGGGCCACTCCAAGCAACAGCCTAGTGGACCAAGCTCTCACAAGTCAAACTTGGCCTCGGGCCGGGCTTGGGGAGTAGAAGAACTCCCAGAACCCCATCAAGCAGATATCAAGCAGGTACCCATGACCACCCACTGGCCACCACCACCGCAGTCTCTCCCATTCGAAGAGGTTAATACTTTCATCCGGTAGCGACGCAATTTGCGCCCATTAAAAATCTTACGGATGTCCAGTGCGGATGCATGTTGCGTCCGAAATTAAAATATTTGTTAAAATTCCATTTATCGTTTGATTGTTATGGGACTAGTTTTAAAATGAGCGCCTTTTGATTGTGAAAAATTTGATACCGAATGAATGATGTAGCATGACAATTGAGGTCAGAACACTGGAAAGAGTACATATGTTAGTGTGGGTGCACATTTCCGGGAAATGCCAGGTTCACCTTGAGGTGGGTTGGGCGCCCGCACCGAGTGCGGGAAAGTGTTATTTGAAGTGTGGTGATCAGAGATGTTCACTGAAAGGAGTAAAAGGCCCACCAAAAGCAAAAATGCTACAAGAAGAGAAATGGAGAAATTTGTAACCTTGACAAAGCAATACAAACATTTGTTACTGCAGTGAAATCACTGCCAAGACGTACTCACCTGCCACCAGATGATAGGTCAGGTGACCCTGAGTACCGATCAGCCAGCCAGCCAATTCGCAAGCCTGGTGTGCTTATGACAACCCTCGACTGTACAGGACCCTGTTTCCTTTCAACTTTAAGATGAGTGGTGTAGGCCATCCCTATGTTGGGTTCGGCCTCATATATCTATCTACAGGCTCACCATAGCCCGTGTTACTTGGAACTTTTTGTTCCAGGTAGCGAATCTTTAACAACAACAACAACTCCAGGGCCTTGCGTCGGTTGCTGTGTAGCCGGCTTTCTCTTCGGGTTTTTCCCAGACTACAGAGAGACAGGCACATTCCTATGTTTGTTTCAACAAACATAGTAATGTGCCTCAATGCCAATAGTGACTGCCCAGACAGGTACAAGAGGAGTGTTGTCAACGCTTACGTCAACCGGGCTCTCAGCCACACCTCAGGATGGAAGCAAGTCAATGAAGAACTCTGTAGAGTAAGGCAGGTCCTAGTCAACAATGACTTCTCTAATGGTTTTGTTGAAGACGTCATAAAAAGAAAGGTGAAATGCCATGCAGGCTTTGAAGAGTCAATTAACACAACACTTGCACCCTCTATTAGACTGTTTTACAGGAACTTCTCTTCGACTGCTCAAAAAATGGAGGGAAAGGGTTTTAAAGACATTATTGATATGAACATTATCTCTACAGACAAAAATCAGAAAATACAATTGATAATTTACTACAAAAACAAAAAAACGGCCAACCTACTCATGAAAAACTCCCCAGACACCAAACAGAACGTCTTGAAGGAAACCAACATCGTCTATGCCTTTAAATGCCCACTTGGGGACTGTAAGCCCCAAAGAACTCAGTATGACAACAACGTAAGTCATACGTAAGACAATAACATCTCTTTCCAGGCAATTAACATTACATAAATAACATGGCTCCATCAAGGAACACACAACTTCTCACAACCAGACCACCACCAGAGAAATCTTAACAAACAACACACAAATCATCTATAAATACAACGATAGCAGGAAGCTCGACATCAGCAAGGCACTACACATCAAAAAGTCAACACCAGCAATCAATAGCCAATTAATGCACAACTATATTCTACCCACTTCAAGACCCCGAACCAACATGGAAGCAGCAAGAGGAGGTATGGCCCAATAGGCCTTCTGCAGTTACTTCCATTCTTATGTTTTCATACCCAATTTATACCCATTGTTTCGTGTTCTGTCTTGTGTTTGTCACCTCACCCAAAATTTTTGTGCCATATCACCTCACCCAAAAAGAGTATAAGTACGATGAATTTGTATCTGTAAACTAAGTCTTTGAAAATGTAATAAGAAGTTATGAAACGCTTTCAGGCATCAGACAATAAATAAAAATGAATTTTGCATATTTGATATTTCAATTAGCATCGACAGTGAAGATAAACATAAGAAATATTGAGAAAATTCGTGTTAGAATTATTAATCTTACCTTTTCAGTCATATTCAACAAAATATGTTTACAAGAAAAACTGCTACCAAAATATACAAAAATATATATATATATAATATAGTTTCTAATTGAAAAAGTTTTTAGGTTCTGGAAAGTTTGACTGGAAAATTGAATTAATGAATTTCAAATTGTAATACAAATACCTGTAATAAAATACTCAGAAATTATTTATTTCTGGGGGGAGCCCCTGCGGCTCCCCGGAGCTTACTAGGCTGATACGCCCATGTCAGACTTTGGCATCAGTCATGTGTATGGAGTTCTGTGGGCCTACCGGGGACCACGAGCCAGAACCTGACTCCCTCAGAGAGGCATGGGGAGCAATGGCCTATAAAAACCTCCGTGTCATTGGAAGCATTCCATCGACCAGGTCAGGCACCCAGAAATATAAGCATCCCAAAACAAACCCCTATTCTGGTGAAAATATTGCTACCAAAAGCCGTACAAGTGGATAGAACTCCCCTAAACGAAACGAGTAAGCAAGCATGACGTCACACATTGCCGCATCGCTGTCTGCGCAGCTCCCCCCCTCCCTGGGAGGGGGAAGGGGGACCCCAAGACCCCTCATGCCGGGTATCCACCCTTCAGTTCTAAGGCTGCTGCTAGTGGTTGAGGTCGTGTGCTCTGGCTCCGGTGGTTGTTTCAGCACTGTACCTAGTGTGTGGTGACTGTCTTCTAGGTCTTCTAGGGAGCCGGCGGCTGAGCGGACAGAACACTGGACGTGTGATCCTGTGGTCCCGGGTTCGATTCCAGGCGCCGGCGAGAAACAATGGGCAGAGTTTCTTTCACCCTGATGCCCCTTTTACCTAGCGGTAAATAGGTACCTGGGAGTTAGTCAGCTGTCACGGGCTGCTTCCTGAGGGTGGAGGCCTGGTCGAGGACCAGGCCGCAGGGACACTAAAGCCCCAAAATTATCTCAAGATAACCTCAAGATAGGTGATGCGTGAGCCGAGAGTAATTCTCCAGTACTCGGGCTGCGCATGCAGCCCGAGTACTACTGTTGGTGATCAGGTGGCATTCAGGATGAAAGAAACTTTGCCCATTTGTTTCTGCCTCGTGCGCGAATCGAACCCGCGCCACAGAATTACGAATACTGCGCGCTATCCACCAGGCTACGAGGTTTTGGTCTCCACCACCACCTTACACCACCAAGTCTCGGGCCTCTGATGTTGATAGAGTTCTCTCTCAGAGTACCTGCAGGTAGCAATATTTTCACCAGAATAGGGGTTTGTTCGGGATGCTTACCTTTCTGGGTGCCTTTCCCGATCGATGGCAGACATAGAATGCTTCCAACTACACGGGGGGTTTCTATAGGCCATTGCTTCCCATGTCTCTCTGAGAGGGGCCAGGTTCTGGCTCGTGGTCCCCGGTAGGGCAACAGAACTCCATACACATGACTGATGCCAAAGTCTGACATTAGCATATCAGCCTAGTAAGCTCCAGGGAGCCTCCGGGTCTCACCCAGAAAATGGCGTTTCATTACATTCAACGCTGGTTTTTTTTATTTCTTAAGGGAAGAAGAGAAGATGCTTCTAAATTCTGCACGTGACAACAGCAGTCCTTTTGTTGGCTTAGCCTTTAAGTTAGAAGCGGGCAAGTTTGGCCAGCTGACGTATATTAGAGTCTATCAAGGATGTCTTAAAAAAGGGGAAAATATATATAACTCGCGTACTGGCAAGAAGGTGAGTTAACTGGTGTTTGTGTTGGTAGTGCATTGTAGCTCTGGACTCTTACTGGTTACTGCTGTCCATCAATAATCTAGCCTATATTTGACCAGCAAGTTGCCAAGTTGGTATATAAGATAGCCAGAGCAACATAGCAACAACTATTTATTTGACTTTCATGATAGCCAAACTAGTATAGAAACTTTGTGGATAAAGTCAGGTTATCTATGTTTTTAAAACATTTGAAATATCTGAGGATTGTTCATACATATACTTCTGGGGAGGATTGTTCACATATACTTCTGGGGAGGATTGTTCGCATACACTTCTGGGGAGGATTGTTCACATACACTTCTGGGGAGGATTGTTCACATATACTTCTGGGGAGGATTGTTCGCATACACTTCTGGGGAGGATTGTTCACATACACTTCTGGGGAGGATTGTTCACATACACTTCTGGGGAGGATTGTTCACATACACTTCTGGGGAGGATTGTTCACATATACTTCTGGGGAGGATTGTTCGCATACACTTCTGGGGAGGATTGTTCACATACACTTCTGGGGAGGATTGTTCACATACACTTCTGGGGAGGATTGTTCACATACACTTCTGGGGAGGACTGTTCATATACACTTCTGGGGAGGACTGTTCATATACACTTCTGGGGAGGACTGTTCATATACACTTCTGGGGAAGACTGTTCATATACACTTCTGGGGAGGACTGTTCACATACACTTCTGGGGAGGACTGTTCACATACACTTCTGGGGAGGATTGTTCACATACACTTCTGGGGAGGACTGTTCATATACACTTCTGGGGAGGACTGTTCATATACACTTCTGGGGAAGACTGTTCATATACACATCTGGGGAGGACTGCTCACAGATACACTTATGAGAAGGATTGTTCTTAAACTACCTTAATAATGAAGCTTTGCTTTGCTCTCAGAATTATGTCTTCCATTTTGTGTGTCCTTTGTATCATAATTTTGATTGGCTAATTTGCAGATTGATTTTTAAAAGAAAGAAATAGATGAGATATGTGAAGTCGTGAGTCTAAGATACTGTATTTGTCACAACCTTATTGTTTAATTTTAACAGATAAAAGTGTCGAGACTTGTTCAGATGCACAGTAATAATATGGAAGACGTTACGGAAGTGTTCGCTGGTGATATTTGTGCAGTGTTTGGCATTGACTGTGCTTCAGGAGACACCTTCACAACTAATCTTAAACTGAACATCTCTATGGTTAGTATTGTATGTTTATCAACATAGGCACAATTATCTTGTATTTCTCACCTATTTATGCATTTCACTCTTATGTTTAAACTGTATTTTGTTTGAAAATTCTTAATGTTTTGAAATTAGGAAAAATATATTAAGTATATGATTTTGATCAGGGTGAGTGAGAAAGTTTGATATGTATGAGGAGTGGAAATGAACAGGACTAAATTGCAGTTCTATATTATGGACTAAATGTTTGTCAAGTTTGTTTTTATAACAAACATCAACAAACACTGTTGTTAACACTGTTGTTGAAGCTTAGGTGTAATGTGTAATTACCTATGTGTAGTTACATAATGAGAGCTACGCTCGTGGTATCCCGTCTTCCTACTAATCTTTGCCATATAATGCTTGGAAACTACTGACGGTTTTGGTCTCCACCACCACCACCTTACTTAACTTGTTCCAACTGTCTATCACTCTATATGCAAGACTGAATTTTCTTATATTTAAATCTATGAACTCTTGTTCATGAAGTTTCAGGTCCCAGGAATTCTTCCCTACCAATATTGTCAATTCCCATTACTATTTTGTACATAGTGATCATATCACCTCTTTTTCTTGGGGGAACCCCTACGGCTCCCCGGAGCTTACTAGGCTGATCTGCTAATGTTAGACTTTGGCATCAGTCATGTATATGGAGTTCTTTGGGCCTACTTGGGACCACGAGCCAGAACCTGGCCCCCTCAGAGAAGGGGGGGCAAGGAGAGCAATGGCCTATAGACACCCCCCGTGTGGTTGGAAGCATTCTATGTCTACCATCGACCGGGTCAGGCACCCAGAAAAGTAAGCATCCCAAAACAAAGCCCCGTTCTGGTGAAAATTGCCACCAAAAGCTGAACGAGTGAATAGAACTCCCCAAACAAAACCTAGCAAACTAATATGACGTCACCTGTCGCCGCGCCGCCGTCTGAGCAGCTTTCCCCCCCTCCCTCCCCGGGAGAGGGAAGAGGGAGCCCCAGACCTCCCACGCCGGCGATCCACACCCCAGTTCTTCTGCTGATGCTGAAGGCTGAGGTCATGTGCTCTGGCTTTGGAGGCTGCCCCGTTTTGGTTGGTGTGATGGGCTTGGGGGTGTTAGTTGCTTCGGTTTCCTTCCGCAGCCCCTTGTCTTTCTCCTGTTGTGGTCTAATCTGGTCTCCCCCCCCCCCCCCTTTCCTCCCGCATCCGGGTTCTTACTGTCTGTGGGTTCGGGGTCGGTGCAGTGCTTCGATGATTTTGAGACTCAGGCGGTCTCGGGAAATTCCTCTACCGGGGTAGCAACGGGGGCATTCGAGCCTGTTCCTCCAGCCGTGTTGTACGAGTCTGTCAGTGGGCCCGCCCACTGTATAATACATAATACAGTGGGCCCACAGTTCTTATGGGCCCCGGTGGGCCCATAAGAACTCCATACACATGAATGATGCCAGTCTGACATTAGCATATCAGCCTAGTAAGTTCTGGGGAGCCTCCAGGTTTTGCCCAAAAAATGGCGTTTCTTTATATTTAACGCTGGGTTTTTTCTTCCATCTTATAGTTTGGCATATTTAATACCTCTAACCTCTCCTCGTAGCTTGTCATTCATTTCCAGCAGCCATTTAGTTGCGTTTCTTTGCACCTTTTCCAATTAGTTGATGTGCTGATGTGCTTCTTAAGATATGGGCATCATATAACTCCATATTCCAGCTTTGGTCTCACTAAGGTCGTGAACAATTTCTTTATTATTTCACCATGCATGTATTTAAAAGCAATTCTGAAATTGTAAAGTGTAGCATAGGCTCCTCACACAATGTACTGTATCTTTATTATGGTCCTCAGGTGATAGTTTTCTGTCTAGAACTACCCTACATCTCTCTCTTTATCAGAATTTTTGTTAAAGCTTTTTTTCACATAATTTCTAGGTTGTTTGGTCTGTTTTCTCCTATTCGTGTTGTGTGTGGTTGTCCAGTGGTGCTTCTGAGTGTGGAAGGTAAAGTGTCTGAAATCCATTGAAGGAGACTGGAAATATGAATATCTGGAGTTTTTTTTAGATCACTGGTTGGTGGTGTGTAAGGTATGACAAAGTGGTGAAATGATGATGGTTTCTCATAATTATTCAGGAGATACAATAAGGGTTGAGTAAGAGAACTAATAGATTAGTGTAGTACAAAAGAAGGGTTCATATTAATCTTGGAGAAAAACTGTGGACAATTGAACCTTGAAACCATGTCGTATATACTGTACAAGAAAATTTTTGTTAATATCGCCAAGGAATGCCTGTCGTGGGTACTTATTGATCTCCTCATACATAGTATGTACTCGCCTAGTTGTGCTTGTGGGGATTTAGATTCCACGCTTTGGTCCCAGCCTTGGTTTCAGGCGAAGCTTGCTTGGTGTCTGAACCCGGGGGTCTCTCCGCCTCTTTCAGCAGATTGATCTGGCCTGGTATATGGCTGGTTCGATATTCTCATCTGATCTTTCTGACATGCATACAGTCCAGCAACTGCGGTCTATTCTGTGTCCATGACGTTCGCAAGCTCACGGCTTTGGCTGCTGCTTTTGGTAACAGGCTGACATTCGGGCGCAAGGCTTTTGGAGGTTGAACAGGGTCTTGGCCTCACAGTACAGTACCTTGTTAATGTTTCTGGCCCGGTTCGGGTATGTGTTGTTTTGGGTCGCAGATTGCAGCCAGTTGTCTCGACTTCAAGTAGAGGAGCGAGTGGCGGCTGCCTTCTGGGTAAGTCCCTCTTTTTCTTTTCTTTGGTTAGGTAACTGTGGGGAGCCTAAGGGGCTCTCCACAGAAATCCAGTGTTTGATGTAATGAAATGCCATTATCTGGGTGAGTCCCAGAGGCTCCTTGAGCAGCATATGGTGATATGAACTAGGGAAAATCAAAAGGAGACTATAGCCGTCCAGTACACAATGAGAGAGTAACCACTTACCCCCCAAAAAGTCACCAAAAGGGAAATTGACCCTTTGTACTACACCCTTCCTCCCTCTGGTCAGTGGTTGTTCGCGTCTTTTGACATTCAGCCTCTGAACTGAAGATTGGATAGCCAGCAGGAGGGGTTTGGGGCTCCCCCATCCCCCACCTGGGGAGGGGAGGGGGGTGCAGGGAGTGGCGCAGCGACGACGGTGGCTTCCTGCTTGTTTACTTGTTTTCGGAAGGGGGAGTTCTGCTTGCTAGTTCGGCCTTTGGTTGCAATTTTTAACCAACTGTAGTTTGTTTTGGGATGCTTACCTTTCTGGGTGCCTAACCCGGTAGATGGCAGACATAGAATGCTTCCAACCACATAGGGGTTTTTATAGGCCATTCCTCCTCATGCCTCTCTGACGGGGGATGGAAGCCAGGTTCTGGCTCGTGGTCCCCAGTAAGCTAGAACTCCATCGAATTGACTGATGCCATGGTCTATTACATACATGTCAGCTCGGTAAGCTCCGGAAGCCTCTGGGACTCGCCCAGAAAATGGCTTTTCATTACATTCAATGCAGGGTTTTTTCAGGAAAATTCTAAATTGGGAGAAAAATTCTAAACTTGTGGCGAAGTTTAGTCGTTTTGTTTAGGGGAATATATTATAGGAAGGTTGAAATTTGGGAGGTGCCACTGTAATGTGGTGATTTGTGCTTGTGACATTGACTTTATAGAACACTTTTTATTTCTTACAGGAATCAATGTATATTCCTGAACCTGTTATATCTATGGGCATCAAGCCCAAGAGAAGTAAAGATAGTGATGCATTCAGCAAAGCAATCAGTCGGTTCACAAAAGAAGACCCCACATACAGAATATATTGGGACAATGATGTCAAGGAAACGGTTGCGTGTGGCATGGGAGAACTTCATCTAGAAATTTATGCACAGGTGAGGTAGTCCTCATTATTAGAAATAAGTTGTGTGGAAACAATTTAAATAGGTTACTTCGTGAGTGTATATTATTGCTTTTGTCAATAAAAAAATTATGTATTATAGCTATATAAGTATGCTGCAACTCCTTTAACAAACTTTATTTTTTTTTAGAGAATGGAGCGAGAGTATGGCTGTGAAGTGGAAATGGGAAAACCAAAGGTGGCCTTCAGAGAGACACTTGCAAGCCCGGTCGAATTTGACTATCTCCACAAGAAGCAGTCTGGTGGATCTGGCCAGTTTGGTCGTGTCATTGGTGTTCTTGAAGTAAGATGCAAATAGAATGAACGTATATGTTGCTTTGCTAGGCCACCAATAGCCTTTAATAGCCCGGCCCCCACTCCAGTTGACACTTATAGAATTATTAAAAGACCAGGAACATAAAGCAACCAGTATAATCCATAAAATAAAGAATACAATTCACATAATAATAATTATAATAATAATAATGGTGCTAATTTTCATTAGCCTAGATGGTGCCAGGGCCGAGAAAATTGCACCAACAATGATGTACTTGATAAGGTTGGATACAGCAGGCTACCCCACTCACAACTAACCACCACCACCACCAGCTCACTTAGCTTGTTCCAACTGTCTACCACTCTGTTTGCAAAAGAAAACTTTCTAATATTTTTCTGTGGGAAGCTCCTTTGGCTCTCTTGAGCTATTGAACTGATATATGCTGTATTAGTCTGGGGCTTCAGTCAATGGAGTTCTATTTACCGGGGACCATTAGCCAGAACATGGCCCTCTCAGAGAGGTGCAGGGAGAAATGACCTAGGGAAACCTTGTGTTTGGGGGTATTCCATGTCTGCCATTGACCAGGGCTAGGCACCCAGACAGGTAGGCATCTTAAAACAGACCCACTAGATAGGAAATTGCAAAAAACCAAAGACTGAACAGAAAAACAGAACTTCCCAAAAGAAAACAAAGGAAACAAACAAGGAAACCTAGAAAGAAGACGAGAGAGATGTCAAATAATATATACGTGGAAAATACTGGAGGGCCAGGTCCCAAATCTATACAGTAAAATAACAATATTCTGGAGTGAACGATATGGAAGAAAATGCAGAATAGACCCAGTGAAGAGCAGGGGGTGCCATAGGCCCAATCAGAGAATACTGTATAAACATCAGAGGTCCACGGTTGTTCAACATCCTCAGAGTGAGCATTTGACCTTGTCCTATATGCTCATCTGGCTCCCAAGCCTACAGCCTTCTGTACACTGTTTGTATTATGGTCAATTTAGCCATTCTTTTTCTATGGGGAGCCCCTACGGCTCCCTGGAGGTTATCGGGCTAATGTATATTATGTTAGATCGGGACATTAGCTATGGAATTCAGACCTACCAGGGACCAGCGCCAGAACCTGGCCCCTTCAGAGAGGTTTCAGGGAGCAATGGCCCTGGAAAACCACATTATGGTTGGGGGTTTTCCTTATCTGCCATCGACCGGGGTTAGGCACCCAGAAAGGTAGGCATAACAAAACAAACCCCACATGGTAAGAAACTACAACAAAAACCGAACAGAAAGGTAGAAACTCCCTACAATCCCAAGGAAATTTACTGCCGCGCCGGTCGTCCGCGCAGCCCTCTCCTCCCCGGGAGGGGGAGTGGGGCCCTGGACCTCACCGTGCTGGCTGCCTTCAGTTCGGAAACTGTACTTCAACCAACGTGAAAAAAAAACGCCGACCGGATGGGAGGGAGGGTAGCCAGGGAGCTTCCGGGGCTCACCCAGAAAATGGTGTTTCATTACATTCAACGCTGGTTTTCTGTGGGGAACCCCTACGGAGCTCCCCACAGCTCCGTGGGGTATGTAGCTCTCTGGAGCTACATACCCAAAGAGAAGGAAAATAGGGACTTACCCGGGAGGCGGTGGCCACAAACTCCTCAACGCGAAGTCGAGACAACTGGCTGCAACCAGCGACCCAAAGCAACACAAGAACGCCGAGGAGCAGGGACGTTCACCAAATAACGGGCGGCCAGGACCCTGTTCGTCTTCCAAAATCCATGTGCCCGAATATGAGCCTAAGACATGTTACCAAACACGGCAGCCAAAGCTGCAAACTTCCGAACGTCATGGGCGCGAGTATAGACCTCAGGCTGGCTAGACTTAATAACCCTGCAGATAACCTGGGAGACCCGACCCCTGGAACAGGGAACGAGGGAAACCTTATCAACCTAAAGCACATCCCCAGCCACCCCAGCTGAAGCACGCAGGTAACGGCGAAGAGCTGCAACCGGACACAACACATGATGCACCCCCGGCCGAACCAACCAAGCATGAATGATCCACGGATCCCTCCGGAAGCAGCCATCTCGTTCTTCGCCAGAAAAGATGGAGAAGGCTGCAAACGGACAAACCTACCCCTAGGACCAAAAGAGCAGAAACCCCTGCGCCGGAGGAGAGCATGAAACTTTCCTACCCGGCCCCCAGAGGCTAATGCCAACAAAAACAAACCTTTTTAAAAACAGTCCGGAACCGAAGGGGCCACCACAAACCAAGGAGAGGAAAGATAGAACAGCACCCTGTCCAAGGACCAGGACGGCTCAGGAGGCACATGAGCAGGCCGGAGGTGAAACATAGCACGAGAAAGCTTACGGAACGGGCCGGATATGACGTCCACCCCGAATGCTAGCTTGAGCGGCTCCGCCAGCGCCGCACGATACGAGGTGACAGTATTAGGCATCAAATGACGGTCCTGAAAAAGCCAAGAAAAAAAGGACAAGACAACCTACGAAGAGCCAGAAAATGGCGAAAAGAATGCCAGGAAACTTCATACTGTCGCCGAGACGAAGCTCTCAGGTTGGACACCATTAACGAAGCCACCTGATCACCATAGAAATGGTGATACACCCGCATCAAAAAGACCAGATGCGAAGAACAGAGGAGAAGGTCGAACCAGCCCCGTACCAGACCGGGCTGACCTGCTGAAAGAGGTGGAGCCGCGGGAAACGTCCCAGGTTCGGGCACCAAGCCAAAAACACCGGAAACCAAGGCTGGACCGGCCATCAAGGGGCCACAAGGACTACTCTCCCTGGGAATGTCTCCAACCGAACCAGAACCCGAAGCAACAGCTGGACCAGAGGGAAGAGGTACAGGTAACCCCACCTCGACCAGTCCTGCCGAAAGGCATCCACCGCGAATGCCTCGCAGTCGGGGAAGGGCGTCACATAGATTGGGAGACACAGAGACCACGCCAACGCAAAGAGATCCACATCTGGGAGACTGTACGTCTGGCAGATCCAACGAAACGAGTCGTCGTCGACCGTCCACTCCATGGACAGAGTATGGAAGCGACACAGACCGTTTGCCAAAACGTTGGACACTCCCCGGACATGAACCGCACAGAGAGCCAAACCCTGAGAATCCAGCAGACGAACCACTCGAAGGGACCAACCCCAAAGAGCCAAGGACCGAAGAGAACCCCCACAGTTCAGGCAATAAACCACTGGAGAACAGTCTGAATGGAGGCGAATGGTCGATCTCCGAACGACCCAAACCCTCCAAAGCGCGAACCAGACTGCCGCGAACTCGCGAACGGTGCTGTGAGCCTGACGGAAGGATGGCCCCCACAGTCCCTGGCCTACCTGGTGAGCACTGGTCACAAAGCCCCAGCCGAGAGACGATGGATCCGTGAACACATCGAGCGACGGCTCGGGAAGGCGCCAAGGTACCGAACCCCGAAAACCCCGAAGAGGAAGCCGGTGACGCAGCAACCGACACAAGGTCCCTGGAGAATGAACCCAACGATCGCGAGAGAGGCGGAAGGGACGTCCCCAAAGGAACCAAAACAGATGCCGAAGCCAAACCCGACCAGGCGGGTAGACTAGCACGGCGAAGTTCAGACTCCCGCACAACCGCTCGAGCAACCGCCGAGTGACCCAGGACCCTGTCAGAAACAGCCGACGGCAGTCCTGCAGCCGCAGCAACACCTCTGGAGGGAGAGACAAGGAAGCGGTCCGAGAATCCCAAACAAGATCCAGCCAGGTCCGAACCTGGGACGGAACCAGATGGGACTTCCTCCAGTTCACCAGGAACCCGAACCTGGCGAGCTGGGAAAGAACCATATCCCTGGCGAGCAGACAAGCTGACCAACTGGGAGCCCACACCAGCCAGTCGTCAAGGTAGGCCAAAACACGAATCCCTAGAAGACGCAGACGGGTCACCACAACCCGGGTCAGACGCGTGAAAACGCGAGGTGCCAGATTCAAGTCCCTGAACCCCGGATGAATAGGAACGTGCCAATAGGCGTCCTTGAGGCCAAGGACACCATCCAGGCACCCGGCTCCAACAGAAGCCGGACCTGAGACAGAGTAGTCATCCAAAAGGAGGGGCAAGGAATCCAGGGGTTCGGACAGGACAAGTCCAGAATGAACCTCAGATCCGCACAGTCCCGTTTCGGCACTGGAAACAGACGGGAAACCCATAAAGGCCCACAAATCGTGGGACCAAGAGTGGGCAAATAGAGCAAGCCTCCTCACCATCGCCCCGTCAGTGGGGCGAACCGCGAAAGGGCCGACGCCCCTTACGAGTCGAACAGGGTGATCTTCTTGAGATGTTATCTTGAGATGATTTCGGGGCTTTAGTGTCCCCGCGGCCCGGTCCTCGACCAGGCCTCCACCCCCAGGAAGCAGCCAGTGACAGCTGACTGACTCCCAGGTACCTATTTACTGCTAGGTAACAGGGGCATCTGGGTGAAAGAAACTGCCCATTGTTTCTCGCCGGCGCCCGGGATCGAACCCGGGACCACAGGATCATGTGCCCAGTGTTCTGTCAGCTCAGCCGCCGGCTCAATCATGACGTCACATGCCGTGTGGTGACATGTGACGTCATGATTGTTTGCTAGTTTATTTTAGGGGTGTTCTATCCACTTGTTCGGCTTGTGGTAGCAATTTTCACCAGAATAGGGGTTTGTTTTGGGACGCTTACCTTTCTAGGTGCCTAACCTGGTCGATGGCAGACATAGAATGTTTCCAACCACACGGGGGTTTCTATAGGCCATTGCTCCCCTTGCCTCTTCTGAGGGGGCCAGGTTCTGGTTCGTGGTCCCCGGTAGGCCCATGGAACTCCATACACATGACTGATGCCAAAGTTTGATATTAGCATATCAGCCTAGTATGCTAGTAAGCTCCGGGGAGCCTCCGGGACTCACCCAGAAAATGGCATTTCATTACATTCAAAGCTGGTTTTTTATTTTACAGCCACTATCGCCTGAAGAAAACACAAAAGTCATCTTCAAAGATGAGACAATGGGTACCAATATTCCAAAACAATTCATTCCAGCAATTGAAAAAGGATTCAAGGCAGTGTGTGAAAAAGGTAAGTGAAAGATTATATATCAGGTGTTTGAGCACTATATTTTAACCTTAAACAGTGCACACATTTTTTAGGATCCTTTCCTGGTGTGCATAAAATAAAAATGATAACAAATTTCTTTATAGATTGTAAAACATTTATTTCTGATCTCAAGAAAAAGTATAATTTGATCATTTTAGTTTGGTTGCAGTGAGGTGAAGAAATGTTGAAAACCTCAAATTCTGATATAATTAATTTAAAGTAAACTTTGTAGTAGATGTCTTCCTAGCCCATAAATGTCATTACATTTTGCATAGCATCAATGGTTCCTTCCATATGCATCACCTAATGAATGGTGATGCACCTGACATGGTGCCACATTTTAAAGTAATACTCAGGAAGGTAACTATGGCTTTCAGGATTATTTCCTTGCATAGCCAGAGGTGTCTAGTGCCGAATGATGACCACATCCTGTAGAATATTAAGTGGTGCATAAATCATTCACAAACATCAGGAGTATAGTCAGTCTATCATTTGAGAATGACAGGAGCAGCTTAAAAAGTTAATGAGAGGCTGTACATTATTTATATTGTCTGTAGTTTCAAAGTAGTTTCAAGGCGTTATATAACAAAGAGTGCTGGGAAGACAGGCCACCACGAATGTAGCTCTCATCCTGTAACTACATTTAGGTAATTACACATACACACACACACATATACACACCCAGGAAGCAGCCCGTAGGATCGCAGGATCGCTGGTCTTCTGTTACTGGTAACAAGCTGCGTGCTCTTAAGGGTATCGAGTCCCCGTGGCTTTCCTCCTACCACTGCAACCAAGTGTGGGAAACGGCTTTCTCGAGGTTATGTATTGTCCCTACATGTTTAACTCATGGGCACTTAATGGAGCACTGCCCTGCTCCTTATTGTCCAAACCACATTGTCCCTCTTACAGTGTTGCATATCCTTGTTGAACGTCCTGACTTCCAGGATGTTCGTGTGTCTTGCTTCCCAACTGTCCCTCGCGGTCACCTGTCCCTTGATAGTATCCTTGGTGAATTGGTTGCTTTTGATGTTTTTCCTCTTATGCGCTTTTGTTCTCGTATTGGCATCCTTGGTGATATTTAGCACCTTTTGAATATCCCGCACATTTGCCGGTACAGTACTATATAGGCTCCTGGGCTTGGTGCCCTCTTTTGATAAATACTTACTATAATAACCCATCCTCCTGTTTAGGTAGTAGTTTTTGTAACTATGTGCACCATAGTACAAAGATTGTACTATGGTGCACATAGTACAATCTTTGTACAATCATTAATGCACCATTGTACTATGGTGTATTATGGTGCAATTTCTAATTGCATTGTACGTCGGTATATGTACTATGTTCCTCATCATTACTGTAAGTAACGATGAGAACCATAGGACCATCCTACCAAAACAGGAGGATTGGCTAACTATACAGTAACCACCTATGCTATTTAATTATATCCTCTGTATACCTACATAGGCAAATTTAATACATATAATAGACTGCTATATGTGTACACTTATGCAAGTGTCTAAAATCTACTTTACGGACCCAAGTTAATAAATATAATTTATTTGTGCAACTAAATTGTGGGTTATCATTAATAATTCTTGAAATGTATATACAGCCTATTTCAGTTATTTATTTGATTTCTTTATTGCAATGTTTCAGGCTTCCTAACTGGCCACAAGATAACAGGTGTTTTGTTCCGAGTCCAGGATGGTGCTAGCCACATGGTCGACTCCAATGAGATTTCTTTCATTCTTGCTGCACAGGGAGCCATGAAGCAGGGTAAGCAGATGTATTTTATTATTATTGTTGTTTTAATACTAGAGGGTAGGACTAGTCTGTCTCTCCCCTTCCCACACAAATTCCCATTCCATCCCTCTTCTTTCCCACTCTCCTCACATCCCCTTTCATCGTTCCCCCTCTCCTCCTCCTCCTCCTCTCCTTCCTCCTTTCCCAGCTCTCCCCCTCTTCTCTCCCATCTCTCTGATTCCCGCCTCATCCTCTTGCTTCATCTTCCCCCCTCTCCTCCCTTCTATAATATATATATATATATATATATATATATATATGTATACCTAGTAGCTAGAACGCACTTCTCAGCCTACTATGCAAGGCCCGATTTGCCTAATAAGCCAAGTTTTCCTGAATTATTATATTTTATCTTTATATATATATATAATTATATATATATATATATATATATATATATATATATATATATATATATATATATATATATATATATATATATATATATATATATATATATATATATATATATATATATATATATATATGTCGTACCTAGTAGCCAGAACGCACTTCTCAGCCTACTATGCAAGGCCCGATTTGCCTAATAAGCCAAGTTTTCATGAATTAATGTTTTTTCGTTTACCTAACCTACCTAACCTAACCTAACCTAGCTTTTTTTGGCTACCTAACCTAACCTTACCTATAAATATAGGTTAGGTTAGGTTAGGTAGGGTTGGTTAGGTTCGGTCATATATCTACGTTAATTTTAACTCCAATAAAAAAAAATTGACCTCATACATAGAGAAAAGGGTTGCTTTATCATTTCATAAGAAAAAATTATAGTAAATATATTAATTCAGGAAAACTTGGCTTATTAGGCAAATCGGGCCTTGAATAGTAGGCTGAGAAGTGAGTTCTGGCTACTAGGTACGATATATATATATATATATATATATATATATATATACATATATACACATATATACACATATATACACATACATACACATACATACATACATACTACACACACACACATACATACATACATACACACTGTATATATATATATATGCACACCAGAGGTGGTACCCCTTCTAGGTATAAAAAATTATATATATATATATATATATATATATATATATATATATATATATATATATATATATATATATATATATATATATATATATATATACATATATATATATATATATATATATATATATATATATATATATATATATATATATACATATATATATATATATATATGTCGTACCTAGTAGCCAGAACTCACTTTTTGGCCTACTATTCAAGGCCCGATTTGCCTAATAAGCCAAGTTTTCCTGAATTAATATATTTTTTCTAATTTTTTTCTTATGAAATGATAAAGCTACCCATTTCATTATGTATGAGGTCAATTTTTTTTTTATTGTAGTTAAAATTAACGTAGATATATGACCGAACCTAACCAACCCTACCTAACCTAACCTAACCTATCTTCATAGGTTAGGTTGGGTTAGGTTGCCGAAAAAGGTAGGTTAGGTTAGGTTAGGTAGGTTAGGTAGTCGAAAAAACATTAATTCATGAAAACTTGGCTTATTAGGCAAATCGGGCCTTGCATAGTAGGCTGAGAAGTGCGTTCTGGCTATTAGGTACGACATATATATATATATATATATATATATATATATATATATATATATATATATATATATATATATATATATATATATGCGAACAGGCTTGTTCGCATTTGTGTTCCTCACGTGTGCCCCAAAGAATGAGGTGATTTGGTAAAATGCTATGCCCAAGATAACTATCCGAGTGCCGGCGGTGGGGTGGTTCATATAGCCTCGGCTATCACCTCATTATGTCCGGTCGTGATGGTCAAGTGGATTAAGGCGTCTTGTACATACCAGTTGCGTTGCTTCTGGGAGTATGGGTTCGAGTCACTTCTGGGGTGTGAGTTTTCAGTTGCATATGTCCTGGGGACCATTCAGGCTTGTTCGCATTTGTGTTCCTCACGTGTGCCCCAAAGAATGAGGTGATTTGGTAAAATGCTATGCCCAAGATAACTATCCGAGTGCCGGCGGTGGGGTGGTTCATATAGCCTCGGCTATCACCTCATTATGTCCGGTCGTGATGGTCAAGTGGATTAAGGCGTCTTGTACATACCAGTTGCGTTGCTTCTGGGAGTATGGGTTCGAGTCACTTCTGGGGTGTGAGTTTTCAGTTGCATATGTCCTGGGGACCATTCAGGCTTGTTCGCATATATATATATATATATATATATATATTATAATATATAATATGTATGTATGTATAGGGAGTAGTGTCTCACACACATACATATAAACATACATGAGTATGCAGCTCCAGCCTGGTGTCCATACCTAGTTAAACACAAGACGAAGTTAGAGAAGATTCAGAGGTATGCTACCTGGTTGATACCTGGTTGATGGGGTTCTGGGAGTTCTTCTACTCCCCAAGCCCGGCCCGAGGCCAGGCTCGACTTGTGAGAGTTTGGTCCACCAGGCTGTTGCTTGGAGCGGCCCGCAGGGCCACGTACCCACCACAGCCCGGCTGATCCGGAACTTCTCTTAGAAAACCGTCCAGTTTTCTCTTGAAGATGTCCACGGTTGTTCCGGCAATATTTCTTATGCTCGCTGGGAGGACGTTGAACAACCGCGGACCCCTGATGTTTATACAGTGCTCTCTGATTGTGCCTATGGCACCTCTGCTCTTCACTGGTTCAATCTTGCATTTTCTTCCATATCGTTCACTCCAGAACGTTGTTATTTTACTGTGTAGATTTGGGACCTGACCCTCCAGTATTTTCCATGTGTATATTATTTGGTATCTCTCTCATCTCCTTTCTAGAGAGTACATTTGGAGAGCTTTGAGACGATCCCAATAATTTAGGTGTTTTATCTAGTCTGTGCGTGCGTATATGTTCTCTATATTCCCTCTATTTCAGCAATCTCTCCTGCTCTGAAGGGGGAAGTGAGTACTGAGCAGTACTCGAGACGGGACAGCACAAGTGACTTGAAGAGTACAACCATTGTGATGGGATCCCTGGATTTGAAAGTTCTCGTAATCCATCCGATCATTTTTCTGGCTGACGCGATATTTGCTTGGTTATGCTCCCTAAACGTTAGATCGTCGGACATCATTATTCCCAAATCCTTGACATGCTGTTTTTCTACTATGGGAAGATTCGATTGTGTTTTGTACCCTGTATTATGTTTCAGATCCTCATTTTTGCCGTACCTGAGTACCTGAAATTTATCACTGTTAAACATCATGTTATTTTCTGCTGCCCAATCAAAAACTTTGTTGACATCTGCTTGTAGTTTTTCAATGTCTTCAGCAGAGGTAATTTTCATGCTGATTTTTGTGTCATCTGCAAAGGACGACACGAAGCTGTGGCGTGTATTTTTGTCTATATCAGATATGAGAATAAGGAACAGTAGCGGTGCAAGGACTGTACCTTGAGGTACAGAGCTTTTAACATCGCTTGGACTCGATTTTATCTGATTGACTGTTACTCTTTGTGTTCTGTTCGACAGGAAATTGAGTATCCAGCGTCCTACTTTTCCAGTTATTCCCATTGACCTCATTTTGTGAGCTATCACCCCATGGTCACATTTGTCGAACGCCTTTGCAAAGTCTGTGTATACAACATCTGCATTTTGCTTTTCTTCTAGGGCTTCTGTGATTTTGTCATAGTGGTTGAGTAACTGTGACAGACAGGATCTTCCCGCTCTAAATCCATGTTGTCCTGGATTGTGCAATTCATTGTTTTCCATAAAACTAGAAATTTGATTCCTAATCACTCTTTCAAACACTTTTATTATGTGTGATGTTAGTGCAACTGGCCTATAATTTTTTGCCAAGGCTTTACTCCCCCCTTGTGCAACGGAGCTATATCTGCAGATTTAAGTGCTGCTGGTATCTCCCCTGTATCCAGACTCTTTCTCCATATTACGCTGAGTGCTCTCGCTACTGGTACTTTACATTTCTTTATGAATATTGAATTCCATGAGTCAGGCCCAGGAGCTGAGTGCATTGGCATATTATCAATTTCTCTTTCAAAGTCTTCCGAGTTTGTGGTAATATCCGTTATGTTATCTGCAGCTTGAATGTCATTCATAAAGAAGCTGTCTGGGTCATCAACTTTCATGTTGTTTATTGGTGTGCTAAACATAGCCTCATACTGGCTTCTTAGAATTTCACTAATCTCTTTGTTGTCCTCTGTGTACGTACCTTCATTTGTAATTAACGGTCCAATACTGGTCGAGGTTTTGGATTTTGATTTTGCGTATGTGAAAAAATATTTTGGATTTTTCCTTATCTCTTGTATAGCTTTCTGTTCCAATTCCATTTCCTCAGACTCATATGATCGCTTCAACGTTTGTTCTATTTCCTCAATCTCCCTGCTTAGGCTTGTTTTCCTTGCTTGTGAGAGTTGTGTCTGCCGAAGCATTTCCGTTATTTTTTTCCTTCTCCTGTACAGTCGTCTCCGTTCTCTTTCTAGAGTGGTCCTCTTTCTGCCCCTCCTCACAGGCACGTGCTTCAAGCAGACCTTGTAAGCTTCAGCTGTCAGTTGAGCTATTCCCTGTGTGGGAGTTTTGTCGCTTAAGACCGTCTCCCATTGAATGGTTGCAAGGTCTACATTTATTTTTTCCCAGTCAATCCTCTTATTGTTGAAATTGAATTGATTGAATATTCCTTCTCGCTTGTTTGGTCTCTTAGACCTACTACCGTTATTTATGCTAGTTCGCACTTCAATGAGCTTATGGTCTGAGTATGAAGTATCTGAGATTGTGATATCCCTGATTAGTTCATCATTGTTTGTGAATAACAAGTCTAGTGTGTTTTCGTTCCTAGTTGGTTCTGTAATCTGTTGATTGAGCGAGAATTTGTCACAGAATCTCAAAAGTTCTCTAACCTGTGGTTGGTTATTTCCCGGGTCATTCCCTGCTATGATATTTGTGTTTGCCGTTCTCCATCTTAGACTCGGTAAATTGAAATCTCCAAGAAAGATAATATCTGGAGCTGGGTTTGCTAGGTTGTCAAGTATGTTCTCTATTTTGTGCATCTGCTCTGTGAATTCCTCAATCGTTGTATCTGGCGGTTTATATATTAGAATAATAATTAAGTTTAGTTTCTCTACCTTCATTCCAAGTACCTCTACCACCTCATTAGTTGAATTTAGTAGTTCTGTGCATACCAGGTCTTCTTTAATATACAGACCTACTCCTCCATTTGACCTAGTTTTTCTATCACATCTATATAGATTATAATTTGGAATCCAGATTTCACCATCCATGTAATCTTTTGTATGAGTTTCCGTGAATGCCCCAAATATTGAGTTTGACTCTAATAGAAGGCCATTTATGAACTTAACTTTATTTCTTGACTTTGGCTTTAAACCTTGAATGTTTGCAAATATGAATGATTGTCCATGTTGTGTGTAACTTCTGGAAGGTTTTGGTAGTTCTCCCTCCTCTCTACCCTGACCCAGGGTGTGTTGTTGTGGCAATGGTTTGTCCAGTTTTGGAAGTGATACTGGGGAGTGTGGTAGTCTCTGTGTAGTTGGGGGGTGTAGTATGTGTGGGCTTGATGCCGAACTGTAGTCCAGTCTTGGGCATTTCCCCCTCTCCATCCGTACTCCTGCCACGTTTCTGCCTGTCTGTTTCTCCCTCTGTTTGTACCTGCCTCTAAAAAATTTTCAGGGCTATTATGTTGGACTTCTTCTCTTATATGGCGCTGTGTACCTCTGACGTGGAAATCGGGGCAGTGAAGATCGTAGCATTTCCTCTCATTGACTGAGAGTGTGCATAGCTTAGGGTGAAAATATCTACACTCTGTATCAAAACGACATCTGCCTTTCCCTAACCAGTTTCGGCATTTCCGTGGGTGCATGAATGAGCATTCCGTGCCTCTGGGCCCATATCTACACTGTCCTTTTGCATAATACCAGCAAATATTTTCATTTGTGATTGTATTATTCTTGTTTGTACCCGTGCACGACTTGGCTACCTCTGTGTTTTTTGTTCCAACTTTCTCGTTTCTGCATTCATTCTCGGTATTGCCCTTATCTTTCTCCTTGTTGCTTTCGTCTTTCTCATTTGTGTTCTCATTCGTCTCATTTTTTCTCTCCTTATTCATATCACCAGTGTGCTCTACACTATTGCCTTCATTTTTGTGTACCTCGACACTATACCCGTCTACATTGCTACTTTGACTCTCTAAATTCTCAGTCCCTGGGTTGTGTTCAGAGTTCGTTGCTGTCTTTATATACTCTGCATATATTTCTGGTAGTTTTTGTATGAATTGTAGCCTGTGTTCTTCAGGAATGTTATTCATTAGTTTGGTGATGTTTTCCCACATCTGTCTGTCTCTTTGACAGATCCAGTAGTTACCTTCCCGGTTTGCATATTGTGTAGGTAATCCTGTACAACTTAGGTGAAACCTTATGTTACAAATGTTACATACAATGCCTACAACACTCTTCCGAAGTGACTTAAGGCAGCCTCCACACACCTCCATGTTGGGTTTGTGATGTTATAATAATATATGCATATATTTAAGTATTATATGTATGTATATTATATGTATGTATATATGTATGTATACCAGACTGGTCCCAGGGCTGAGAGGAATGAGTTACGAGGAAAGGCTAAGGGAGCTGAACCTCACAACCCTGGAAAACAGAAGAGTAAGGGGAGACATGATAACCACCTACAAAATTCTCAGGGGAATTGACAGGGTGGACAAAGACAAACTCTTTAGCATGGGTGAAACACGAATGAGGGGACACAGGTGGAAATTTAGTACCCAGATGAACCACAGAGACGTTAGAATTTTTTTTTCAGTATCAGGGTATTTAACAAATGGAATGCATTAAGTAGTGTTGTGGTGGAGGCAGACTCAATACACAGTTTCAAATATAGATATGATAAAGCCCACTAGGCTCAGGAATCTGTACACCAGTTGATTGACAGTTGAGAGGCGGGACCAAAGAGCCAGAGCTCAACCCCCACAAACACAACTAGGCGAGTACATACATACATACATACATGCGGTTGGGCTGGCTAGCAGGCGGCCGGACTGCTAGCCAGCAGTTATCCCCTCAGTTATCCCATCCCCTACCCACCTCCCCATCACCACACGGGACCCTTCCAGACGTGTGTAGACGGTCGGTTCGATATTAATATGGTTCAGATTCTCAGCTACCTTCCTACCAGATGATGGCCTTGGAGGCAGACTCCCTGACTGACTGACCTGATAGGACCGACCTGATCGGACCGATGACCTACCGGACCGACGACTTACTGGACCGACGACTTACTGGACCGACGACTTACTGGACCAACGACTTACCGGACCGACCGACCTGACCGACTGACCTATCTTGAGGTTATCTTGAGATGATTTTGGGGCTTTTTTTTAGTGTCCCCGCGGCCCGGTCCTCGACCAGGCCTCCACCCCCAGGAAGTAGCCCGTGACAGCTGACTAACTCCCAGGTACCTATTTACTGCTAGGTAACAGGGGCATTCAGGGTGAAAGAAACTTTGCCCATTTGTTTCTGCCTCGTGCGGGAATCGAACCCGCGCCACAGAATTACGAGTCCTGCGTGCTATCCACCAGGCTACGAGGCCCCTAACTGGCTGACCTGACTGGACCGACCGACCTGACCGGACTGACCTGACCAGACCGACCTGACAGGAACCAACCTGACTGGACTGACCTGACCGGACCGACTGCCCACCCACCCACCCTCCCTGCCCTGCCTTGACTGACTGACTGACTGCCCTGATTGTACTGACTGACTGCCCTGATTGCACTGACTGACTGCACCGACCAGACCGGACTGGACCAGACTGGCTTATTTCCACTCTGTAAACAGTACATAGAAAAGTTAACTGATCTTGCTGAAGTATTCAACATCTCATCATATTTCATCATTCTAGGGCAATGTGTACCTATATAATGTGTCTAGTTTATGATCCTGGAATGGGTGATAGTTAATAGGTGGGAGGGGTTAGTTTTATGATCCGGGTATGGGTGATAGTTAAATAGGTGGGAGGGGTTAGTTTAAATTCACTCTATACATTGTGCAGTTGTGTACTACTGCACAGCTGATATGTCCAACTGGTATCAGTACTGGACCCAACACGTCATCTCTCTGGCTGTCAACTTTCCAGTTAACACCCATAAGATTCATGTTGCAGGCACTACTTGTCACTTTGCCATCATGCAGTCAGGTGTTTGTGTACAATATATTACTCGCATATCAATCTGTGTGTTCCATGACTGTTTCAGTGGGACATATTCAACTCATTTAATTGTCTTGTACATTTTTCTTCAGCATTTGAAGATGGTGCGTGGATTATCCTTGAACCCATTATGTCAGTAGAAATTACTGCACCAGATGAGTTCCAGGGTTCTGTAACATCACAGATGAACAAGCGTCATGGCATTATCACCGGAACTGATGCAAATGAAGGATGGTTCACTATATATTGTCAGGTGAGCTATAATATTACTTGTGTGATGGTCAGATAGAGGATGCAGCTGTGAATGAATTCAATAAATTAATGATGAAGATTTGTCTCTTTGTGCTCACTTAGTCACAAATGCCTGTAAGTGAACTATCGGGCACTTGTGCATCTGTATAGTTTACTCCCTGTTTTAAAGTTATACTTAACTCTGATCCTTAGACGTAAATGTAACAGTTGACACCACTGATCTGTGTTATCACACTCCATGTTTGGATCTGTGGATTTGCATGGCAATGTCAGCCATTGATACCATGACTCATATTTTTGTTTGAAATTTGTTATTAGGCATTATATATATATATATATATATATATATATATATATATATATCTATATATATATATATATATATATATATATATATATATATATATATATTATATATATATATATATATATATATATATATATATATATATATATGTCGTACCTAGTAGCCAGAACGCACTTCTCAGCCTACTATGCAAGGCTCGATTTGCCTAATAAGCCAAGTTTTCATAAATTAATGTTTTTCTACTACCTAACCTAACCTAACCTAACTTTTTCGGCTACCTAACCTAACCTAACCTATAAAGATAGGTTAGGTAAGGTTGGTTAGGTTCTGTCATATATCTACGTTAATTTTAACTCGAATAAAAAAAAATTGACCTCATGCATAATGAAATGGATAGCTTTATCATTTCATCAGAAAAAAATTAGTGAAAATATATTAATTCAGGAAAACATGGCTTATTAGGCAAATCGGGCTTTGCATAGTAGGCTGAGAAATGCGTTCTGGTTACTAGGTACGACATATATATATATATATATATATATATATATATATATATATATATATATATAAGAATGGTTGGAAAGATGTAAGAAGAGGCATAATATTAAGGTCCTCATTTTTTACTCTAACCGAGTTCCTGGAATTTATCACTTAAATAAATTATATATATATATATATATATATATATATATATATATATATATATATATATATATGTATGTATGTATGTCGTACCTAGTAGCCAGAACGCACTTCTCAGCCTACTATGCAAGGCCCAATTTGCTTAATAAGCCAAGTTTTCATGAATTAATGTTTTTTCGACTACCTAACCTACCTAACCTAACCTAACCTAACTTTTTCGGCTACCTAACCGAACCTAACCTATAAAGATAGGTTAGGTTAGGTTAGGTAGGGTTGGTTAGGTTCGGTCATATATCTACGTTAATCTTAACTACAATAAAAAATTTTTTACCTCATACATAATGAAATGGGTAGCTACATCATTTCATAAGAAAAAAGTTAGAGAAAATATAATAATTCAGGAAAACTTGGCTTATTAGGCAAATCGGGCCATGCATAGTAGGCTGAGAAGTGCGTTCTGGCTGCTAGGTACGACATATATATATATATATATATATATATATATATATATATATATATATATGTCGTACCTAGTAGCCAGAACTCACTTCTCGGCCTACTATGCAAGGCCCGATTTGCCTAATAAGCCAAGTTTTCATGAATTAATTGTTTTTCGAGAACCTAACCTACCTAACCTAACCTAACCTAACTTTTTCGGCTACCTAACCTAACCTAACCTATAAAGATAGGTTAGGTTAGGTTAGGTAGGGTGGTTAGGTTCGGTCATATATCTACATTAATTTTAACTCCAATAAAAAAATATTGACCTCATACATAATGAAATGGTTAGTTTTATCATTTCATAAGAAAAAAAATAAAGAAAATATATTATTTCAGGAAAACTTGGCTTATTAGGCAAATCGGGCCTTGCATAGTAGGCTGAGAGGTGCGTTCTGGCTACTAGGTACGACATATATATATATATATATATATATATATATGTCGTACCTAGTAGCCAGAACTCACTTCTCAGCCTACTATTCAAGGCCCGATTTGCCTAATAAGCCAAGTTTTCCTGAATTAATATATTTACTATAATTTTTTTCTTATGAAATGATAAAGCAACCCTTTTCTCTATGTATGAGGTCAATTTTTTTTTATTGGAGTTAAAATTAACGTAAATATATGACCGAACCTAACCAGCCGTACCTAACCTAACCTAACCTATATTTATAGGTAAGGTTAGGTTAGGTAGCCAAAAAAAGCTAGGTTAGGTTAGGTTAGGTAGGTTAGGTAGACGAAAAAACATTAATTCATGAAAACTTGGCTTATTAGGCAAATCGGGCCTTGAATAGTAGGCTGAGAAGTGCGTTCTGGCTATTAGGTACGACATATATATATATATATATTATATATATATATATATATATATATATATATATATATATATATATATATATGTCGTACCTAGTAGCCAGAACTCACTTCTCAGCATACTATGCAAGGCCCGATTTGCCTAATAAGCCAAGTTTTCCTGAATTAATAGATTTTCTCTAATTTTTTTTTCTTATGAAATGATAAAGCTACCCATTTCATTATGTATGAGGTCATTTTTTTTTATTTGAGTTAAAATTAACGTAGATATATGACCGAACCTAACCAACCCTACCTAACCTAACCTAACCTATCTTTATAGGTTAGGTTCGGTTAGGTAGCCGAAAAAGTTAGGTTAGGTTAGGTTAGGTAGGTTAGGTAGTCGAAAAACAATTAATTCATGAAAACTAGGCTTATTAGGCAAATCGGGCCTTGCATAGTAGGCTGAGAAGTGCGTTCTGGCTACTAGGTACGACATATATATATATATATATATATATATATATATATATATATATATATATATATATATATATATATATATATTTATTTATTTATTTATTTTTATTTTATTTTATTTTATTTTATTTATTTTTTTTTTTTTTTTTTTTTTTTTTTTTTTTTTTTTTTTTTTTTTTTTTTTGAGATATATACAAGAGTTGTTACATTCTTTTACAGCCACTAGTACGCGTAGCGTTTCGGGCAAGTCCTTAATCCTATGGTCCCTGGAATACGATCCCCTGCCGCGAAGAATCGTTTTTTCATCCAAGTACACATTTTACTGTTGCGTTAAACAGAGGCTACAGTTAAGGAATTGCGCCCAGTAAATCCTCCCCGGCCAGGATACGAACCCATGACATAGCACTCGCGGAACGCCAGGCGAGTGTCTTACCACTACACCACGGAGACTGGTGGTGGACTGGAATTTATTTATTTATTTAGTGTAGTGTGACCCATTCTGGCTGGTGTTTGGTTAATGTAGTTCACTTGTTGTGTGGACCACTCTGGGTGGTGTTTGGTTAATATGGTTCACTTGTTGTGTGGACCACTCTGGGTGGTGTTTGGTTAATATGGTTCACTTGTTGTGTGGACCACTCTGGGTGGTGTTTGGTTAATGTAGTTCACTTGTTGTGTGGACCACTCTGGGTGGTGTTTGGTTAATATGGTTCACTTGTTGTGTGGACCACTCTGGGTGGTGTTTGGTTAATATGGTTCACTTGTTGCGTGGACCACTCTGGGTGGTGTTTGGTTAATATGGTTCACTTGTTGTGTGGACTACTCTGGGTGGTGTTTGGTTAATATGGTTCACTTGTTGTGTGGACTACTCTGGGTGGTGTTTGGTTAATATGGTTCACTTGTTGTGTGGACCACTATGGCTGGTGTTTGGTTAATATGGTTCACTTGTTATGTGGTCCACTTGTGTGATCCAACTTGTCATATGAAGGAATTACTAATTGTAACCTGTGATAGAATGAGAATGTTTTCCACCACTATGTGAACTCTGTCCCAACATCATAGCAAATCTGCACATCCTCCACTTCAGAGAACCAGAATACGTTGAAACATGTGACTAAATCCGGCCTGAAAATTGTGCGATCTAGAACAAATATACAAGTGTCCTAAAAAAAATTTGCACTGGCTGAAGTTTGCTCAGTTTTGCTCAGTTTGCTAAAAAAGAAAGTGAAGAGGTTTTTTTATTCTGCCTGGCATATATTGTGAAGAGGAAAATTGTTGGTGAAAAATTGAGTGCAAATACAAGCAGTGTAGAATCATTTAAACATAAATTATGAACATATATTTTGGCAAATAATTTATATTCTTATCAAATTTATAATGCTGATGAAACTGGGCTGTATTGGAAGAGTATACCAGAAAAAACTCTAGCTATGAGGAGTGAGGGTTGTGTGCCAGGCGTAAGGTTAATAAGAACAGGCTGTCGGCTATGATCTGTGCCAGTGCCGACGGCACAGACAGAATCACGTGTGCAATTGTTGGCATATTAAAGAAACCAAGAGCCTTGCAACATTGCTTGGACAGACTGTCTGTGAAATATTATAACTCAAAGAATGCATGGTTTACACAGGAGATCTTTCTTTCTTGTTTCATGACGTGTTCTACAGGAAAGTTCATGACCATCAAGTTAAGAAACTCAAAGTGAGGACAAGCGAAGTTTGGGCTTTGCTGTTGCTTGATAATGCGCCTGCCCACCCCAGAATTGACATGTTAACCTCACATGATGGCAAGATAACGTGTATGGCACTTCCTTCTAATACAACCTCTCTCATCCAGCCTATGGATCAGGGAGTTATCTGTGCCACGATGAGGTTTTACACCAAAACAATGCTCAACGAAGTTTTGATGGTTTTGCCTCTTGAGGAAGATATGGAACTCTTCGTGGATAACAGGGCTAAAAGAACCCTTGAGAATTTGAAAAACTATTCCATCAAGAAAGCCATCTATAACTGGGCCAAGGTGTGGAATGAAGTAAAGGAATTGACTTTGAAGAATTCCTGGAAAAGACTCCTCACATCTATGGTCAGCATTGACAAAGATGAAGAGATAAATTTTGAAGGATTTAACCCTTAAACTGCGCATGGCGTATATATACGCCCTGAGTAACATGTCCCATGGTGCGCATGGCGTATATATACGCCATAGGGTGCCAGGCCTGATTCAAATGGCCCGCGGCTACACGGGGTTCACAGTAGCTTCCTCAGGGCTCTTGTAAACAGATGCCATTTTAAAAAAAAATCGTGGGCAATATTCTCAGGTGTGAGAGGCACAGTACTGTTGGAGCAACCAAGGCCGGCGCACGCAGCATGAGCGAACAGCATTGATGTTCAGCTTGTGCCCACAGCATCGCCGAAAAATGTCAAAATAAATATATAATTGTTATTATTTAGCGATGACAATATTACAGATGACCAATGACTGTGATATAAATAACCAGGTTGTGATAATAGCAGGATTGTTGTAATAATTAGCGCTGTGTGAGGAGTGATGCTGAGAGACGGAGGGAGACAGCATCGTTTACTGACTGTGTGGCCACCTGTTATTGTTTGCGTTCACCATACTAGGTCAGTGGTTCTCTATGGTGAACACAAATGTAGATACTTATATATAATGTGTGTATTAGTGTAATAACAGCAAAGGATTATGCTGGGAGGAGCCATATGGGTGACGGAGGTGACGTCGTCTGCACGATTTCTCTAGCTGTTTAGAGGGTGGCCACTATGCTCTTTGGGCGCTCTACAAGCTTAGGTGTACAGTTACGGTGCATAAAACATGTAGATATTTATATATAACGTCTGTATATAGTGTAATAACACCACAACTGGTATTGTTGGGGGAGAAAGTTTAGTGCGTGTGACCTTGAAAGAGTGAGGGAGCCGCCAGCCGCCATCTGTGTATAGCGACGACTCTTAGTGCCTGAACTAACTATATCAGCTTAGCTGTACAGTTGTGGTGAACAAAATATACTCATACTTATATATAACGTCTGTATATAGTGTAATAACACCACAACTGGTATTGTTGGGGGAGAAAGTTTAGTGCGTGTGTTGAGGGAGTGGCAGTGAGTGGCTGGCTGGTGTGTGGCGGTAACTCCTCGTTGCTTTTCGACTCTCAATACCAACTTAGTGGTTCGTTATGGTGACCAAAACATGCCAATACTTATATATAACCTGTGTATAGAGTGTAATAGCAGCAAAACTATTTGTTTATTGTTTTATAAACATAATAATTGAATCACTAATACGCACATCATACTTTTGAGTATAGCGATTATTAACCACTTTTATTATATAAATATATTACAATACACACTATTGAATAATATTACTGCAAAAAAACTAAGAAAAAATCAATCGGAGACATTGAAACAATTAGGTAATAATATCTTTGTGGCAACTCCCATCTGTCAACGCGGGTGACGCTGACCGGGTCTGACGACCGCTCTGTCAACGCCCACTTTTTGCCAGACTTCCTCGGTCAATTGCGCCCAAAATATGTCACCTACGATTTTTTTTTATTTTTTCCGTGCTCAGGGGACACAAATTAACATGTTTAGAAGACGAAAAAAATTTTTTGAATTTTTTTTTTTCTTGCGCACAGGGGTGTAAATGTCCATATGACCCCTGAGCAGTGTAAGGGTTAAAGATGAAATCCATGGAATGTTCAGAAATGCTGGCAAAAATTTAGAAAGGCAGGATGTGGTTAATTGGCTTGAAAGAGATGCTAATGACCCAGGATATTGTGCGATGAGTGCAGAAGAGATTCTCCAGTCTATTACTGGTGAAGTTGACGAAGCGGCAGAAGAAGAAAACGGTGAGGAACCAACACCACAGACAACAAAATACAGTTTACTCATATCTTCTGTTGACCTGTTAATTAAATTTTAAACCAACTGTGCTCATCCAGAAGTTGGAAACTGTGTATCAGTACCTGAGGCGAACCGAAGAGCTGATAATGAACACAGAAGGCAAGCTAAACTTGATTTTTATTTGGTAAGAAAAGCAACCAAAGGTCCTTCAACCACTGAAGCCTCACAGGTAATCCAAGCGCCTTCAACCTGAGGCCTCACAGGCAATCCAAGAGCCTTCATCCAGTGAGGCGTCACAGGCAATCCAAGATCCTTCAGCCAGTGAGGCATCACAGGCAAGTCAAGAGCCGTCAACCAGTGAGGCGTCACAGGCAATCCAAGTGCCTTCATCCAGTGAGGCATCACAGGCAAGCCAAGAGCCTTCAACCAGTGAGGCTTCAGCAGCTGGCAGTCAAAACTAACTTCTCCTCATGAACTGTACAGTAATTTTAAGTGTCAATTTTAGTGTTTTGTTAGAATAGGTTACGTAAATTGTCAAGAATTCTTAACTTCAAGATGTGTAGCATCAATCAAGAAGACGAACTACAACAAGGTAAGTTGAGGTTTCTAGTTGAATAGTTTATAATTATATGTGGCAATTCAAATTGTTGTTTGTGGTATAAAAATTTTTGGTAATGGTCACTTTTGGACTTCCGCGGTGAAAAAGTACTTTAATCCAGAAAACGTGCTAATCCGTCTTGGGGCCCTTCCCATATAGTCCGGATTAGCGGGCTTATACAGTAATTATAGTGACGTACATTGTATATTTCTGAGTATTTTGGTGCATCAGGTGATGTTGGCTGTTGGAGTCAGCTGGTCGTAGTGTGTATACTGTGCTAAGATTTCATCACCACACACTCCAGAATTACTTAGTGGTTCATTACTGTTTATAAAAATCTGGATGTATATAACATGTATAAAATGTAATAACAGCAAAAAACTGTTTGATTTATCTTAGAATATAAATACGTGTTATAAGATATAAGCACCATATTTTTTAGTATAATGATGTTCCACACATTTATACAAATTACACTATTGAATAATAATACAGGGGTACTGCAAAAAACTATATATAAAACTATTGAAAGGCATTGAAATATTATAAAAATGTATTTGGGGCAGCCCCGGCCACACTCAGCTGTCAGCTGTTAGGCTGACCTTGGATTCATTGTTCTGTGTATATAAAACCAGTGTTGAATGTAATGAAACACCATTCAACATTCATCTTTTCCAGGTAAGTCCGAGAGGCTCCCTGATGATATCACACTGGTTAAGTGGCATACTACTACTGTAGTAGTCATTGCTCGCAGAGTTCTAGCCGCCTACTGGAGACCACGAGCCAGAACCTGGCCCCCAATAGAGAGGCGAGGGGAGCAATGGCCCATGAAGACTTTACATTTAAAGTTTATCATGTGTGCCACGACCAAGGAAGCACCCAGAAAGCTAGGCAAATCAAAACAGCTTCAGTAGATTTAAGGAGCTACAAGGGACACCCCCCCCCCCCCCCCAGAAAAGCAGTTTTAAATGTAATGAAATGCCGATTTCTGGGTGAGCCCTCGGGGCCTCCCTGAGACTCTCCCTTTCCCAGTGAGTTGGAAGGTGGATTTTCCATCATCATGAAGCTGAGGGTGGAGTACCTGGCTGACCCGGTCTGTCTCTCTCCTCCCCCCATACGAGGGGAAAGGTGGAGAGAACGAGCTTGCATTAGTTTCATGAATTTATGATCATTTGTTTACGTTGTTGATGGAGTTCTTTTGGTGGTTTAGAGGCATCAATATTTCCTCATAACTAGCAGTGGCTCATTTTGTTTCACTGACTATGTAGGTGCTTCCTCGATGGTGGCTGACATGATTGAAATTCACTGAAAATTTTATCAGAGTGCAACTGCTCTCTGCACCTCTCTGGAGGGGGCCGAGGTTCTGGCTCATGGTCCTAGTAGGCTTATAAGAACTCCACGACTGATGGCGCCTAATAGTTTGGCACTATATCAGCACTGTAGCTTCACAGGGGCCACCAGTGCTAACCCAGAATTTGACATTTCATTACATGCAATACTGTTTTTTTCCAAATCCTGATAGGAGTCTTCCCAGCTTGGTGCCTTCTTTAGATAATTACTTATTTTTCAGGAATGTAACTACTGTACAGTGTTATTTTAGAGTCGACTGTATTTTCCAATTCCCTAAATGGGGAATAGACTTTGCATTGACTGTCCAGTAGGAAAGAGGTTATCTATCTTGTGAGGGGCTTAGCTTCCCCACAATCTGGTCCTCGACCAGGTTTCCTTTTTCTTACACATCCCCAGGAAGCAGCCCGTAACAGCTGTCTAACTCCTAGGTACCTATTTACCCAGGTACTGCTAGGTGAACAGGTGCATCAGGGTGAAAGAACCTCTGCCCATTTGTTTCTGCCTCCTCCGGGGATCGAACCCAGAACCTTAAGACTACGCATCCCAAGCACTGTCCACTCCGCTGTCAGGCCCCCGCCAAGAGGATTGTACATAGAGACTAGCACAGTAAAAAAGACTTTCAACCATGTGTGATGCTCATTGTCATTTAAACTTTCTCTCAACAGGTCCCACTGAACGACATGTTTGGGTATGCAACAGAACTGCGATCTTCAACACAAGGCAAGGGGGAGTTTTCAATGGAATATTCCTGTTATGCTCCAGCAAGAGCAGATGTAATGGAAGGACTTATTAATGAATTCCAAGAGCCCAAAGAAGCAGAGGATACCAAGAAGAGAAGCAGAAGATAGGGCTTGAAACTTAATTATGAAGGGCCTGTAGAAAATATATTGTTCATATATTTTGAAATTAAAATATTTGTTTTGCTGCTGAACAAGACAAAATTTAAAGTAAAACATCCCATTAGTGTTATTGTGTTCAAGTGTTAATAATCAATCATTTGACTAGATTAGAATTGACTTAAAGGTAAATGGGGAGTAAAATTGTGTACAAATTGTGTGTTGTACATATTGTTTATATGTGTGTATAGCTTAAGAGTTTGTATACAAAAAACTTCCATTTATAAATTACACAATATTTTCAAGATTCGTCTCTTGGGATATTATTGATACATGTACATTCATATATTGTATTTATTTGTTTACATATTATTTGTCAGAGTATAAAAATCAACCCCCTAATGATCATTTACCTATTACCCACACAATTACATGAACTGTTGCTTGTGAGATATTACTACATGGTAATGCTCAGCACGACCTCCATTCACCTTTAACACACACTTCCATCCACTCAGTGTATGTGATCTCTTCATGCACATTTAGTATATTGCAGACTTCGGGAACACAAGTTTCAATTAAAATGCCATTTTGGTATAATAAAAAAATATGTAGACTAGGCTGGCCTTCATATTCAGTTTTGTTGAGTATTGCATGCTGTTGTCACTACCACAAGCTGTGTGTTGTTGTCACTATCACAAGCTGTGTGTTGTTGTCACTACCACAAGCTGTGTGTTGTTGTCACTATCACAAGCTGTGTGTTGTTGTCACTATCACAAACTGTGTGTTGTTGTCACTATCACAAGCTGTGTGTTGTTGTCACTACCACAAGCTGTGTGTTGTTGTCACTATCACAAGCTGTGTGTTGTTGTCACTATCACAAGCTGTGTGTTGTTGTCACTATCACAAGCTGTGTGTTGTTGTCACTATCACAAACTGTGTTGTTGTCACTATCACAAGCTGTGTGTTGTTGTCACTATCACAAGCTGTGTGTTGTTGTCACTATCACAAGCTGTGTGTTGTTGTCACTATCACAAACTGTGTTGTTGTCACTATCACAAGCTGTGTGTTGTTGTCACTATCACAAGCTGTGTGTTGTTGTCACTATCACAAGCTGTGTGTTGTTGTCACTATCACAAGCTGTGTGTTGTTGTCACTATCACAAACTGTGTGTTGTTGTCACTATCACAAGCTGTGTGTTGTTGTCACTATCACAAGCTGTGTGTTGTTGTCACTATCACAAACTGTGTGTTGTTGTCACTATCACAAGCTGTGTGTTGTTGTCACTATCACAAGCTGTGTGTTGTTGTCACTATCACAAGCTGTGTGTTGTTGTCACTATCACAAGCAACAATAAAACATTTTAAAAGTCCGGTTAGATAATTTTTTAATGTATAAATTATAAAAAAAAAATTTTTACAAAATTAGAACAAATCTGTGTTTATATTTTGTTTTGTGTACAGTGGAGATACACTGTAAAAAGTTATTGGTCCCTTAACCCCTGGGCTGCACCACCACTGCATAAAATAAAAAAAATCTAAAAATACTTTTCTTGTATTATTGCTAAATGCATTCCCAGATTACAGGAAAAAAAAATAATAATAAAAATGTATGACTTTCTTTGGACGCGGTGAAGCTTGAAAGTCTTGCAATGATTGATGATCACATTACGATTCATGTGTACTCATCGAGTTTTTGCCCCAGAGTGGTCACACGGTGCTAGCTACAGCTAGCTTGGTGGGAGTTGCTACAGATATTTTTTTTTTTTTGTCATGTCAACAACCCATGGACCCCTCCGGAAAACTGCCATCTCATTCACTGCCAGAAAAAAAGGAGACTGCTGCAACGAACAACCCCATCGCCACGACCAAAGTAGCAGAAACCCCTGCGCCGGAGGAGAGCAGGAAGCTCACCAACCCAACCTCCAGAGGCCAAGGCCAACAGAAAAGAGCCTTGGAGAAACAAGCTGGAACCGAAGGGGCCACAACAAACCGAGAAGATAAGAGAGCACTCTGTTCAATGATCAGGACCGCTCAGGTGGCGCATGAGCAGGCCGGAGGTGAAGTAACGCCCGAGGCAGCATGCGAAACGGTGCAGAAGTAACCTCAAAACTGAAAGCAAGCTGAAGCGGCTCTGCCAGTGCCGCATTCTCTCATGAGTATTATACATATATAAAACGCTGAACTGTAATGCTAATCCTGACCTCAAAAGCTTCATTGAAGGTTGTAACAGAACCCATGAGCACCACACCAGAAATAAATACAGTTTTGATATTCCAAGAGTACGACTTAATCAAACTAGAAATGCTCTACAAATCAAGGGACCCAGAATGTGGAATGACCTTCCCAATCATGTTAAAGACTGTACCTCTCTCAACCAATTTAAGATAAGAACGAAGCACTACCTAATAAATTCCCTGTAACCTACCTTACCCCTCTATTGTCAACCCATGTCTGTTTTTTTTTTTTTAAACATCGCTGTTTGTCGACCTAATTATATTTGTGCTGCTTTTTCAGCCATGTTCCCCCCTTTCTTATTTTTATTTTTATTTGTTCTCAACACATTTTATACTTTAAACTCAATTAGTATTAAGTTTTAGTCTTTAATGTTTTTCCTGCCCGAAACGCTTTGCGTAATAGTGGCTTTAGGCATTGTGTGTACTAGCTCTATCTATAAACCTAGCAATTTTTGTAAAAAATCTCTTGTATGTATGTACCTTACCTGAATAAATATTTATTTATTTATTTGTTTATTTGTATGGTGGCGGCTGTGACCCTGGTCCACTTCCACCCTTACCGCGGGGTCACTGAGGTCCACAGTGGGACAAGGGCCACTTTGGGACCTTCACGACGGCATAACAACATTATCTGAGCAGTAGTTATCGCTGCTGCTACTCTGATAACTACACATGATAACCTCGCAGACTCCCACCTGAGAGGCCGAGAGCTGGGGTGATAACACCAGGTGCTGTCCCAAGCTATGTGGCCAGACCCCGCGCACATGTACATAAGAGCGAGCGCGCGTGCGCGCGCGCGCGCACACACACACACACACACACACACTCACACACACACACACACACACACACACACACACACACACACACACACACACACACACACACACACACACACACACACACACACACACACACACACACACACACACACACACACACACACACACACACACACACACACACACAAACAAAAGGTTTGCCACCAGACTAGTACCCGGGCTGAGAGGTATGAGCTACGAGGAGAGACTACAGGAATTAAACCTCACGTCCCTAGAAGACAGAAGAGTTAGGGGGAGATATGATCACGACGTACAAGATTTTCAGAGAGAGAGCATCTTCAGTTGCCTGCAGGAATGGCTCAAGACTCTTAATCATGAGCGATATCAACCATGGAAAAATAGACTGGGAGAATGGGGACTCACACGGTGGTGCAGATACATGGAGAGCTAAACTCTTGGAAGTGGTTTGTACTTGTACTCCTAACCGCTCTAACAAATAGGCAGAGTTTCGTTCACCCTGATGCACTTGTTCACCTAGCAGTAAAAAGGTACCTGGGAGTTACACAGCTGCTACGGGCGGCTTCCTGGAGGTGTGTAAGAAAAAGGAGGCCTGGTCGAGGACCGGGCCGCGGGGACGCTAAGCCCTGAAATCATCCCAAGATAGCATTAAAAAGATAAGTGTATAATGTGTGAGTGGACAGTCGTCCACCTCTCACAGTGTGTACACAGTACAGCAGCAGCTGACACCTGTGTTGTGTAACTGTCCTTCTTGGAGGGTTTGGCTCGTGATGTTTGTGGTGTGTTTCTTGACCTTCCGTGTGAGTGTTCACGTGTTTTGATCCGCTTTTTTTTTTTACATTCTCTGCTTTTTAAACAAGGAAGACAAACAATTGTTTGTGACTGTGCCAGAGTTGTTAACCACTGTCCCCACATCTCCCCCAGGGGCAGTACTAGTACACAACCCCTTGTGTGTACTCTCACACGGCCGCTACCACCTACAATGTGTGTACACAGAGAATTACCCGGGATTAAGATGGTAGTACAAGGACTATTAGCCTATACAGAGCACCTTACACCTAGTACACACAGTTCTGTACAGTCAACCATGTCCACCATTAATGATGCTCGCAAATGTTGGCAATGACCACATTCCAGCAGTCACGAGCAACTGTGGCCATAATATCAAACTGTAGTAATGAAGGTTCACTTACATATCATTACATAGTAAGAGAATTGTACTACAAGGTTGTGGGGCCCACCTGGTGCAGAGGTCACAACGACGGTGCTCTAGTGAGGTCACTACATCACGTCTTCAACGCCAGATAATACTAGTAGTAATAATAATAATAATAATAATAAATAATAATGATAATATTTAGGCAAGAGTACAGACGTATGATACGTGAGCGGTGGAGGAATCATAGGTAAGAGAAGCACAGAGCCTGAGCTGAGAGGGGTGAGGGGGAAGGGGGAGATATGGGGCAGGGAGCTGGGGGTGAGGAGGTGATGGGAAGGGAAGTGAGAGGACTAGAGGGAGGGGGAAGATAAGGGGAAGGGAGAGAGAAATAAGGATATTTACATAGGTGTGTTGAGGGTATGGTTATAGACTTGTGTTTACATTGATGGGGTAAGGGATGAGAGCTACTTATTGGTTCTGGAATATTATGTTTGATGAACTAAGGCGGAGGACACGAGTTGCCACTTGGTAATTGCTTTGATCTATTTTACTACGTACAAAATACAGTCAGTTTAAATCTCAGGGGAATTGATCAGTTATTAACGAAGTTGTACGAATGAAGTAAGGTGGGGGATGGGTGCTGGAACTCGGTAACTGCGTTGGTCTTATTTACCGTGTCGGAAATATGGTGTTTTTTTATATCTCATGGGGTTTTGGATAGATTTTAACTAAGTTGTACGAATGAACTAAGGCGGAGGACAGGAGCTGGAACCTGATAATTAGCTTATTTACTGTGATAGAAATACAGAAGTTTTAAATATCAGGTGATTTGGAATGATACTAACAAAGTTTTGAGATTAAACGATGGCGGGGACAAGAGTTGGAGCTCTTATCTACTGAGCCCGAAATACAGCGGTTTTAAACCTCAGGAAAATTTATAGTTTACTGCTGTAATTTTGTTAATACCCTTATCAGTGTTCCTGAGATTTAAACCCGCTGTGTTTTGGACTCAGTAGATAAGATAAAGTTAGTTACCGAGCTCCAGCTCTTGTCCCCCACCATCGTTTACTCTCAAAACTTCGTTAGTATCTACCCAAAACCTCCGAAATTTAAAACCGCTATATTTCAGACGTAGTAAGACAAGAAAATAGATTTACCGAGATCCAGCTCCTGGGCCCCCGCCTTAGTTGTCTCTCGTAACTTTATAAGTAAGAAATCCCCCTGAAATTTAAAACCTCTGTAATTCTATCACAGTAAATAAGATAGTTATATATAAGATAAAATAAGATAAGATAAGATAAAAGGCGGGGGACAAAAGCCGGAGCTCGGTAATTGCTTTGATATATTTTACTACGTCTGAAAAGTAACGGGTTTAAATCTCAGGGAAATTGATCAGTTAATAGTTGAGTTGTAAAAGTAAACTAAGGCGGGGGATGGGAGCTAGAGCTCGGTAACGCTGTTTATTTATTTTTACTAGGTCTAAAATATAGCGGTTTAAATTCGGCTAAAATTGGGCTACTTGTAGCGAAACTACACTTATAAACTTATAGAGCCGGGTCCAAGAACTAACTTCTGATACTGTGAATTATTTGACTAACTTCTAATGATCATATTCTCTGAAAATGGAAACTCTGTGAACTTTACTCTTGAACGGGTATACTTCTACATAAGAATTATTTAACAAACTTCTATGAACATATTTTATGGACATGGATTTGATATGATCTTAACTAAAATGGGACTCTGAAAAAATTGTCTTAAAATGATGGCGGCATATTAGGGACTAGAACGGTGACAAACCTTAACCCCAATACAGGTGGCGGCATATTGATGATATTCTGAGGTCTGAACCCAACAACTTTTTCACGTTGGAGACATATCAACAACTTAACCCCCCCCCCCCCCCCCCCCCCCCCCCCCGAAAAAAAAGTCGTTGATACGCCTCCATTGCCACTACTGATGGGGCGTGAGGGTTGGCCTGGTGAAGGTGCAGGGGAAGGAGGCTGCTGTGCTCGGGCAGATAAGTCAGTATTGGTCAGGCTGTGGCAGTGAAAGCTTCTACACCTCCTCCTGAACCAGGCTGGTGGTCAGGTACCACAGTGTGACGGGCTCTCTCACACCACACTGTGTACTCACCTGGTGACTACACACAGTACTCACACAGTAGTGTGTCCCTCCCTCTCTTGTAACTCCCGGTTATTAATTGCATTATAGTGAAAGCTTGCACATTAAAACTCCAGAAAAATTAAGAAATTAAACCTGTTTGCGGGAAGAAGGAGAGAGTGTGAGGAAGGGGGCGCTGGGCTGGTCACTCACAACCCCTGAACGACCCTCATCCTGTGAGGAAGGCGGCGCTGGGCCAGTCACTCTCACTACCCCTGCCCCACCCTCATACTGTCAAGAAGCCTTCTTCAATACTAAAGGTAAATACCCACACAACAGTCGTGCTTGGGTGGGCAGCTGTGATCACTGTTGTCTTCTGACCCGAGAGGTCCTGCTTGAGGGGACTAGCGCGAGGCCTGCAGGCAACGATGGCCTGGGACGGGCTAGCTAGTCCAGGTCTAGGCTGTGGTCAGCTAGTCCAGGTCTAGCCTGTGGTCAGCTAGTCCAGGTCTAGCCTGTGGTCAGCTAGTCCAGGTCTAGGCTGTGGCTAGCTAGTCCAGATTTAGGCTGTGGTCAGCTAGTCCAGGTCTAGCCTGTGGCTAGCTAGTCCAGGTCTAGCCTGTGGCCAGCTAGTCCAGATCTAGCCTGTGGCTAGCTAGTCCAGGTCTAGCCTGTGGCTAGCTAGTCCAGGTCTAGCCTGTGGCTAGCTAGTCCAGGTCTAGCCTGTGGTCAGCTAGTCCAGGGCTAGCCTGTGGCCAGCTAGTCCAGGTCTAGCCTGTGGTCAGCTAGTCCAGGTGTAGGCTGTGGCCAGCTAGTCCAGGGGTAGGCTGTGGCCAGCTAGTCCAGGTGTAGGCTGTGGCCAGCTAGTCCAGGTGTAGGCTGTGGCCAGCTAGTCCAGGTCTAGGCTGTGGCCAGCTAGTCCAGGTCTAGGCTGTGGCCAGCTAGTCCAGGTGTAGGCTGTGGCCAGCTAGTCCAGGTCTAGGCTGTGGCCAGCTAGTCCAGGTCTAGGCTGTGGCCAGCTAGTCCAGGTGTAGGCTGTGGCCAGCTAGTCCAGGTCTAGGCTGTGGCCAGCTAGTCCAGGTCTAGGCTGTGGCCAGCTAGTCCAGGTCTAGGCTGTGGCCAGCTAGTCCAGGTGTAGGCTGTGGCCAGCTAGTCCAGGTCTAGGCTGTGGCAGGCCGGCAACAACACAGGACATGCAGCAACAAGTGGACTAACGTTCACACATGGAAGGAGCCATCTAAAATAGTTAGCTTTTTTGCTATTGGAAGACTCCAGTTGTCAAGCTAAACAGTGAAGCAGTAACACTGCTGCTTGACCTGTCCTAGGTGAGTGAGGCAGGTGGTGGTGGTGAGTGTGGTAGATGGTAATGAGTGAGACAGGTGGTGGTGAGTGTGGCGGGAGGTGGTGGTGAGTGAGGCAGGTGGTGGTGGTGGTGAGTATGGCAGGTGGTGGTGTGTATGGCAGGTGGTGGTGGTGATTATGACAGGTGGTGGTGATTTTTTCTTACAATAATATTCTTGCTCAGGCCTACGACTCTTGATGGCCCACTGAGTGTTACTCATCTCTGTCTTACTCAGGCGGTGGATGAGTATTTATGACTCGTATATCGGATTCAATAAGATTATATTCGATGTGTTGAAGAACTTCTGCTCTGTTACTCCATTTCAAATCCTAATTCGTATGTAGGTGTATATTGCCTTAAGTAATGTTCCAATGTTGTGCTTGGCATGTCTCCACAATGCTGGCATTTCCTCTCATCTTCAGCAACATGGGAGCATATTCCCCATGCACATGGGTATCTAAATCTCATGGAGCTGGAGTGTACTTTTGTTTTTTGTGCTGCATTATCCTCAGTGTCGGTGGATAGTTGTCAGTTGAATTCTTGTACCGAGGTTCAGATGTTGCAGCTGTTGTGTTGTGGTCACTCTATATCTTCTGCGAGGTTTTGTAATTATTTGTCTTAATATGCTCTGTGCTCCGAGGTGCATAAATCCTTACATTCTCTGCCTCTCTTGTTGACAAGTTCAGCAGCTTTATCTGCACTGTCATTCCCTGGTATTCCTACGAAACTTGGCACCCAGTTGATAAGTATTCAAGCGACCTTGACGCTTCAGTGTCGCCTTGAAGCACAACACACTGTGTTTATTATTTGTATCTGCAGAATCGAGCTATTAGCTCTTGGACCCCCACCTGGTCTGAAGATACTATATTGTAGGGTTGTAGAAATAGTCTAAACTATTCTATCCCTTTGATATGAATTTTATTACGTCAATAAACGTACTTGAACTTGAACTATATTGCAGAGGGCGAACCTTCTGCTACTCTCTGGTGTAGATGGGCTTTCTTGAGGTGTGAGAGTTTTTAGGTGATGGTGTTTGTTATGTTCTCTAGGCTGGGTTGAATTGTTTTGTGGATCACTGGATGACGAGTTGCCAATTTAGCAGTTTCATCGGGTTTCTCATATAATGGGATTCCAACATGGGATGGAAACCAGTTTAGGGTTATGTTGGGTCCTTTGCCTTTAGCTACTGCTCCTAGATACAAAATAGGTGATAATTATTCCACGTTGTCTTTCTACTGCTTTTTTTTCCTAATATTTGAAGTGCAACTTTTGAGTCTGTGTGTATGACTGCATTTTGAGTGTTTTGTACAATCACATATGCGAATGCCTATTGTATGGCAAACAGCTCAGTTTGGGTTGATGATACTGGTCCTCCCAGTCTCCAGTATGCCTGTACGCTGGCCGTGCAAAGAGCAGCGCCAGCACTCTCATATATTCTGTGTCCACCGATCCGTCTGTGAAGATGTAAGTGCCTCCTGCTACTGCAATGCTGCTCATTTGCTTTTCTATGATGCGCCTTAAGATTGTTGGATCATAGGTAATCTTTTTCATCGGAAGACCTTCTATGCCACACGATCGCGAATCTGGCGATAAATGATGGAGCACCGACGCAGACGTCTGCGCCGACCTTGCCCGCGGGGGTAACTGGCCCAGCCCGCTTATCCGATGTCCTGTAACGGAACTCACCGGTTACGTAAATCCAAGTCGCCTTCCCGTTGGCTGCAACCCTGTGCTTTCACCCAATCATGCCTCTCGTTGTATCCCCTCTAGACCAGTGTCACCACCCTAACCGGGAAACTGCTCTCTGTCAGCGACTCTAGGCACCATTTTATTTTATATTAATTATTTTTATTTATATATTTTACAGAATATCTAGTTAGGCTATTCCCTGTAAATTATATATATATATATATATATATATTATATATATATATATATATATATATATATATATATATATATATATATATATATATATATATATATATATATATATATATATATATATATATATATATATATATATATATATATATATATATATATATATATATATATATATATATATATATATATATATATATATATATATATATATATATATATATATATATATATATATATATATATATTATAAATATGACCGAAAAAGTAAGATTAATAATTCTAACACGAATTTTCTCAATCTTTCGTACATTTCGTTTCACTGTTGGAGGTAAATCAAAAATCAATTCTCCAAAATTCATTTTTATTTCTAGTCTGACGCGACACGAGCGCGTTTCGTAAAACTTTTTACATTTTCAAAGACTTTAGTTCACAAATACACAACTGAATAGAACTTACGCATCTCCGATTTTATATCTACATTTGAGTGAGGTGGAAGGGGTGATGTGGCATTAACACAAGACAGAACAAGATGTGGTATTAATAGGGTATTAATTTCATCAACACAAGACAGAACAAGAGTATTAATAGCCATCGCCAGAGAAATCCTAGTAAACAACACAGAAATCATCGATAGATACAGCGATAGCAGGCGGCTTGACGTTTGCGAGGCACTACACATCAAGAAGTCAACACCAGCAATCAACAGCCAATTATTGCACAACTATATTCTACCCACCTCAAGACTCTGCTCCAATATAGAAGCATCAAGAAATATGGACCAATAGGCTTTCTACAAACACTTCTATTCAATATCCATTGTTTCGTGTTCTGTCTTGTGTTGATGAAATTAATACCCTATTAATACTCTTGTTCTGTCTTGTGTTGATGAAATTAATACCCTATTAATACCACATCTTGTTCTGTCTTGTGTTAATGCCACATCACCCCTTCCACCTCACTCAAATGTAGATATAAAATCGGAGATGCGTAAGTTCTATTCAGTTGTGTATTTGTGAACTAAAGTCTTTGAAAATGTAATAAGTTTTACGAAACGCGCTCGTGTCGCGTCAGACTAGAAATAAAAATGAATTTTGGAGAATTGATTTTTGATTTACCTCCAACAGTGAAACGAAATGTACGAAAGATTGAGAAAATTCGTGTTAGAATTATTAATCTTACTTTTTCGGTCATATTTAATAATATATGTCTACAGGAAAGACTGCTACCAAAATATACTAATATATATATATATATATATATATATATATATATATATATATATATATATATATATATATATATATGTGTGTGTGTATATCACGAAAATAAACACGTGATTAAGAACTCGTATATTAAATACATCTTCAGAAGGAATGATTCCTTCTGAAGATGTATTTAATATACGAAAGTACTTAAGGAAATTCCTGTTTCATTTTCCTCCGTGGTCTGACATTGTCATTCATATATATATATATATATATATATATATATATATATATATATATATATATATATATATATGCGAACAAGCCTGAATGGTCCCCAGGACTATATGCGAATGAAAACTCACACCCCAGAAGTGACTCGAACCCATACTCCCAGAAGCAACGCAACTGGTAACTACAGGGCGCCTTAATCCGCTTGACCATCACGGCCGTCAAAAGGAAGTGATAGCCGAGGCTATTTGAGCCACTTCCCCGACGGCAACTCGGATGGTAATCTTGGGCATAGCATTTCACCAAATCACCTCATTCTTTGGGGCACACGTGAGGAACACAAATGCGAACAAGCCTGAATGGTCCCCAGGACTATATGCGAATGAAAACTCACACCCCAGAAGTGACTCGAACCCATACTCCCAGAAGCAACGCAACTGGTAACTACAGGGCGCCTTAATCCGCTTGACCATCACGGCCGTCAAAAGGAAGTGATAGCCGAGGCTATTTGAGCCACTTCCCCGACGGCAACTCGGATGGTAATCTTGGGCATAGCATTTCACCAAATCACCTCATTCTTTGGGGCACACGTGAGGAACACAAATGCGAACAAGCCTGAATGGTCCCCAGGACTATATGCGAATGAAAACTCACACCCCAGAAGTGACTCGAACCCATACTCCCAGAAGCAACGCAACTGGTAACTACAGGGCGCCTTAATCCGCTTGACCATCACGGCCGTCAAAAGGAAGTGATAGCCGAGGCTATTTGAGCCACTTCCCCGACGGCAACTCGGATGGTAATCTTGGGCATAGCATTTCACCAAATCACCTCATTCTTTGGGGCACACGTGAGGAACACAAATGCGAACAAGCGGATTAAGGCGCCCTGTAGTTACCAGTTGCGTTGCTTCTGGGAGTATGGGTTCGAGTCACTTCTGGGGTGTGAGTTTTCATTCGCATATAGTCCTGGGGACCATTCAGGCTTGTTCGCATTTGTGTTCCTCACGTGTGCCCCAAAGAATGAGGTGATTTGGTGAAATGCTATGCCCAAGATTACCATCCGAGTTGCCGTCGGGGAAGTGGCTCAAATAGCCTCGGCTATCACTTCCTTTTGACGGCCGTGATGGTCAAGCGGATTAAGGCGCCCTGTAGTTACCAGTTGCGTTGCTTCTGGGAGTATGGGTTCGAGTCACTTCTGGGGTGTGAGTTTTCATTCGCATATAGTCCTGGGGACCATTCAGGCTTGTTCGCATTTGTGTTCCTCACGTGTGCCCCAAAGAATGAGGTGATTTGGTGAAATGCTATGCCCAAGATTACCATCCGAGTTGCCGTCGGGGAAGTGGCTCAAATAGCCTCGGCTATCACTTCCTTTTGACGGCCGTGATGGTCAAGCGGATTAAGGCGCCCTGTAGTTACCAGTTGCGTTGCTTCTGGGAGTATGGGTTCGAGTCACTTCTGGGGTGTGAGTTTTCATTCATATATATATATATATATATATATATATATATATATATATATATATATATATATATATATATATATATATATATATACCTGAGGTGCCAGCAGAATGTAACACCATAAAGGTGTATAGTTTATATTTTACATTCAACATGAGTTAGTCAGACAGGATATTGAAAGGCGCCAGGATGTCTGGCTTTAGCAATTAAAAAGTCACACTTAAAGAAGTTAATGACGACAAGTTGATCAGGGGTCAGGTCGTGTGAAGTGACCTTCCTTTAGCTGAAAATTGCAGACGGTTGGTGGCGTCTTGCCATCAAACAACCTGCTGTTTAAGGGGTGGTAGGTACGTCTTTAATTTTGTTCCCTAGATCTTTGTCAGTTGAGGCTAGAGTAGACAGCCCACTGAGAGTACTGGTTTTAAGATGTTAATATCCGAGTGCATGCTGACAGCAGACACATTTGATAACAGCATAGAGCACAGACAAGTTTCATTCCTTGTCTTGTATGTACTGAGTTAGAATGGATGGTGGGGGCTACTTTTTACGTCTTCCCTTCTACCTTCTACTTTCTACTCCTCTCCGTGTTCTCAGTCTCTCCCTCCGCCTCATTCTAAACTTTCCCTTTTCCCTGACCACTTCTTACACCTCCCACCTCCTTTCCACCTCTCTACCTCCCTCTCCCCCAAACCTTCACCCATTACTTCATCATTCATTTCTTTCCTTTTTTATTTGCGATACGTTACAATGATGGCAGCGGTGTTGAACAATGTTTAATATAGATTGTGTTATTTAACATTGTTCAGACAGGCGCTAGCAGGGAGATTTTGACAGGTATTTAGTATTCGCGATTTAGCGAGTTTTTTTCGTGTTAGGAGAGAGTGATTCTCTGGCGATGGGTTCTAGTGATCTTGGGAGTTTTGTGAAGTTCAGGGAATGTTCACCAGAACTAGAGTGTGTAGTGAGATTTGTGATAGTGGGTAATATTTGGCGTTTTGAGACTTAGCAGTTGGCTGTAGTTTGTGGAGGTCAGCTGAGTAAGGGAGGTGACCAGATATGTCCCGGGGGGGGGGGGGCTCCCAGCCTCGCTGGTATACAGGTCAGGTGTGGGGTGACAGGTGTGGTGTAGTAGTAAGCGCTTCATTAATATGGGTTGCAGTAACTATAGGGATATAGGGATAGTTTTTTTTAGGAAGTAATAGTTTTTGTGAGCATATTATTTTATTGTGTTTAATGATTAAGACGCGTTTCATGTCATATTCCCATTCTATTTGTGTGTCCATTCCATGCTTGTGAGAGCAGGTCTGGGTATTGTAGGGAGAGGGGGGGGTTTAGCTGAGGGCCCACGAGCCACGATTACAAGAACACCTGAGGTGCCAGCGCAACACCTGACGTGTCAGCTGAATACCTAAGGTGCATGCAGAACACCTGAGGTCCCAGAACAACACCTGACGTCCCAGGACAACGCCTGAGGTCCCAGGACAACATCTCAGATCCCAGCACAACACCTGAGGTTCCAGGACAACACCTGAGGTGCCAAGACAACACCTGAGGTTCCAGGACAACACCTGAGGTGCCAGGACAACACCTGAGGTGCCAGGACAACACCTGATCGAGGTCCCGGCACAACACCTGAGGTCCCAGGGCAACACCTGAGGTCCCAGGACAACACCTGAGGTGCCAGCAGAACACCCGAGGTGCCAGCACACGTTGGCCAGACTGTGCACGAGACGGGAGACACCTACTCCACCGGTGGGAAGGAAGAGGGGAGGAAGAGGAGAGGAAGAGGGGAGGGGGGGGGGAAGGGAGGCAATATAAGAGGGACACGAATAAAATAAACAAAATAATTTTATATATTGATTGTCACGCCAACTTCCCATGTGCTTACATTTCTTATTACTATTTGTTTCAGGGCCACATAAAGGATGGGGTCGGCGTTCTTGGAGGACCCGGGCGTGGACGAGTTCCTGGGGCTGTCGCTGACGGCGCTGGAGGTGGACGAGGCGTACGTGCAGGTGGTGTCCCACTACGACGCCAGCCTCGCCCTCTACACCCTCAACCATGAGTGTTATGGGGTCAGTCCTCACGTGATTCTCTCCACTCGCCCCCCTATGTCATATTCTTATAACTGAGGTCCCTGTCAACAGTCTTATAACTGAGGTCCCTGTCAACAATCTTATAACTGGGGCCACTGTCAACATTCTTATAACTGGGGCCACTGTCAACATTCTTATAACTGAGGTCTCTGTTAACAGTCTTATAACTGAGGTCCCTGTCAACAGTCTTATAACTGAAGATCCCTGTCAACAGTCTTATTACTGAAGGTCAGTCAACAGTCTTATAATTGAGGTCCCTGTTAACAGTCTTATAACTGAGGTCCCTGTCAACAATCCTGACCACTGTTGTGTTATTATCTACCATTAAAATGAGGCAATTAATAAATTTAACAGCTGTTGGTATACACTTTTAGCAGCAAGTGTAGAAGGTTCAACATTATTGACACGATGTAATTTGACTTATAAAAATATACGAATTATGAACTGTTGGTCTAGACTGTAGGGAATAACTGTATCAAGCAACACGAAACGACTGTAACAATTTGTACTAGTAGTACAAAATACTTTCATATCTGCCACCTGCACTGTAATTACCTACCTGTTCACAGTCACCTGCATTATAGTTAACTGCTAGTACTCACAGCTGCACTACAGCTAATCACCAGTACACAGTCAGCTGAACTATAGTTAACTATCAATACATACAGTCAGGAACACTACAGTTAACTACCAGTACACACAGTCACCATCACTATAGTTAACTACCAGTACACACAGTCACCAACACTATAGTTAACTACCAGTACACACAGTCACCATCACTATAGTTAACTACCAGTACACACAGTCACCATCACTATAGTTAACTACCAGTACACACAGTCACCAACACTATAGTTAACTACCAGTACACACAGTCACCAACACTATAGTTAACTACCAGTACACACAGTCACCAACACTATAGTTAACTACCAGTACACACAGTCACCAACACTATAGTTAACTACCAGTACACACAGCCACCAACACTATAGTTAACTACCAGTACACACAGCCACCAACACTATAGTTAACTACCAGTACACACAGTCACCAACACTATAGTTAACTACCAGTACACACAGCCACCAACACTATAGTTAACTACCAGTACACACAGCCACCAACACTATAGTTAACTACCAGTACACACAGCCACCAACACTATAGTTAACTACCAATACACACAGCCACCAACACTATAGTTAACTACCAGTACACACAGTCACCATCACTATAGTTAACTACCAGTACACACAGTCACCATCACTATAGTTAACTACCAGTACACACAGTCACCAACACTATAGTTAACTACCAGTACACACAGTCACCATCACTATAGTTAACTACCAGTACACACAGCCACCAACACTATAGTTAACTACCAGTACACACAGCCAGTCACACTATAGTTAACTACCAGTACACACAGTCACCATCACTATAGTTAACTACCAGTACACACAGCCACCAACACTATAGTTAACTACCAGTACACACAGCCACCAACACTATAGTTAACTACCAGTACACACAGCCACCAACACTATAGTTAACTACCAGTACACACAGCCACCAACACTATAGTTAACTACCAGTACACACAGCCACCAACACTATAGTTAACTACCAGTACACACAGTCACCATCACTATAGTTAACTACCAGTACACACAGCCACCATCACTATAGTTAACTACCAGTACACACAGTCACCAACACTATAGTTAACTACCAGTACACACAGCCACCAACACTATAGTTAACTACCAGTACACACAGTCACCATCACTATAGTTAACTACCAGTACACACAGTCACCAACACTATAGTTAACTACCAATACACACTACCAGTCACACTATACCCAACTAACGGTACACACATTCACCACTATAGGTAACTAACTCCATCCATAATAAACAAATAGATATATCATCGTCTAACCGGTCAGGTTGACCTTTAAAATACTAGTTCTTGTGACAACTGGTGTTGCACGCAACATGATTTTGTTAATGTGTGTGTGTGTGCAAGATATGTTGGACGCCCAGTGGCAGGCTTGCATTCTGAGTCTCAATAGCCAACTGTGCTATATGTAATTGACCATATATCGAACCCAGATTATGTAGCAGAGATGTATGTATTGTGTGTGTGTGTGTGTGTGTGTGTGTGTGTGTGTGTGTGTGTGTGTGTGTGTGGTTTGAGCTCTATAGTCACCGTTTGTGGCTGAGTGCTCAATAACTCACTCTCGGGCCAGATTCATAAAGCAGTTACGCAAGCACTTACGAATCTGTACATCTTTTTTCAATCTTTGGCGGCTTTGATTACAGTTATTAAACAGTTAATGAGCTCGGAAGCACCAGGAGGCTATTTATAACAATAACAACAGTTGAATGGGAAGTTTTCATGCTTGTAAACTGTTTAATACATGTAATCAAAGCCGTCAAAGACTGAGGGAAGATGTACAAAATAACATAAGAATGAAAGTAACTGCAGAAGGTCTATTAGCCCATACGAGGCAGCTCCTATTTACATCCACCCAGTCCCATTCATATATATATATGTTTAACCTACGTTTGAAACAATCAAGGGATCCTACTGCTATTATGTTATGCAGTAATTAGTTTCACAAATCAACAACCCTGGTACCGAACCAGTATTTACCCAGGTCTTTTCTAAATCTAAACTTACCCAATTTATACCCATTGTTTCGTGTTGTTTTGTGTTGATATTTTTAATACCCTATTAATATCCCTTTGTTATGTCCATCCACTTGTACACTTCTATCATGTCATACATAATTCTTCGCCTTTCCAGAGAACATAATTTAAGCTTTGTCAATCTTTTTTCATATGACAGGTTTCTAATTTGCGTGATAAACAATTTTCATTCTACGATCGACTCGATCTAGTGAATTTATATCCATTCTATAGTTTGGTGACCAGAACAGAACTGCATAATTTAAATGGTGCCTATATAGCCAGAGTAAAATATAGTTGAAGAACAACACCAGGTGTCTTATTATTAACGCTTCGATAAATAAATCCCATTGTCCTATTTGTCTTATTACGAACATTTATGCATCGATTTTTTGGTTTTAAATTCTTACTAATCATAACTCTCAGATCCCTTTTGCAGTTCGACTTCGCAATCTCAACACCATCTAGCTCGTATCTTGTAACTCTATCATTATTACCTAGCCTTACAATTGTCAGTATTACACTGCATCTGTCAATCTTTTGACCATTTCAAAACCCTATTTAGATAGTCTTAAAGTGATAGTGAGTCTTTTTCCGTGTTTATTTCCATCCCGATTTATGTATCATCGGCAAATTTACAAATATTGCTACTCAAACCTGAATCTAAATCATTTATATATATTAAGAATAACAGAGGTCCCAAGACAGAGCCTTGAGGCACCACACTTACAACATTTTCCCAGTCTGACATAATCCCATTAATACTAACTCTCTGTTTTCTTTGGTATAACCATGCCCTAATCCAACTTAATATAGCACCCCCAATACCACGAGCCTCTATCTTTTTAATCAGTCTTTCATGTGGCACTGTATCAAAAGCTTTGCTAAAGTCAAGGTACACAACATCACAATCCTTACCACTATCAACTGCCTCAACTATGCTGGAATAAAATAATAGCAAATTTGTAAAATATGAACGGCAATTAGTAAAACCATGTTGTGAATCATTTATTTATCTGTTTTTAAAGATTAAGACGAATGGTACTTGCAATTATCGATTCAAGCAACTTTCCCACAATAGTCGTTAATCTAATTGGCCGATAGTTTGACGCAAGTGATCTATCTCCTTTTTTTCTTTACATAACAGAAACTTGACATTACATTCTATATTTACATAAATAATTGCGAATAATAACTCAGTGAATAATTGAGAGTAATGGTGTGTGTGTTGTGACAGTGCCCGCTGGAGAAGGAAGGCGTGGTGGCGCCCGGGACCACTGTTAACCTGACACTGGCCACCGACCATCCCTGGACCTTCCTCCTCAACACTGACGGCTCTCATGATTACATCCTTCCAGAGGACAAGTATGTTACCTGTTGTCTGTTCTTGCGTGCAAGTGTACACTGTACCCTCAGCTACACTGACCACGGCTACACTGACCAAAGGTACATTGTACCTACAGCTACACTACCCACAGGTACACTGAAAAAGTAGTTAGTAAACAGTTGATTGCCAGTTGAGAGGCGGGCCGAAAGAGCAAAGCTCAACCCCCGCAAACACAACTAGGTGAATACAGCTACACTCACCAGGTACACTGACCACAGTTACACTGACTACAGGTACACTGACCACAGGTACACTGACCAAAGGTACACTGACCACAGTTACACTGACCAAAGGTACACTGACCACAGGTACACTGATCACAGGTACACTGACCACAGTTACACTGACCAAAGGTACACTGACCACAGGTACACTGACCACAGTTACACTGACCAAAGGTACACTGACCACAGTTACACTGACCAAAGGTACACTGACCACAGTTACACTGACCACAGCTACACTGACTACAGTTACACTGACCACAGTTACACTGATCACTGTTACACTGACCACAGATACATTGACCACAGATACATTGACCACAGTTACACTGACCACAGTTACACTGACCACAGATACATTGACCACAGTTACACTGACCACAGTTACACTGACCACAGATACATTGACCACAGTTACACTGACCACTGTCACACTGACCACAGATACATTGATCACAGTTACACTGACCACAGATACACTGACCACAGGTACACTGACCACAGTTACACTGACCACAGATACATTGACCACAGATACACTCACCACAGTTACACTGACCACAGATACACTGACCACAGTTACACTGACCACAGTTACACTGACCACAGATACATTGACCACAGTTACACTGACCACAGGTACACTGACCACAGGTACACTGACCACAGGTACACTGACCACAGGTACACTGACCACAACTACACTGACCACAGGTACACTGACCACAGCTACACTGACCAAAGATACATTGACCACAGATACACTGACCACAGTTACACTGACCACAGATACACTGACCACAGTTACACTGACCACAGTTACACTGACCACAGATACACTGACCATAGTTACACTGACCACAGTTACACTGACCACAGCTACACTGACCACAGATACACTGACCACAGCTACACTGACCACAGGTACACTGACCACAGGTACACTGACCACAGGTACACTGACCACAGGCACACTGACCACAACTACACTGACCACAGCTACACTGACCACAACTACACTGACCACAGCTACACTGACCACAACTACACTGACCACAGGTACACTGACCACAACTACACTGACCACAGCTACAGTGACCACAGCTACACTGACCACAGGTACACTAACCACAGGTACACTGACCACAGCTACACTGACCACAGGTTCACTGACCACAGGTACACTGACCACAACTACACTGACCACAGCTACACTGACCACAGGTACACTGACCACAGGTACACTGACCACAGCTACACTGGACGCTCAGCTCCCCACCCTCCACAGTTTGTATATAATTATGCAATAAGTGGTTGCTCATGCAGGCGTCACCCGTGTGAGGGAGACAGTATGGCCATGATGTGTGTCTCCCTCTATCCCATACCCGTACTAGCCTACGTTGCCAGGCTCACGGGCGGGACAGGACAGTCGGCCTTCAAAGAAGCTGCTTACTTTTCATATCTAGCGCTGGCAGCACGGGAGAGCTTCCCACTCTTGCTCCGACCCGGGGGACCGTTCGCCTCTCCAGTCCATCAGTGAGACGAAAACCTTTCCATGTGAACATAGAATTCTCCCAGCCTCGCCATCAGCACAGGGATTTAGAAAGCCTCGCGCCCTCGAGTTTGGCAGACCTTATAGCCTCTGAAATCTAAATACTCCGGCTGTTTCAAAGTATATTGAACTGTTTGTGATCGTGTTCATTGACACATGAAGTCTCTGACTTGTAAGGAGATGATGTACTATGAGATCCCGTCGTGGTCCGTTCCTATACAGAGGAATCCCATATTGGGATTGTCAGAAATGTGGTGGTGGACACAGGCGGGGACGCCACACAGTGAACGGGACCTCACGCCTGTACCAGTAAATCTTTCAGATTCTTCTGTCGCCCCAGGTGGCAAGTCACGCATGCTGCGAGACGCAGCTGGAGTCTGACCTTAGAATATCGTCTCTGAAGACTCCACATCAAAGGTTCTCCCTTTCGTCCTCGGGTCGGATATTGCACCAGATTCTTATACACGGCCCACACCTGCCTCAGTATCAGACATTCCTGCTTTGCAGTGAATCTCCATCGTCTCCGGTTGTCTGATTCTCTGTACTGCCAGCGGTGCCCAAACCAGGAGGATGCCATGGAACAAATCTTCAATGCTATCGAAAGTTACTTATCTCCCGCCTCACAGTTTCCGTTCTCCTGGACGGAGCTGGTACATGGAACACTCACACAAAACATGAGATGATGAGAACTTCGCCTCATTCCCGCTTTATCAGCCACGCCTGTCATCTGATGGGCGTGTAGAGGTGTTGCTTCCCCTTTCAGCACAAGAGGCCGGATATCCGGAGAGCAACCGTTCCCCTGGTCATAACAAACATAACAGCCATCAATACAGTATCAAGCCTTCACTGCCACACATCAGTACAACATCCAGCCATCACTGCCACACATCAGTACAACATCCAGCCATCACTGCCACACATCAGTACAACATCCAGCCATCACTGACACATCAGTACAACATCCAGCCATCACTGCCACACATCAGTACAACATACAGCCATCACTGCCACACATCAGTACAACATCCAGCCTTCACTGCCGCGAGCATGACATCTTACTGTAAAGAACAACCTTCTAATCTTTCTGAGCCTCAATATGGCATCACCGAGACGAGGCTCCCTTGGCCCTCTCGTGCAGTCATCCGGAGGAGAAAACCTTGACGCTAACTCTTCCTGTCACACATAAGAAGACAATGAGCTCAGTGGGCCACAGGTTCCTCAGTGGGCTGACCGTGTCACAGAATATTACACCCTAGACGCTCTTGTCATTCAAAGATTGTAATACTTCTAACGAGAATGTCATTCAGTTTTGTTTCTTATTAATATTGTGGTACTGTGGGAAGATCATACTCTGGACAGTCCATCAGGATGTGCACTCAGGAGCACACACGTCATCACCAGTCTCTGATGGTCGTCGACAGAGATAACAATTTATTAATGTATTGCTTCACTGTCGTCAGTGAGAGGATGTGTGTGGTTATTATACAATTTCTCAATTAGTTACCTGGACAAAAATAAGCACTGGCCAAGATTGCTAATACGGACATTTCTTATTTTTGTTTTGAGTCAGTTGTCAGTTTACTCCAGCTCATAATTGTGTTGGAATATTTTGTAGTGTTGATTTAATGTAAAACTAAATCCAAAAGGTTCAAAACCACGATTATCAATGTTTCTGAGAATCTCTTGATACGGGAATGTTTCTTACACAGTAGTAAATGCTTAGTGTAAAGCTTCTTGATCTTTCACCCTCAGACAACTGCTGGAGACTGAGTGTAACTAGGGTGTGTTATACAGGTTTGGGGTGAGTAACTAGGGTGTAGTACACAGGTCTGGGGGTAACTAGGGTGTGGTACACAGGTCTGGGGGTAACTAGGGTGTGGTACACAGGTCTGGGGGTAACTAGGGTGTGGTACACAGGTCTGGGGGTAACTAGGGTGTGGTACACAGGTCTGGGGGTAACTAGGGTGTGGTACACAGGTCTGGGGGTCACTAGGGTGTGGTACACAGGTCTGGGGGTAACTAGGGTGTGGTACACAGGTCTGGGGGTAACTAGGGTGTGGTACACAGGTCTGGGGGTCACTAGGGTGTGGTACACAGGTCTGGGGGTAACTAGGGTGTGGTACACAGGTCTGGGAGTAACTAGGGTGTGTTGTGTGGTACACAGGTCTGGGAGTAACTAGGGTGTGTTGTGTGGTACACAGGTCTGGGAGTAACTAGGGTGTGTTGTGTGGTACACAGGTCCGGGGTGTGCGTGGTGGAGGGCGCCAAGCTGGGAGAGTTCGGGGTGTACCAGCTCAATGTGTCGCAGGACGCCAACTGTACCTTCACCAGCCTCAAGGAGCCAGTCTTCCAGTACGGAGGTTAGTACCCCCTCTCCCTCCTTCCCTCCCCCGCTCTCTCTCTCTCTCTCTGTCTGTCTGTCTGTCTGTCTCTCTCTCTCTCTCTCTCTCTCTCTCTCTCTCTCTCTCTCTCTCTCTCTCTCTCTGTCTCTCAACTCCCCAGCAACTCTTTCACACTTGTTATTACATGGTTTGTTTACATGTTACGTATGATCAGTCAGGTGTTCTCACTGTAGCACTAACTTGTCACTACTGACCTCACCGCAGTACTGATGAACTTATACAACACCCCGCACAGTGTTCGACAATTTCCATACATTTCTACATGTCATTTCCATATCCAGCATGCATTTGTGTCCTCTTATCATATTTTCATGTAGTTTAAAGAGGCTGTCTTTGTCTACATTGTCTATTCCGTTAAGTATCTTGTATGATGTAATCATATCCATTCTATATCCTCTCTCTATTATGGCTGTGAGGTCCAGTTCATGTAACCTGTCTTGACAGCTCAAGCCTCTCAACTCTGGCACCACTGTTCTTCGTGAACACTCTCTACTTTCTTTCTCCCTCACCACCACCACAATAACTACACTCCCTCATAACCACCACAACAACAACTACACTCCCTCACCACCACCACCACAACAACTACACTCCCAGGTTCGATTCTCATAGGGGAAGTATTTGTTAAATATAACTTGTGCATTCATGCAAGTGTGTGATATTGTTGCTTGGAGATACCAGGTCAGGTGTTTGCATGTTTCAGTCAGTTGCAGGTGTTTCTAAACAACTGCCTATTTAGGGGCATATGTGGTATAGCCACATGCCCGTAAACTAGGGGGCATGTGGCTATGTGTAGCCGCACCACATGGAAGGACACCACCAGCCTTGCATGTGGTGGGCCAGGCTGTGAAGGGCCACAGCCACAGTGTTGACCATCTCCCACAGCCATCGTGATCGCTGTGGCGGTGTACACAGCTGTGGCGCTGCTGGCAGCTGCCGCCCCCGCCCTCTACCGCTGGATGGCCAGGCGCTACGCCCAGGCCAGGGACGACGGCTCCCAGGTCAGTACCCACACACATGCACGCATGCGCACACACATGCATGCGCGCACACACACACACACACACGCACACGCACACGCACACGCACACACACACACACACACACACACACACACACACACACACACACACACACGCACGCACGCACGCACGCACGCACGCACACGCACGCACACACACACAGCGGGTCGGGGTCTGGGTTCTGGTAGCTGTAGGGGGTCTGGTAGCTCAGTGAACAGCGCGCGGGACTCGTAATCCTGTAGCCCGGATTCGATCCCCGGCAGAGGCAGAAACAAATGGGCAGAGTTTCTTTCACCGTGATGCACCTGTTCACCTGGCAGTAAACAGGTTACTGGGAGTTAGACAGCTGCTACGGGCTGCTTCCTGAGAATGTGTGTGTGTGTGTGTGTGTGGGTGCGTAAGACAAATATATATAGCTATCTATAATAGAGGAAAAATAAATTGGTTAAAAAAGTGGGGTCCAAGAGCTTGGTTCTGCAGACGCAGATACTAAAAATACACCCACTCAGTACAGTTCAGCAGTGGCAGGAATTAATTAATTAAAATTAATTGTCGGGAGATAGCGCCAAGTCATTACGACTGTATAGCACATGGAAGGGGTCAGGATTAGGATTTGGGATGGGACGGGGGGAAAGGAATGGTGCCCAACCACTTGGACGGTCGGGGATTGAACGCCGACCTGCATGAAGCGAGACCATCGCTCTACCGTCCAGCCCAAGTGAATGAAGCCCAAAAGTGAATTTTCACTCACTGCATTTATCTGGGTCTCTGCAACATTTCAACATTGGCTAAACATCAGTTGATGAAAGAGAAGACATTGAATCTGGAAGTTAAATGTGTTTGTTGAGTGTTGCTTGGATCCTGCACATGTTGCATGACTGAATATATTGTGTAACTACCATTCTGGTGTTGCATGGATGTTGCAGGTGGAGCTACAGATGGCAGGGAGCACCACTACACCTACACCTGAGGGCGGGAAGACACCCGCTACCAACACCCCGCCGGCCAAGCCCAGACTTAAGTCCCTGGATACCTTCAGAGGGTGAGTGGATCTTTCTCACTCATACGTCTCTTTCTCTGTCTCATTGTTGACATGTTCTCAGCTCTCTTACCCTGTTGGGTGTAGGTCAGGTGTGTGGGACTATCCCCTACACTCTGTGGGCTGTAGGTCAGGTGTGTGTGGGACTGACAGGTGTGTGTGTGTTCCGCAGGATGGCCATTGTGGTGATGATCTTCGTCAACTATGGAGCAGGGAGCTACTGGTTCCTAGAGCACGCTACCTGGAACGGTCTCCAGGTGGCAGACCTGGTGTTTCCCTGGTGAGTTACCTGTACCCTTTCCCCCTTACTCCCTCCCTCCTTGTACCTCCCTCACACTCTCCCTCCTTGTACCTCCCTCACACTCTCCCTCCTTGTACCTCCCTCACACTTTCCCTCCTTGTACCACCCTCACACTCTCCCTCCTTGTACCACCCTCACACTCTCCCTCCTTGTACCTCCCTCACACACACAGTGGGAGCCAGTGAGGCACTAAGCCACCGTCCACCTGCAGGTTCATGTGGATCATGGGAGTGTGTATACCGATGGGACTCCGCTCCGCCCTCCGCCGCAAGACGCCCAAGCATAAGATATTCTTCAGAATACTGAAGGTAAGACTCCTTCCCTCCCTGCTGTGGTCATGACTCGTGATCCTCCTTAGTAAGCACCTTGTGGCTAAGTAAGGAAGGGATGGACTATGGCTAGGTGCGGAGAATATGGATAGTGATAGTCTAGGTGATGAGTGGATGTGTAGACATAGGATAGGTGAGGTGTTAGGAAAGGCTATGTTTGGATGCGATTGTTACGAATAGACTTGGCGAGAATGGGATAGGTATGGATAGGGTCAGGTGAGGAGGGGATGAGTAAGGATAGACAAGAGGTAGAGGGGGATGGGTAAGACTAGGCCAGGTGTACAGTAAGCCAGTGTGCCACAGCACTAACAACAATACTTCCCCGGCAGCGTTCCATCAAACTGTTCGTGTTGGGCATCATCCTCAACTCCCTGGGCGGGTGGATCATGCTGGACCAGTACCGGGTACCAGGCGTCCTCCAGCGCTTCGCCTTCACCTACCTGGTCACTGCCGGCGTGGCCCTGGCCCTCTCCCCTGACCAGCCCCCTCAGTACCAGGTGAGCCCTGGGGACCCCAGTACCAGGTGAGTCCTGGGGACCCCAGTACCAGGTGAGTCCTGGGGACCCTAGTACCAGGTGAGTCCTTGATCGTGACCCCCAGTACCAGGTGAGTCCTCGTGTCCCCAGTACCAGGCGAGTCCTCGTGTCCCCAGTACCAGGCGAGTCCTCGTGTCCCCAGTACCAGGCGAGTCCTCGTGTCTCCAGTACCAGGTAAGTCCTTGATCGTGACCTCAGTACCAGGTGAGTCCTGGTTATTCAGTTGAGCCCTCCCACCTGGCTTGGTGAATTACTAGCAGTACCATGAATATACCATAGTACCATGTTGGATGTACAGAAGTATCCTCATGATTGTACAATAGTGCCATCTTGGGTATACAGAAGTATCCTCATGATTGTACAATAGTACCATCTTGGGTATACAGAAGTATCCTCATGATTGTACAATAGTACCATCTTGGGTATACAGAAGTATCCTCATGATTGTACAATAGTACCATCTTGAGTATACAGAAGTATCCTCATGATTGTACAATAGTACCATCTTGGGTATACAGAAGTATCCTCATGATTGTACAATAGTACCATCTTGAGTATACAGAAGTATCCTCATGATTGTACAATAGTACCATCTTGGATGTACAGAAGTATCCTCATGATTGTACAATAGTACCATCTTGGGTATACAGAAGTATCCTCATGATTGTACAATAGTACCATCTTGGGTATACAGAAGTATCCTCATGATTGTACAATAGTACCATCTTGAGTATACAGAAGTATCCTCATGATTGTACAATAGTACCATCTTGGGTATACAGAAGTATCCTCATGATTGTACAATAGTACCATCTTGGGTATACAGAAGTATCCTCATGATTGTACAATAGTACCATCTTGGGTATACAGAAGTATCCTCATGATTGTACAATAGTACCATCTTGGATGTACAGAAGTATCCTCATGATTGTACAATAGTACCATCTTGGATGTACAGAAGTATCCTCATGATTGTACAATAGTACCATCTTGGATGTACAGAAGTATCCTCATGATTGTACAATAGTGCCATCTTGGGTGTACAGAATTATCCTCATGATTGTACAATAGTGCCATCATAGTACAGTCATGTTCATCTTCATAGTACAATCATGGATTATATTTAGTACCAATGGTGAATGTACCATAGTACCATTGGTGGATGTACCATAGTACCATTGGTGAATGTACCATAGTACCAATGGTGGATGTACCGTACCGTAGTACTATTGATGTATGTACCGTCATGGATGTAAAATTCAACGAACTTAGTACCAACCAGTTTGACTTCAGATCCCAAAAGAGTACCAATGATGCCATTATTAGTCTGCTTGACCTAATCTACACAGCCCTTGACAAGAATGAATTACCAACTAACCTTTTCATTGACCTAAGAAAAGCCTTTGAAACCTTAAATAACAATAACCACCCACTTAAACTTCACCACTATAGTATTAAACGCCTTGCTCGGAACTATATTCGTTCCTATCTCAGTGACAGACACCAATATGTAGCCATCAATAACATAGCCTCCCCCATTGACAGTAGGAGTGCCACAGGGCAGCACCTTGGGACCTCTCCTATTTCGTATATACATCAATGATTTGTCAAGTGTTTCTAACATTCCTAAACCTATAGTGTTGACGATACTACCTTCATCTATTCTGACCCCAACACCCCACACACTAAATAATTTTGTCAACAGTTAATTAAAAAAACGTCCACTCATGGATGCCAACAAACAACCTCACACTAAACATAGAAAAGACCTCCTATTTTTTTGGTGGAAACAATTCATCTAACCAAAAAAACACCTAATTTAATTTAAATTCAAATTAAAAAAAGTTTTTCATAAATGGTAGTACATTTTATAATCCGAAAGGTTAACATAAAGAGTACAGTACAATAATTACATAAGGATCACAATAAGAGCACAGCGTGTAAACATTGTCATTATTAGTATTAGAAACTCCCTTTGTCTTGAGAAAGAAAGGCCATTTAGTGTCACACTGTATGAGGAAGGTGCCGTCGGCAGGTAAGAAATCAAATCTTCAGTGTGAAGCAGAAAATTTGTTTGATATATACTTGTCGCAGTTGGAGCGATGACTTTGTCAGGTGATGGATTATGAGAAGTAAGAAGTGTGGTCCTCCGGCAGAGTGACGTGGGCATCGCCATGGCGGACGTGCTCCAGATCTTGCCCCAGTGGGTGGTGCACCTGGTGATCCTCGCCGTCCACACCCTCGTCACCTTCCTCCTCCCCGTCCCAGGCTGTCCCACGTGAGTACCTTCACCTTTGTCACCTTCCTCCTGCCCGTCCCATGTGAGTACCAACATACGCCACATGAGGACCCCCTCACTCCCCACATGAGGGCCCCTCACTCCCCCCACATGAGGGCCCCTCACTCCCCACATGAGGGCCCAACATTGACACCAGGTACAATGGTAAGTCATATAACAACAACAAATTATAATAACAGCTTACTCATACTTGTAGCACCCTCGGCCAGAACTCCCACCCTGGAGTCCAGGACCTGGATATACAGGGTGTATATATATACGTCACCTGCTAATTCTTCCCAGAAATCAACGCCCTTATTTGCCAACCCATTATTGACCAAGGACTTTTGACGCTAAACCTACCCAGTTTGTTTCCAGTCTGTCGTGTTTTATATATCGATGAACCTTGGTCAATGTGCAGCCTAGTTACAGCTACTCCCACTGTATGTTACAGTGTGTTACTCTCCCCCTCTGTGGCGCCCAGGCCACATGGCGGACCCCGGTACAGTTACAGGAGAGCCACTCACCAAGGGCCTTCTCCAAGCAGTGGGGTAGAGCAGGACGTCCTGGGAACGACAAGGTTGGGTACAATGTGCTTCACGAAACTGCTCCACTAAACAGTCAAGGTCGCCAATTATGGGGGTCTTCTTAAGCCGCCAAATACCTGTGGGGATTAGGCTACACATATTGGGTTTCTTAATGGAAAACTTAACTGCCTCGATCCCTTATTTTTCTCCCAAGTGCAGTTATAAATATGCACATGGGAGAAAAATAAAAAACATTGTACAACGAACAATGGGGCACGAATGAAGATGACAGAACATGTGACTGTGTACACTGTCTCAGCCTACCACCGTGGAACTGTAGAGCCGCTGAAGGTGAGTTACAAAGTCGCAGGGGTGAGGTTTAGTACAGTAGGGAGGGAGGTGAGTACCGGAGCAAACAGCTGAACACAGCGAACCGAGACGAAGGCCAGGCGCTGTCTGGTACAAGTTCACCAGCATTTTTACAGCAGCTCGTCTACGTATGGGGAGAGAGGAGTCACCAGTAATAGTGGGGACGCAGCGCCGCTAATTCTCGCGTTCTAAACGGAATAAAAGATTCAGGTGTTTGCCCACATCTGTGCTTTTTACGGGCTGCATGTTTAAAGCGCACAGCACGAGCACATTTCGAATTCCACCAAGGAGGGCACTTTCCCGAGCCAGTGGAGGCACATCATGGAAAGGAGTTAAAGCACCATGTAATAAGGTGACCTTGAAAAGAGGGAGGGAATGAGAGGTAGATCAGACGGGCAGGGAAGAGCAGTGAGGATGGAAAATTATCCAGTCTGCCTGGAGATTTGAGTCACCAAATCAAACCTCCACTGGAGAAGAGAGAAATGAGTTCAAAAAGAAATGAGAGATACGAGGATGGGGAAATGATCACTGTTATAGAGGTCAAAGATCTGCCATGTCAGGTGTGTGTAAATGGAAGTGCATGGCACTGAGAGAAAGATCAATACAGGAAAGTGTATGATTGTGTGAGTTGCCGTGAGTGTGCTCACATACGTTGAGAGGAGACAATGTGGGAGCGAGAACACGCGAGAACAAAGACGACCACGGGTACTAGTAAGACAGTCACCCCCCACCACGCATCTCTCCAAATAAAATCACCAAAAAAGAGAACGAGCTCCGGTAATAAGTGTGTCAGTAAGTAATAAAGACTCCGGATCAAAGAAGAGAAATTGGGGAATAAATGGAACAGATGGTATACCATTTATTCACAAACATACGTGCGTCGCTGGAATGGATGTTCAGTTAAAAAAGAAGAGGAATAAAGGAGACATCATTCCGGAGTCAAAGAGCAGTAGAGAGGAGGAAGGGTCAGGCTTACATTTCTGGCTAGAAAATTGGAAGGCATCTGGGTGCAATAGATGCAATGTTCCCTATCATCTCGGGTGGAGAGGAAGTTAGAAGGTGGTCGGGGTGGGGTAGACATCGACCTAAGCGGTCAGTGTGTACGGAGGCAGAAGTTAGAAGATACAGGAGGAGGACGGGGCCTGGGGGCCTCGCACCGGACACACAGCAGTGAAGGTCCGGTTACTTCAACAAGACAGACATGAAAAGGTACAGGAAGCCAAGAAAGAGAACCGAGAGGACTGACAACTCTCAGCATCAGACTAGGGTAGAGCAGGAGAGAAAGGTGACCTTGTTGAAATGGCAGGATCCAGAAACTAGAACGGTTCCGGACCTGGAGATGGGGGCAGGCTGGAGTGTCACAAAGTGCCGCATAAACATCAGTCATGCCTGAGAGGAGGCCAAAGCAGCGGACCTGGCATCTAGCCTTGAGGATGGATACATGGTCTCTGACGTTGAAGATCGTTTGCTCGTACTTATAATGGATACAAGACCGAGAAGAGATGGACTGGGCATCACAGTAGTTAATGCAATGTGAATGGGAAGAACAAACGAACTTTGTATGGCTGGATTCCCCGCATAATGGGCGAAGGAAGCTGACTGGAGTTAAAAAATATGCCGGAGACAACTTGTGAAACATGATCGACAAAACGTCGATACCGAATACCAGCAGCAGTGGCTCCGCCGAGGCCGAATGGTCCAAAGTAAAAGTATTTGACATATTCGCAAACAACTAAGGCAAAAATGATAAGACCATAAGTGATAGAAATTGAGGAAAAGAGATTATGAAATAGAAAAAGATGGAACGAGTGCCAAGACGCCTCATACTGTGGCCACGACAACATTCACAGTCGAGACACCATGAGATCGGCCACCTGCAGACCATACAAAGAGTAGTACACGAGTCACCTTCAAACGTGTAGATCAACAGAAAGCCTCGAACCATCGAGAAACATCTCCTGACCTATCTGCTGTAAGAGGCCGAACCTTGTAAAACAGTGCCAGTTCAGACAACGGGCCTAAAGACCAGAAACCACTGCTGTGTAGGACAAATGGGAGGCAACAGAAGAACGTTTCTAACCTGGACAAAACTTGAAGCAGCAGCTTAACCAGAGGAAAAAGATAAAGAAACCTCCATCGACAACAGTCCATCCGAAAGGTATCGTCTGCGAGAACCTCGCAGAGAGAGAGAAAACTGAGCAGGCAAGGGCAGCACCAGCAAACACTTGGAGATGATAACTCTAGGAACATCAGGTTATGATTAACAGTTTGAGTCTACGCAAGAAGTGAGGCATAAACATACACGTATCATGAAGTACACTCAAATAAGAACAATATACAAGCAAATGGCTCCCGGAAGACAAAAACAGAATCCAGGATGGCTAACACTTACCTGAAAACCCAGGACCGGGTGACGGGACAGGCAGAACATAAAAGTGAACAGCATGAACGTAAGCACCAGGCAATATGACTGAGGGACCAAGATTGGCGGACTGAGAAGGAAGGTAGAAGGACCCAACGAGTGTGCTTCTTCTTCACAACCGACCCCCTCCCCGCTCAGCTCGTTGTCGCCGTGTGGGGGCTTCGTGGGCGGCTGCTGGAGTGTGATGCTCCTTAGGACAGTCCTCTGTCCTTTTCTAGCCTTGTGCTCCTGCTGCCGTCCTCTCCAATTCTGCTGGGCATCTTTTCCTTTTCCTTCTGTTTCGTTTTTCTCCCCCCTCTTCTCCTATCTGCTTGCCGTTTCCTGCCGACCTTTTGCTCGTTCTGGTTCTTCCATGGACTTCTTCTATTTTGTCGCCCGGGTGCTTGAGGAGGCATACTCGTGCACCCGTAGAACTGCAGTACCCGACGTCGAGAGCGAGGGGAACCTTTTATTGTCAATCCCCACTTCGTCACTGAACCCGATCTCGACGGACTGTCGGTTTCTTAAGGTGGCGTTTGTGGGGCGTATACTCACGACGCACCCCTAGGAGGCCCCGACAAGATCGGCGATAGCTTCTGGTTGGGTGTCCTGCCTCTAATTGTGGCTCCATGGTGGGTGTGGGGGCACATTCGTGAGTGAATTCTTAATTTCGTCAAGATGATAACCCCTGTTTCGGCTGCTTCTGGCTTACCTTTTCAGGCTCGTGGGGTGGGCGACCAAGCCCCCGAGTCGGTCCGTATTGGAAGACCGGGCTCTGTAGCCTCCGCTGCATTGGGCCCCGACCTTGCTCCTCCTTTGGCCTCTCTGACTCCTTCCCCTGGCTCCCCTCCCTCCTCTGTGGTTGGGTCGAGCCCCAAGCCCCCAGTGGTGACTACCTCGTCCCCTGGCGCGGCTCCTTCTCTAGTTGTAACTACTGCGCCTTTTAACCCCTCTCTCTCTGGGGGTTCTCACCGCCGTCCTCGTCACGGCCGCCCTCGCTCGATTCCTTCCAGTTCTGCTACCTATCAAGCCTTGTTTGGTCCCGCTTCGTGGGCCAAATATTTTGATCTCCTCCCTCTTGATTCTGCGCCTCCTGACGATTTCTCCCTTCATCGACATCTCATTGATTCCGTGGATGCCTCCATTACTTTCAACCCCACTCGTCTCGGTACACGTGTCGTTGCTGCTCCTTCTCAGGATGCTGCTTCCCGCTTGGCTGCCTTATCCTGCCTTGGCGAGACCCCCGTTCGGGTCTCGAAGAACGCTCAATTGAATGCCAGTGTTGGCACTATTTTGCTCCCGCCCCATGTTGCAACCGGTGTTCGGGACCTGCGCGACTGCCACGACGATATTCGCCATATCCTCGCTGCCCAGGGCCATTCTATTCTCCAGGTGGACACGTTTACTCGTCCCCCTCGTGGTAGTCGCCGTCAACCCCTCCGGGTTGTGAAGATTACCTTTGATGGTAGGACCCTTCCACCCTCTGTCATTCTTGCTGGTGCCAGGTGCTCTGTCCAGGAGTACATTCCTTCTCCTCGGCTCTGCAACAAGTGCTGGAGGTTTGGGCATGGTGCCCTCCGCTGCTCCGGGACTGTCTCTCTCTGTCCTTTGTGTGGTGGCGAGGGTCACTCTAAGTCGGAGTGCACTTCTCCCCAGGCTCGTTGCCTCAACTGCGGTGAGGCCCATCCTACCTTCTCCCGTGC